TACTGGTAGTGAATTAGACAAGTCGGTTATGGTGAAAACGCATACAATGAGAAAAGAAGAGATAACATGAAAGGTGGACCATGAAGGTGAAGCAGCTACAGAAGGTTGGCTACGAGGCCGGCTCAGGCATCTCAGTTTCCATAGTTGTTCCAGGGGTCATCCTCAGGGCAATAGGGCTGCTGGGCTGGCGGCAAAGGACGGCCGTCGGAGTCGTAGAGGATCCGGACTGGTTCAGAGGATGCCACGGGCGGTGTTTGATAGAGCTGTTGTGGCTGTGTAGGATCGCCGCGGAAAACGGGCTGCTGGTAGAGCGGTGGTGGGTGGGATTGCTGTGGAAACTGCTGTGGCTGATAAGGTGCAGGCCATGGGTGAGTGGTAGGGTTGTAAGTTGCTGGAGGTGCCGTGCAGGGTATGGGGCCTGGACTGGAGGAGGTGTCGTGGGGTACCAGTGAGGGGATGTGCTGGCTGTCTGTTGCTGTGGGAGTGGCGGTGGTGGGCGCTTCGGTTGCCCGAATGTGGTTGTTGATGGATGCATAGATTGCTGTGCTGGGATGGATGTGGTTGACCGTGGTTGTGGTACGGGAGATCCATGCCGAGGATCTGAATGGCGTCCTTGGGTAAAACGCGTCCTTTGCGGAGTGGTGGACCGCGGGGGTGTTTTGGAACGCGAACGGTGGGGTGTGCCACCGATTGGAGCCGTGAAGTCTGAATGGAGTGCTGGCGATGGGGGATTGTCCACGGTGGGTGTTGGGATCAGCTCGGCGTAGAGCCATTGGTCTGGGTTGGGCTGTTTGTTAGCCGCAGAGGTAATGGAAGGAGTGGTGGGTGGTGCTGCGGTGGGTCGTGTTGGTGTGGATGGCTGTGGAGAGGTGGTGGCTTGTGAAGCAGCTTTTGGAGTTGCAAAGGAAGGGCAGCGTACAATGGCGTGGATGTCTGTTTGTTGATAAGTGTGGCAACTGTCCCGCCGCGGGGTGGTCTGCTGGGCTTCATGAAAAGTTGGAGGGGTGATCACAGTGTCAGTCTGAGTGGAGGTGTGACAGTTTTGCGTGCGTGGTGTGGTCTGCTGCTCTTCATGAATGGCGGGAGGGTCAATCATGATGTCGGTTTGTTGGGTGCGGTGGGTGGGGAAATGTGTAGGTGTGGTCTGTGTGGAGTTGTGCTGCAGGACCAAGGTCCCGGCGGGGAATGTGCGGAGATAATGACGAACGGTTGGTGGAAGGTGCACAGGTTCCCCTGGCTGCAAGCCACTTGGGGTTGGGAATGGTGGTTCAGTGGTGGCTGGTATTGGATGGTCGTCAGTTTCCGCGTCCGGGTTGCGGAGATAGACGCTGGGCGGATGGCGTCCCAAAGAGTCGAGGGCGTTGAGGGCCCGCCGAAGGTGAACGTTGGCCAGGTTGTTGGTGTTGTAGTGGTGGATATGCCTTTGGAGAGCTGGTGGTATAGGGCTTGCTGAAAGGGTTGATGGAGTAGTTGTGTTTCGGTGAGAGCTTCGTTGTTCGTGAGGTGTTGATGCAAAGTGAACCGGTGTAGATTGAGGTCGGTGAGGACGCCGCAGAGGACGTTGGGTGGTTCTGCTGTGAAAACTGATGCCCAAAAGGAAGTGTCGCTTCCCTCCTCAGGAGGCTGCTGAGAAGCCATAGCTGAGATTCGAACGTAGGAGGCAGGGGCTGCGTGTCGTTGAAAATGGCTGCGGTGAATGTGTTGTGTCATGAGAGCAATCGCTGTCAAACAGTGAAGGGGAACGTTAGAAAAAGAACAAAAAGTCGGTACTCTGGAAGAGGTGTGAGGACATTTTTTGCATCTGTGGTAGCTATCTGCGATAGTATCTGGTGAAACGAGGAGAGTGGCGGTCTTTGGCAGCAGGTGATCACGGCATGGTCATATTCGTAGCGGCTGCTGCAGCTGCACTGCGGGCAATCCGTAGAATGGCGTCGGTGAGGTTGTTAGCTTGCTGCTTGCTGGTCTGTGAGATGTAGGTTTGGAATGGGAGGAAGTGGTGGAAAAAGTGCTGGTGGTGCCAGTTGTGGTGGTGGCGGAATGGCGCAAGGAGAAAAGGCTGCTGGTGGCGCGGGACATGGTGGCGCTGAGGTGTCTGGCTGAGAGGAGTTGGCGGGCGAGAGGGTGCGGTGAGAGTGGGAGGGTGGAGAACGAAATGCAAAATTTAGTGGAGGAGGTGTTGGTCGAATCAAGGTAGTGAAGGACGTGGTCCGAAAAGTTGAACGGCATAATTTTGCCGTGGCAGCGTGGTCTGGGAATCTTGACTTGTGCTTGGCGGTGAGTAGGAGGTGGAGGGGAACTGAGGTTGCTGGAAGAAGAGTGGACGAGCGAACGAGCAAGGGAAGGTGGGGGAACGATGGGGGTGGATGGAGGATGAAGTGGTGGAGATAGTCGATGGGGCGGTTGCCCGGGACGTGATTTCTGTAGTATTGGGACGTTGGTGGTGAGAATGACTGGGTCTTCACTGCTCGTGGAAGAGGAGGGCGATGGAGGGGGTCGCTGAGAAGGTGGTTTGATGTCTGCTTGGTGAGTGTTCGAACTTGGTTGTTGCAGAGTGTGGGCTGTAGTGCGGGTAGAGCGGTTGCGATGGGCTGGAGGAAGAATAGGTGATGTTTTTGGTGGTGGTGGCAGTGTGGCGGTGGTGGATGCCGGCGGTGTGGCGAGGACAACAGCGGTGGTGGCTGCGTCCTCTTGCTCGACGTCTTCAAGCTTGACGTCCTCGAGCTTGATATCTTCCTGTTTTGCAGCCGGTGCAGTGTATGGGTCTGTTTTGACCTCTTCAATGAGGGATGGACTGCGATCCCAGTCTGGTGATTCGAGATCCATGGGCAGTGCTGAAAGTCGTGTTGGCGAGAATCACCGGATGAAATAAAACAGCTGCGGGTAAATGAGATTGATGAAGACACAAGTGGTATTGAGTATGATTGACAATGTAATCAAAATCTGACCCTGGTAAGAAATCGCTACAGCACAGATTACACTTTTCAGGAAACCAACTATCTTGAGTAAGCGGTGAGACTGAGGGCTAATAGGGATGACCGGTGGGGTCTCGCTGCGGCGTCATAGTCCAGGATGCTGAAGGTGTAGAGGATGAAGCGTTAGGTGGAGTCGTTGTTGCTGTCCATAAAGACTGGTGGAGCTGACTGCGGTGGTTGGGTGATGGTGTGATGTCTGAGAGTGGCTGGCGGCGGCTGATGTAAAGGTTTGGGTTGTGGGGTGAAGTTGTAGTGTTGTTGGGCGATTGCCTGTCCCGTGATCGTGAACGATCGCTTTTGCTCAGAACACTAATTGCTTCACGCAAGTTGCTCATTGTCACCACCTTACGCAGATCCGTCTGCGCGACGGGTACATGATAATTTGATCCTGACGCACTGTCAGGGCTCAAACCACCATTAGTAATGGCGGTGTTCCCAGGCACCACTCCAGCGTTCTGCAAGAAACCAACTTCACTGAAGAACAACACAGTGACTGGGTCCTGGAATCTATAAGCCGTGCAACATGCCACCAACTCCTTCGAGTCTGCAACGATCCCAAACTGAGGCTCAGCAATGAACTCCGAAGCGCCACCAGGCGGCTGCATCAATATACCATCACCTTCTTTTTTCCAAATAAGGCTCAATCACAGGTTCTTCAGCCAGAAGCAACCTGATCACGGCAGCAAGCAAGCTCGTCAAGCCTTGAATTGTGCAAAGTGATAGGTACAGTTGTTCCGCGGCGCAATCCATCAGCTTCATTCAAAAATGCAGCAACACTACAAGAGACATTGCCACCATACTTAGCCCTAGGAGGATAGCTCATTCCTCGGATCTCATCTTGCAGGGAAATACAATGAGCCACAACCTGGAAATTCAACCAGATCCTAGCCCACAAGCCAAAATGACTCTGCAGATGTGATGATCCGAGGTCGAATTGCTGCACAAGTGATGACGCCATTGTGTTAGTGTCAGATCTAGTGGTTGTCTTTGGCGGATATGGCGTGGCAGGGTCCACTGCCAAGTTGCCAATATAACCAGCAAGAGTTCTGGCCAAGCTAGCAGCTATCAACCGCCAATGGCATTTTAAAGACCACACGATAACTGGCCAAATGCCGAATCACGTTGTGATGGACGAGTTTGACACCAGCCAGTGCATCTTCAACCACAGAAGTGGTATTTCTGACACAAACCACATTGTTCTCAATGTTCTGAGATGAAGGTAGCTTGATGCTAGCATCGATTGGTACCAAAATTTCGACTTGACCTCCCCTACACAAGGGAAATCGAGTGTCAACCTGGTTGTTCTGGCACTGATCGAAAATCTGCCTCGACACCAACCACTCCAAGAACCCAGTCGCCCCGGTGCTATCATATTCTTCAGAAAGCACTGGCAGTTCATTGAAGTGTTGGTCCCATTGTTTCTTCTTGTCCTTCTCTTCAGACATCAGCAAGGATCACGTACACACTCAGCCAAAATAGCTTGAGCCAAAATGGCTGTTTTCCAAAATAGTAGAGCAGGTCCACAGTGGGGCGTCCCCCACTGCATCGGCACCTACTGGCACCTACTGGCACCCTCTTCGTCGGACGGGAAATGCCAGTGGTGTCCCGTCCCCCTGCTCCAAACCGAAACGTTCTTTGTGAGTCCAAGGGTTACACACACACACACACAGGACCCCTCCAAGGGCTGGTTAGTGGACTCCCCTGAACCTCTAGCGCGCAATTAACAAACATCCCTCGGGTTGTCCTGGTATGTATTTGCACAGTTGTTTATCCTGAAATTTAAATTCATCTTGGAGGGCTTTAACCTCAAACATCTTACTGTTCAGCTAGTCTCAATTGTGTTTGAGTATCCAGTATCAAGAGAATACCTGCTGATCATACATAACATAACATACAAAACAAAACAACAAAACACCTACAACATCAATTTGTAGCAACACTTCAAGGACTCAAGGTCCCTCAACTGATTCTTCCAAGAGAAGGACTCACGTTTCTTCTTACATACGTTTCAGGACCTGACCGAGCCACAGGGGCAAAGCACCGTCACCGTCATCAGCTTGGGCTCCGCGGTGAAATCACCTGAGCACCGCACCGACACGGTGCGACCGGTGTTCGGACGAATCCGGTCTGGGACCCGGAGAAGCTGGGGTACCCTGGCCTGGGATAGTCGGATAGTCTATAGGCTTCTTCAACCACTGGTACATGGCTGTTCCTGACCTCTCGGAATCCCTTCCTGTTCGTGACAACATGGGATGGCCACAGAGGCCGGCTCCTGGACCCATCACAACAAACAATATGTTGTTTGGTTCACACGACTATATGTTGTTCGTCACATACCCAAACGCTCCATGGGACTGCCATATGCCTACATTGTCCCCCCCTGGCACCACCCCAACCGATCGGCATATAATCCATACATGGAGTGTTTGGGATATGTGTACACCAAATACGCACGAAACATCGCCGGAACCAAAGACCAACGACTGAAAAAACCATCGCCGGAAGCGTCTGAACGCGTTGGTCTGGAATCACTCCGTCTTGGGGGATAGGTCCGTCTTACGGCTCCGGCCGTCACACTGTCACACTCTCAGACCATGCAGGCAACTGACAAAGTCCTGAACAAGACCATGAACTCATGAGAAACCCATGGGGGACTAATAAGGTTCGTCAGCTCAGCGTCTTCAGGACCTTTCCATCACCGTGAATCGAATGAACGAGCTGTCGTGGGTGATATCGGTTGCTGTTTCAGCCTCTTCAATCACGAAGCCTGGGGCGCAAGAATCTGGCGGAACTACATCCACCCTCTTGACCCTGGCATCTTCAACTACAAATTCTGGTATCCCTCCTCTTCCTGTCACAGCTCCAGCTCCCCATCCCCAACTGGGCCCGGTGCCCAGCAACTCGGAGTTCCACTTGCCCAAGTAGTCCTGGCGCAGAACCGGCAGCTCCGTCGTTGGGTGGAGTTGGGAGAGCTGCGGGCCTTGTACTGCCATGCTGTGGGTGTGGGTCAACACCTGGAGCCGTTGGTTTTTTGGGCACGTCGTCGATTTGCCGCTGAATTTTCGATGCGTGCAGATCATGAAGAGGAATTGGTGTTCCATCACAGTTTTACCTGCATGCGTGTTCACAGTTTGCTTGAGATTTGTTCAAACCATTGTTATCCGGTATAGCCTAGCTGTTAGGTTCCTACTCCTACCAAGACCCGCTGTGAGTAATGGATGCGTCAGAGTGTCGCGGCGATTTCGCCAAAGCGTTGCCCCAAACCAGGGTAGGTTGACCTCCTTGGTCGTCCATTCGGTTCATTTCCTCTCGACCGATCTTCGGGAAACCGACGATGGCCGAAAGCACGGCGCGGCCGAGGCACTTGGACCTAGCCATTGAGAGTTGCTGGGAACTTGAGAGTTCCAGGATGTTCCAGGATGTTCACCGACCGTGATGCCGAAAGCTAAATATCTATCTCAGCTAGGAACCAAATTTAAATCACTCTTCTCCACTCCCTCCGCCCCCACAGGTTTTTGGCGTCCCCTCCTGAGGGATGATCGACTCGTCGTTCAGCGGCTTTGGCTGATCGACCACGTAGCACCTGAGAGGGAGGCATGGCACGGTGCCACAACACCGGAACGACCAACTTCGAAGCGTCAGCGAAAGAACTGCAGGATTGGCCCCCATAAAATGGCTCACATAGAAACCGCAAACATGGCAAAATCGCCACAGGAGAGGAAACAAGATCTTCCATCATCTTCCTAACCACCTCTGAATTCATGTTGGTTCACTGGAGGGTGGCTGTTCATGGGCATGGGGAAGCCTGAGACTGCCAGATTGCTAAGAGGGCACTCTTCCCTAAAAAGGTTCCGAATTTCTCTGGTGTCAATCAAACATGCACCAAAATATGATCAAACGGCAATCAAACGCACTTCTTGGATTCACTGAAGTTATATATCATCTTGCCACAACAGCTGAACCTCACTCTAGCCAACCTCCCTCTACAAACGTGCTCTATACCTATACATATTATACATAAGAATATCAGGCAATTAAATCGCAATTAACCTCACATATATTACATCTTGGTTCTCAAATATGTTACTATTATATCTTACTTGTCGAGGCACTAACCCTCATTCTAGTTCGACTCTTCAGAAGCCTCGGCCTCAACTAGATGTTGCTCAATATACATTAATGTGTTGTTTACATTTCTCTTCTTGGAAGCACGCACAAGTCGATCCGGTTTGATCGTTTTCGTTCGCAATCGGATGATCATCCTGCCCTGCCCTCAACACACAAACATGTCTATGGGTCATGGTACGCGGACCCCATTTCAGCCCGGTAGATTAACCTCCAAACATGTCTCTTGTCTTCATGTTCGGTGAACACGAAGGGCCAAGGTCGGGACGTCTACGCGGTCCGCTGCGGGCTTTTTAGGCGCCACCCGCTCCGGGCGCGTGCGTTGGGCCGTGCCTGTAGTAGATCACGAAGGCGGACGCATCAATGGCCAAGACCTGGTCGAAATTCCGCGAGACACGGCCGTGGGAAGTGAAACAACGACCAGTTTATAAGACAGTCCTGGGCCCCTATAATCCTATTGGGAAGTCTTTTTGACCCGCAGGCATGTGTATTTGCATGGATGAAACGGCAAAATGGTCATCTGACGTCGTGTTCATTGGTGGTTTCATCCCTTTGAGGACCGGATTCGAGGGAATGCTTTCGATCTCGGTCGACTCTTGCGGAATGCAGCTGTCCTTTGATATCGTTGTTTCAATGGTTTCAATTTATTGCCCAGTGGGCTTCTATAGGTTTATGGCTTTAGTCTTCGGAACCACGTATACCAGCGAACTAGTGGTTGGAATGGATCTCCTGAGTTAAGAATGATCAACGTTGTAATGACATCCAGTCAACCAATTCAGCCAGTCAACATATTTACATGTTAGATACCTTCGTTGCAGTCTTCCTTCGACAAGCTTGTCATCTCATTCCCAGTTGACCTCCTATATTGACTTGGTCAAGTTTGCGGCCCTGCCAGGACTCACCAAAGATGCTACACAACCCAATGGACAGCATATGTTGTGGCTACCAGCTGATCAACCCATGCTTGTTCTTAACTTCCTGGCTAGTATTGTCAGCTTGTACAGTCAGCGTCGCCAACACAAAAAGATGTGGGCACGTGGTCGTGGTCGCATCGCAGTCAAATCTGTCTCAGATCCGCTGTTTTGAGTTTGACCTGAGCTTTCAAAAGCCGAGAGTTGTGCTATAGTCGCTAGGACCACATTGGAGGCTGTGACTGCGGGACCTGTTCTCGCTGGAAAGTAAAAGCTTCAGCAAGGCAAGCAACAGCCTAAGTTGCCAAGCTCAGGCCTGAACTTTCCCAGATTCGCCGAAGCCGATTTCCTCTCAGTGGCCTGGCCCTGCTTTGGAGGGCCTATGAAATAGACACCATAGATCTTCAAGCCCCTGTGGCTCTGGGTCAAAATCTCACCCTACAAACCATGTGAGGTTGACATCCCTTATAGAGGAACGTGTTCATTTTCACAGGTCAACCAGCGGTGCAGGGGGGTTTTCACCCACAAGCATGTCAGTTTGACCAGCCAAGATGGTGGATCCGGATCCGGCAGTTCGGCGGATCGCGCCCCAGGACCCAAAGGAGGTGGGCCCAGGCGACTGTGGCAGGTCCCTCCACTGGGGACCAGTTCTGGGCCGTGTCTCGCAACAACTTTCTCGCCACGTCTCAACTGTCTCACAACAGCCCAGAGTGAACATGCGCCACAGGAAGCGGGCGATGCTGTTCATGCACGGCGATGCTGTTTTGGCGGTGCACATGCTTCCTACGCGTTTGGCAACACATCGGAACGCTCTCGGAGCTGCATTGTCTCCTTGGTGGAGCGATGAAAGAGTGTCCGAGCTGCAGCTTCTCCACGTGCCAGTGCATCCGCACGGTGCCGATGCTCTTGGCGACGATGAAGAAACCGCTCAATGTAGACTCTTGATCAATCAACCCCTCTGCTTGAATTGGACATCCTCTTCATATGGAGGAGAAATAGAATCAAGAGTCTACATGATGCTCCGGCAGGTCCGCCGCTTTTTTTTGCCACCGAATGCGCGTACATCACGCCAAGCTTCACAGATGCCCACCCTCGCTGCCGCCAGGATCTACAGCGTGAAGCAGCCGTTGAGCCCTGGACGGTTCCAAACATGGTTCGTCCACTCTTTGAGCCTTCTACACACTGACGACGTCTAAATTGACGAGGTCTAAAATCCTTAGAACACAATGCTTCTTTGGTTTAAACAACCTTCAACATCAATGGTGGATGGAATCCGATATGATTTGAGGTGCATGGGTCGTTTCTGGTACGGTCTAAGCGAATTAAGCGAAACCTCCATGGACCGGCGAAGGTGAAGTGATTCACTACCGCGGTGGGGGTCCTTCCAGGTCTTTGCCATTCGGTGGAACCGTCCATCCAGGTCCTTCGTCCTAAACGACGGACCGGGATTGAGTGGGCCACCGAATGACCAATCCATGAGACTGGAAGAGCTAGGGGATCATGTTCATGGGGTAAATGTATATATCCCATTACCAGTAACAGGGGATGATGATGGTTCGGCTGCAGGCCTTTTTTCAATATAGTCATCATCTTTTTCTGACGGTTACTGGCAATGGGCTACACCCTAGGTAAATGTATGGTAAATGTTAAATGTACGTAACTAGTCCCATGGATGGTCTGGGTGGGATCCCACCAAGACTGAAATTTATAACTGTCCCATGTCTCTCCAAAGTATTTGCTGGCCCAGCTGGCACAAACCAAACAGCCCTGGCTCAGGCCGCAAAGTAAAAACAACACCTGGAAGACTTGAGGGCACTTTCAGGTCGCCATGGGGCCTCAAAGCGTTCTTTGAACATTTTGAGGGATCATCTTCTCTGGATCAACACCCGCCCCACAACTACACCATCCAGGTTAGAGAAGATCTTGATCAAACCTGGTTTTATCGCACAAATCCTCATCATATGCTACCATGCAGTAAAAAGTACCAGCTTACTTTGTTCTCCAGCATCCCTCCCAAACATCATGAAAACGTTTAGGTCTCAACCAATCCGCCCCAAAAACCCGCCAGATCACCGCTTTGATTCCGTCGTTCTTCTTCGGGCCCCCGACCGCCGAGATCACCGCGATGAAGTGGATGGCCTCCCAACCTGCGACGGCCGCGAATCGATGGGAAGAAAACGAGAAGCTATTAAATTCTAATTAAATTCTAATAGCCAACATTGTTACTACTAGTAAGGCACTTGTTACTAGTAGCTTCTTGTTACTAGTAAGGCACTTGCTCCTAGTAGCGAGGCACTTGTTCCTATACAAATGTTTGAGTCTAGCTATACAAGAAGCTATAGCTATAGACTCAAAGCTATACAAACGAGAAGCTAAAACATCCAAAGAGGTGTTACAATCTGGCTGGGTTGGTTCATCAAGATTCGACACTACAGTGCTGAAAACCAAACATGACAGTGCTGAAAACTGAGAGACTCAAATCTGTGAGGAGCATTGATGTCGTGCCAACCGGAACCAAAGACCTCGCAACGAATCGAAGCGGTGTGGCTGGTCTACCTCAAATGAGTATTTTGGGGCAGTAAGTGGTTCTAACTTCTATGACACTATGAGCTTGTTTTCTCTGTCGAGAGGTTTCTTCTGTTTGGGCCGTCTCAACCTGTATGTGAGTCGCTCTACTCTTCTGTTCCTCTGGCATTCTTTGAGCCTTCTTAGCAACTTTCTCAAAACTTCCTTCTTTGCAAAGGAACCTGTGAGTCAGCCAGGCGATTTTAAAAGAAAAGACCGGTGAATCAAAGGAAATGAACATCTAAAAGCATCCGTCTTCGAGCTCTAGACAAGTCGAAAAGAATCTTGTTCTTATACTGATTGAGGTATCCTTCGTTCCACGTTCTTTGAAAGGCCCTACACCTGGGAAGATTAACATGGAACCTGAAAATGAACGTTTGGAAGACTATATATCCCTAGGGCTCCAAGTACCTCCTCAGAAGGTATTTGGACCCTCTAAACCCACCACAAACACCTTCTTAGAAGGTATTTGGAGCCCTCTACAACCTCAACCCGGTGGTCTTCAGGTTCGATGTTAATCTTCCAGGGTGTATCCTCCTGACCAAACCATCTCCGCCAAGACACAGGTGGGAGGTGTGTCGGACCACTGGCCGTCCTCAGTAGCCCGAAAACGCGCGGACGATCGAAGAAAGGAACTTGTTGGGTTTTAACTAACTCACTTGAACAAAAAGTGGCAGTGGGTTCAATCATCACAAGTAAAGGGTGAACATACATGAATTATGAACATACAAATATCTGGAACCACCACCCAGATGCTCCAGGGCTAGAGGAATCAAAACATCAACTAATTCAGCATAGTTTATATTAATGCCAAGGGTCAATGGCTACGTCATATTATATATTGGTATTTGGGAATCACATTTTTATTGTAATATGAATTTCTTATTGGCGATTTCCTTGTCTTTCATATTCATTCATTATGTAAATTATAGACACGTGGGCAGCCAAACGAGGACGGTCATTGGGGTTGGTTGGAGTTATTGTTATATTTTCACAGAGGTTTTCAGGCAGGTCTGGCACCCGATATTACACTTGTAAAAAGTGTCTGGTTTTCCTACAAAAAGAGCCGTTGAAGCCAGTGATGAATTTTTGTGTTGGAGAAGGATTTCGGCCACCAAGTTGCGCCCTGCTCATATCTCGTACTAGAAGCATCTCCCGCGGTCCCGCCTAACAGTAAAAAAGTATAACACAAGAGTCTCAAGAGAATCCAATTCAAGACTTGGGAACAGGCGAGTTGCTGAAGTGGCTCCAGTAGGATTGAGATACCACTTACCAAGCAACCGACGCCACACTCGAGACCTGATTACCCCTTGTCAGGACCTCAAGGCCATTCGTCCGGGCTGTGTCTCCTTGTGTCACCATCCGCACCCAGCTGAGTCACCCGCACCGAGCCACACACAGAGGTGCCACTCCCCGTTAAGGGTCGAATGCCTCGTGGACGCCATGTCGAGCGGGCTGGAACTCGGCGCGGTTCTTCGCACGCGGGCTGGAACTCCGTCACCGGTGTTGGTTTGGCGCGTTCGCCGAACCGGCTGCCGCTTTGGGGCTCCGGCTGCAGCTTCTGAGAAGGTGCGGTGACGGTGAGTTTCGAGTCACCATCCGAGGAGGTTTGATGCTGAGAGCCGGTTGGTTTGATGCCCTTCCAGCATCTGAAGAGCGGGGTCCTACCTCTTTAACCGCTGAGAACCATATGTTCTGTTGGCGTTGATCAGCATCCCCTGTTGCCGATCGAACAAGGAATGCCTGCCCAGTGGGGGGAATCTTCTGGTGTTCAGTGCATGAAGCCCCGTTAAGTTATCAATAGTTATCAGCTGGCCTGGTCCATGGAAGGGCATACCTGGAGTCTCAGTTCGTACCTCGGAAAATGGGTACAAATACCTGTTCTTTTATGGGGTCATGTACCATTTTCTAAGGTACTTTGGAGGGTCCGGGTAGGTTGATTAGAAAATGGAAGGAAAACCATCGAAATCATCTTCACAGTTTTGTCCGATGGGCCTCGATCTCGGATCCAGTCGTCTCAAATCACGGAAAGAGAGGGGCTTACAGTCCTTCAAATCACCCCAGCCATTGTTCATCTTTCTCCACATACTAACTGTCCCTGTTGCTGATTGTTGATACAGTGGCACACACAAATGTATATATATATATATTATATATATATATATATTATATAGCCATTTTGGAGACGAAGCCGCTAACATCGTCAGCAAAGAAATTGAACACCAAAGAAGGATATCAATACTATAGTAAATGTCGAAACACTGCTGATATGATTAAACAATCGATAAAACCATACCATTTTGGTGAGAATCACCTCACGCATTCGGAGTCCCTTGGCCTTTGCAGGTGAAGGTCGCCTCGCTCGGATAAAGCCCATTGTTGGTGAGCCTGGCACGGTTTGACAGGTGTCCGTATCACACAGTCATAAGGGTATTTTGTCCGCAGTACCATGTGGTAAACGTGCAACTTATATACTGATCTGATGGAGAACTAATTAGACCAAAACCTGTGATCAGGCACCATACTAATTCTAGGTTTAAAGCTGTAACCATACTATTGTACACCAACACACTATACTAATTAGCTGCCTAACACCTGTGTTAAAGACCTGAAATGTTTGCGATGAGATAGTAGTGCAAACCAACATCCTGCGCAGGAAACCAGTTCTCCAGTGACCATAAAACTTAGTTGCCCAGTTTTGCATTCACAACACCGACTCCCACCAAACATGTTCGGCCTTTGCTTGACCTGCTGCTCCAACAAACAACTACCGTACATACGTAGTGGCTATTCCCAACTTGCACATTCCATGCGCAAAACAAACACACGCATATAATTGCTCTTCGCAGCCTATACCCAGATACGACCGAAAGGACTGGAAGACTTATACATTGACGCCAGGTCAACCACGGTGGTGAAGAAGGCCTTTTTCACGGCCCATCTTCGGAAGATGTGGTCTTTTGCGCTCCAGCCATAGCTTCTAAGGAAGGTGTTTGGGCTGGGTGTCAGGAGAGGTCCAATCATACCTTCTGAGGAGGTACGACTGGAGCCGTAGCTGGTCTTTTGGAACCTTTGGAAGCTTTTGGTGTCTGGCCCAGACAGTCTGGCGCCCTCGTGAAGAGTGCGGCGTCTGCGGCCACCAGCTCTTGCGAACATGTGCCGCAGGGTGTTCAAATTGCCCTTGTTACTAGTAGCGATGCACGTTGCTACTAGTAACAAGGCCATTACTACGAGTGACAAGAAGCTACGAACGTAGCGATGCCCTTGTTACGAAGCTACTTGTTTCTAGTAGTGATGCCCTTAGTAGTCCTGTTGGCTGGTAAGTATGTTGAAGTTCCGGGAAAAAAAAAAGAACAAGAAACTTCAAACGCTGTTGCAGCTTCACAAATGGTGCCAGAATGCCAAACAACATCAAACAACATGTACCCTTTCACTGTGTCTGGAACACTCTGAATTGTTAGTGCAACATTTCGGACAACTCGTATTGTCTATCAGAAACCCGGCGTTGAAAGTACTTTCGGCAGTTCTCACACCACTTAACTCACTTGTTCAACTAACTCATCCATTGGGAAATATCTATTCGCTGTAGCAGTGGATAATGGTTAGGTTAGGTCTGACATCTCCAAAATATGGATGTTCTTGTTTACTGACTCTTACAGGTCATGGGACGACAGCCAACTCATCCAGACCGTCAAACCCCAGACGCGCAAAAGCAGCATCCGACCTCACAGAACCGTAGTTTGGAGCCGCCAGCGGGGCGCACTGCACGAAGTGCAGCGCGTCCCAGCGGCCACCCTGGTGCTTGGTTCGGGACGCCAGGTGGGCGGGTGCTCGAGATTCATGGTGCTTTGTGATTTAAAAGGGACTGTTCACTGAGACAACAAATATATGGATTCTATATGGACATGCAAGGCCATTCTGGTATGGGGGCTTGTTCATGTCAACATTAGGGTCCAAATGCAATTTACTCTGCGTTGCCCCAACAAAAGAAATATTGGACTTCTCATTAATAGCTGAGAAGTAATGTCACCATATCTACTTTGGCTGTCGTGTCCATGAATCCCCCTCAGTACAGACCAGGTACCGCACAATTGGTAACCCAGTTGTCACCGGCTGTGGCAACTTACAGCTGTCATTTTCTCCACCTGCTCAACACACCCGTTGATCGCTGAACAACAACGCCTTGTACCGCTGTCCGGGATGACCTGACCATTCCTGTCCCCCAAAGAATCCAAAGGACCGAATACATGCGGAGAGAAAAACGACCATTCACCAGTTCCCAACAGATTCTTCAAGGCGTAGACCGTATACCTTTCTAATAGCTTCTTGTTCCTAGTAGCGTGGCACTTGTTACTACTAGTAAGGCACCTGTTACTAGTAGCGATGCACTTGTTTCTAATACCGTATACCTACTTTTCCAACCCCAAACACGACCCATGGGACTGGCATATTTACATCAACTGGGTTGGTGTCCAACAGATTCTCCTGGGATGGAGCACGGTTCACTATTCTTCTTGGCCGCAACCCGACCAAGTGGCTGTGGTCAAAAAATGAGCCCTAATCCCTGGAAGGTTGACCTCCCTATAGCAGTCTATTCGGTTTATCTGGGTGTGCATGTTCATACATGGATCATACATACCAACACCTCTACCCTCTTTCAGGGCTTCCGGGCGGGTTCCTGCTGGTAGCTATTCTGTTCATTCGTGCGCGTTTTCGGAGTTGTTTTCGGTCAACTCTTCCCCAGTGCCCATGGCCGCTGCCTGCAACTGGTGCCCACGCAGCACAGTGACCCACTCCTACGGCGGGGAATCCGAGCAACTGGTCGTGCCTTTAACCAACTAAATCTCTCTATGCTGTTTCACTGGATTTGAGCCCTTGCTTCTTTTAAGTGTTTTGACATGTTTTGACCGTTTCGCTGGTTTTGTTCATATGTCTAAAGTCTCTGTACCTATTCGCTGGATTTAACTCTTGTTTCCTTAAGCCCGTTCTCTGGTTTCAGCCCTTGTGTTTTTAAGACGGTTTTCCGTTTCGTCGTTTTTTTGGTTTTGTCAGGTTCTTGATCATTTCGCAGGTTTTAGCTCTTAGTTTTTTTTGTTTTTCAGTTTTGTTGTTTCTTACCTCTTGTTTCTTGACGTTTCTTTACCATTTCGCTGGTTTTAGCCCCTGTTTCTCTAAGTCCCTTGCCCTTTTGGTTTGTTTCAGTTCTTGCTTCTTTAAGAGCATTTACTGTTTTGCTGGTTTTGGTTGCTTCTGTAATTTTGTTGACCCTTTCATGGGCTTTCGCGTTTGCTCCTTCTAGTCTCTTTAATGTGAACCCCGGATTAATAACCTCCCCACATGGTAGCTCAACAAGGTCAAGAAGATATGAGATACCACTCATGCGGTCCACGTCCCCTGAATAATCTGCTATGAGACCATTGGACCATGAAGGATGATTCCAGGGTTTGATGAGCATGAGGCCAGAGTCCATACAGGAAGCAGCATCAGGTGAGAGTTGCTGAATGAGCAGCATGAGCTCAGAGTTGTTGAATGAGCACCATGAGTCGGGCTACTTCATTTGAAACCCAAGCATCAAGATTGATCAACACACACTTTGGGTCCGGCTGTACTCAATCAATGGTGTATACCACTGCATTCAGAAAATGTTAGGGGAAAAATGGTGCCTTAATTCCTTATTGATGTCATGTGGGAAGCAGGCAGAAATTGAAGAAGCTCCACATTTTGCCAAACCAAAGGGAGCGTCAATCCTTTCTCCGATTTTTCCTTTTGTGCACATTGCAGCCGTGCTTGCTGTCTCGGATCAAGCAATAACTTCACCACAGTTTTGTGATTTAGCCTCCAACTCAAGCTAGCGGCCATTCGACCCGAGGTCATTCTAAAAATAATCTTGCTGGTGGTTTGTACAGTAGAAAAGGTTGCCACTGCTTTTCACTTTGGGACCTGTTGCTCAATGGCCACAGTTCTGAAAGCATCTACAGCCTACCTCACAAGGGCGACATTTGCTTTGTGCCCGAGCTTTACACACAATTACAAAACACTCTGCAGCAAAAGTCAAAAAAATACAGGACTTGAAAACCCAATCATGCTGTTCATGGTTTTTCCTCCGCCTTCAAGTTTTAAAAAATGTCACGGTCACGCCGCAAATTGAAATCTGCAACCTCCTCAGCTCATCATGCGCGCGCTGATGATCTAAAAGCACACATGTCATTGTCATTTCACCAGAGAAAGAAAAAGAGGAGAAACCTGTGAGCAGGTCTTCCCAGAGGTGGTCATCATCTCTCAAAGATTACAACAATATAACAACGCGAGGTACTTGAATCACTCTTTGCACTGCCTCGAAATGACTAGAAATGGCCGGTTGGCAATTATCTGGATAAATCAAGGCCTGATATGACAAGCCGAGTCACCCTCAATCTTTCCAATGTTCGGTAGGGAGCCAAAGACATTTCGCTGCTCGTCTTTCGTTGCCTCTGCCCAATGAAGAAATGAGGCCCCTTGCCAGAAAAGTGCTCCTCCAGAACATTCCTGATGAAGGGAAGCTCCTCCATCAATCCCTGACGTTGTGCAAGCTCTGGCCGGGCATGCCTTCAGCCTCCGCAAAGCCAAATACTCGAGGAAACGAAAGCTCTCTGAACCCATCGTCATGGAGCCAAAAATGTCAGTGAGAGCTGAGGCCAGGAGATGACATCTTCGAAGCTTTGTCGCTGCACGCACTCGCCAAACCACTAGATTCAGAGCCTTTTTTTTCAACACTTGCAGGATTGCTATCATGCTATCAGCGCCTTAGAGTGACTTTTGGGACAGTTTTCAACCTAAAGCCTACCAATGTGAGACCCATGGTCCGCGACCCTTAGGGCAAGTTTAACATGGGAAGGTTCTGGGCTCTCGGACTCTTGGGCTCACTGAGTATTTGAGGAAACCGCGCGGCTCAGGAACAAGGAGCGAGCATTGTTGATGAATTGATAATTTTGTTTCTGGGTTGTGTGGGCTCGGATTAACTGGGGGTTTCTAGGGCCAACGAAGAGATTCAGGGGGGAAATAAGCCACCAATACGACTTTCTACTTGGGCAATTTTCCAGGGCTTGGTGGGCTCGGATTATCTGGGGAGGTTAATCCTAGGTTGACATTAGCGTTATAGCTGGTGTCAGCATTTGGTCTGGCAAAGCCTTGCAAAACATGTCTTAATAGGCCATGTTCGGATCATCAAAGACCACGTTTTAGACCTAAAAGACATGAATATTACTCTTTACCGTAATTACCCATTAAACTTAATCATTAAACACGTTTCCCTGATGTTTTTGACGTCATGGGACATCAGGGATCAAAGACCGAACAGTTCCGTAGATCTCCCATCCATACTTTTCCACACACAGATCCACAAATAGGCTTGACCCAAATTACATGATTGAAGGGATCTTGAAATTACATGGCTCGACCCAACACTAATTTGGACTGAACAACTATGTATTTATGTTATACATATAATATTGTTAACACATCAACACAGTTTATATGTGCAAAAGGACCAAAAAACCTCCGCAATTTTGCAAATCAACATCATTGGTTAGGTCACACACGGTCACAGGCAAGTTGCCCCATCAATTTTTGAAAGGCCGCTCAAAGTGGTCTGAACAGGTTCAGACTGCAAAGTGTCCTGTGCCAAGAACTTCCTCACGCCCAACATCCAGCAAACAAAACAACAGTGGGCGGTAGGAGACACCGTATGTGGAGGCACTGTACCCACACAATCCATGTTATATGGAATAGTTACATACATTTGCCATCATCTACCCCATTTATGACCCTAATGAAGGAAACTATTGAATACATGGATGGTATGGGGTAGGTCATTGCAACCAGCGGCTCGGCACAGAGTTGGCGACGGGAACTCCGTGGACGGCCGTGGAGCAGAGTTGCTTCTTGCACAGCCAATGGGCAGCCAGCGGTTTCCCCGATGAACCGATGGGCAGTGGCAGCCAGTTGCTTCCAACCAGCTGCGTGGCATTCCAGAATCGCCACGCAGCAAGTCTTGCACTTCAAACCAAGGCAGTGGATCCTTAAGTTCTAATCAATGGTTGTCCTTAGGACATTCAATGACATTCAAGACTTGGGACTAGGTAGCTGATTCCTTCAGTCTTCTTGGAAGAAAAATTGTAGCTGGGACACCAATCTCCAAGAAAAGTTCAATGATTACAAACTATTTGCTGATTGTCATGACCCAAAAATTGTGACTTACAAGCCCACAATTCCGCCCCGACAATTCTGTTCTGTTGGGCTGAAGGTGTCACCGTTTTTGGGGGGAGCAGGCCGGGCCATCCTTCTGCCGAAACCTCGCCGTCCTCGCCCACCTCGCAACGTCCCACACTACCACCTGGGCGCCGTCCTCGGTGCCTGGACCGCTCTTCCGCTGCAGTAGGACCGCTGCGGCCGCGTAGTCCCGGTCGCCCCACTGGAAGAGCTCCAAACACATCAAGGCGACCTCGCGGAACGAACCCACTAGGGTGATCGGGTGATGAACGAGACCATCGCGACGAACAAACCACGAGCTGGGAGGATCGAATACGGACATGTCCGCGAAAGGAAAAAGGGTCCGACTTCAGTCAACCAAATGTAATGTCAAAAATGTCCAAAGAAGTCAACCGTAATAGTTGATCCGACTTCAAGTCCAACCAAGCTGAATTGAGAATGATACAAGCATAGACCCCAAACAGCTTCAAACCGATTCATTTTGACCAATATTAGTCAAAAAATGATTTCTTGGTACGCCCTACCTTCACCCCAAGAGCAAACTGCTTCATCAATGAGTTTGGCCAAGACAAGGACAAGAGGAGGACAAGGCCCAGCCACAGAGGACAAGAGGAAGACAAGGCCTGAACACAGAGCCCAGCCACGGAGCCCAGCCACAGAGCCCAGCCACAGAGTTCAGGGGCGCGCCCAGTGAGTGTGGCCAGCTCTTTTGTTTCTAAGATAGAACCCCAACAGTAAACTGTTTAGGGAAAAAACATATAGAAACACTTGACGTACTGGGGAGAAATCGTGAGCACCAGACTGGTGCTGTTTGATGAACCTGTGAAGATCGCCATTGTGTGCATCAAACCAGCCTCTTGATGCCTCGCGTCTGTGATGACTGCTGATTGGCAGCTGTCCGACTGTCCGACACCCAAACATGATACAATTCTGAGGTGAGTCTGGGGCAAACTCTCCATCTTTGCCCTCTGCTGTTGGAGCGTAGGCTGTTCTGTTTGAGCCTGTTCAGTCTTCAAACACATCGGGTCCTCCTTGGTCTGGGCTTTTGCTGTCACGTCCAAAGCTGATCATACCAGGAGGTATACCAAAGAGCCCTAATGATTGCCATCCTCCCGAGGGTTTGACCAGTCAACGTTCCCCATCAATCCGTTGGAGCCCGGCACACGTTGCCCGAGAAGTGAGGAGGGCCCCTGGTATTGGTGACAGCTTCATGCCTTTACAGAAACACAAGGTTCATGCCACTCCACCCCTTTGAATCCATGTTTGTTTCCCTCATCCATTTTCGGGAACCCCCAGATCCTTCGTTCAATGCCTGTCCCGTGACTACACCCACCCACCAAGCCACCAAACAACGAAGAAAGAAACACAACCCAGGGATGCGCGCTCTACCGTCAAAGAAAACCCAACAATACTCAAAACACCACTTCTTCATGGCCACTTCGACACCTCTTCAGCTGCAAGTGCCGATTTAAAGTCACCGGTACTTTCCTCACCCAAGTAACCCAAGTACTCACTCGTCGACCAAAAGCAAATGGACACACCAAAAACCAGTCACTCGTCGACCACGTGACTCACTCCCCGTTCCCAATCGCTCCAAACGACTGGCGCGTCAAAGTGGAGCGTCAGCCACGCCTGGCGCGCCGTCGCGACGCCGTCGCGAGCGCCACGTCGCGTGGTGCACGCTGGAGACTGGAGGGCAGTCGACTGGGGTGAATGAGGTGGACTGGAGGGTTGCGGCTGCATCCTGGACTGGAGGCTGGAGGGTGAATGGGTGGACTGGAGACTGGAGGGCAGTTTCTGAGAAGCTACAGTTTCTTGAATAGTTGGATGCGGGAAACGGAAGTGGATGATGTTGCAGTGCCACTTTGGCCGACCAACCTAGGGTTGCCCCTACACTTTGAATTGATGCTGTATAGTCAATTTCTGTGAGTTCTTCACTGCCAAGAAGGATTGGCACTTGCAAGTCAGGCTCCAACACTCTAGAGATCCCTAGAGTGAGCGGGCGAAGCTTTTATCCTGCCTCTTCTGAGCCCTTAAGGAAGAAAGCAAGGAACAAGAATATACCCAGCCCCGTGCACTACTGTTGATAGTGAACCCAAATTCCACATCTTCCTCTTGGATGTCCTGTCATCTTTCCCGTATGCCAACCAACAGTTTCACATTTTGGATCCGAGCCTCTTCATCTGAAAGATGGCAAAGGTTGATAAGATGAAGTTGCCACACTTGATTTGGCAAAGAAACTCAGAACTAGCTCTTGTCTTGGCCTTGGCTCCTCTTTACCACAGAAAGCTGAGCCGTCCCGCAGTCCAAAGGGGACACCCAAACGGGTAGAAACTATAGAACATAGAACATGGAACATCAAGAACTGTTACAAACCATCCTTTCCAAGTCCTACTGTTTGTCTTATGTCGTAGGGTTCTCCAGCCTTAGTAGGATACACATGACATGTGTGTTCAGATTCAACTTACCAGGTACCCAGATGCTCCGTTCACAGCCCTTGTCTTTGGGTCCGACCCCGGGTCCAAGGTCCGGTGACCGGTGAACCACCCGCTCCACAGCCATCGGTCGTCGGCACCTCGTGCAGTCCGCAAATGTGGCAGGGAGCCCTCCACTCGGTGAGTGTGGAACCATCCAGCACGCGGCTGGCAGAGGCACCCAGCCTCGACGTGCAGACGCGCAGCCCATGCGTTTTGGTGCGATCAAAGACGGAGAAAGGCTGGAGATTTGAGGATGTCCAACGGTTTTGTGAGGGAAGACTGGAGAAACAACATGAATTAGACATGTTTGGGTTGTGATAAATATATATATATATACAATCATACACATATATATACATATAATATATATATATATAGTATTATTATATACTATCTCATGCAAATGCATGCATGCATTTGCAATGCGAGCTTTTGTCAACTTATGACATGATGGTCTTTGGCCAAGTTCAAACTTCGTTTTGGAGGTTGATCGGACACTGCCACCACTTTGGGCCAGCGGCCAGTGTATGACCATGGTTGTTAGAAAGGATCTTCTATTCACTCTCATGGCTCAGCTTGGGTGTAATATGCACTTCATAGTCATAGATGCATGCAGTTCCAAGTTCCAAGTGAAACTAAGAAGAGTCCTTGCTGGAGTTGTTGTAAACGTCTTGTGTGTCTACGCCGAAGAGCCCTTAGATCAAGGAAGTTGCATTTTCTCGTTCGTCCTCTTCTTCTTCTCCTCCTTCTTCATTTCATTTCTGGGCTCACCCACCACCACACCCAAGCCAGATATTTGGCTGACAACGACTGGTTCGAAAGCCATTGCTCCATGGCAAGTTATTTGGCCAACAACCCCAATCCCTTTTGTTCCCAAGGCAAGGGTTTTACTCGTTGACCATTGAGGTCTATCTGCGCTGGTTTTTGTGAAGGACTTACGGCCATACTTTCTCTCCACCAACTCAATAGATGCAAGTGACATTTTTTGTCAACTCTCTTCACTCCAAGAAAAGGTGTCTTTTTATCAATCTGTTCAATCTTGGGCTTGGGCGGGGTTCATGATCTACTTCGAAAACCAACACATGATGGACAGGATCTTCATGTGGGGTCAAACCTGCCCGTGGAACCCTCTGTCATCCTCTTACATACCGACAAAGGTTGAAGGACCCTTTTATCTCGCTTGGTCGCTCGCGTGTTTGTTGGCCCAACCGTCTCTTCTCCCCAGGAACACCCCCACCAGCTGGGTGAACCCCCACGCGCTTGCGCCCTCAGCCCGGGCAGGTGCTGCCGGCTCTTGGCAGTTGGGGTCTGAGAAGGTGCGAAGCTCGCCTCGGTGTAGCGATCGCCCTCCCGGCCCTCTTGGTAGGGAGAAAACCATCATGGAGACGAGTGCCTCGTTCCATCACTGTCTTGTAGAAAAGTGGAGTGAGTTCTGAGTGAGTGAACACCTGTGGCTATGAGTTCGGACGGCATGGTCTTCCCTTTTTGGCCATGCCATCCATTGGCACGTGTTCGTCGGAGTGTATTGAGCTTACATTGTATTTAATACTATATATTTCTAGTGAGCGAGCGTCAACGGAATAAGATCGGCAAAAGCACACCTGGAGCCTGTACGTCCTTCCCTAAGAACAATCAAAACTCTTTGGTAACACCCATATACGGCAAAAACACTATCATTATTGATGTCAACCTTCATTATGGAGAGCTGTTGGAGAGTGCTGGATGTTGGTTGGCAGTGGTTTCTACAGGAAAATGACAATTTCGGCTGGCGCATCATTCTTTGCATAGCGGTTCTGTGAGTATGCCGTGCTAGGGCATCTTCCTGTTCACTGGAGGCCGTGACTCCCCCCGGAAGTAGAATGGGCACGCCGAGGGAGAACCTTGGACTGTGTGGACTTCTTCAACTGAAGATGTCAGGACACTCCATACACCTCGGCAGTCGCGGTGTCAGTAACCGTCTAAGTAGCCCAACAAACTGCACCCGAAAGATGTGTTACAAGTGCTCCGTTCGGGTGAACACACCATCTTTGCGACGAAAACCCACGACATCTTTGCCTATGTGATCAAACACTTCTCCACATGTTGCCCGAATTTGACCACCAAAAGACGGAAAACACAGAGGTTTGTGGTGCCGTGCCATCCCAACGAATGAAATGCTCCTGCCTGTTCCTAGGAGTTTGATTGACCCAACTGCCCCAGTTCGACAATGGGTGAGTAATGATAAGTAAGCTATCGACAGGTCAACGTGTACAGCAAGTCACCCAGTAAACCTGGTTGCAACTATACCCAAGCACTCCATGTATGGAATATTTACTGCACCTACATTGATCCCAGGCCAAACCACCCAACTGTATGTCAACATGCCATATGCCATACAGGTTGTGTCTGGGATATACCAGGCAAGCTTTCTTCAGACTAGTCGGACCGGGTGGTCTCCTCTATCCTGCGCCTCAAACTGAACATCATGACCAGCAGTCACAGTCCATCTCTATGATTCTCTGAAGGTGATCATTTCCAATGGTTTACCCCCCAGACAGTGGTCAAAACCCCCTCCGCACACGGCTTTCACGAATGGTTGTGTCCGGTTGTACTACCGGTTGTGTCTGTCAAAACCCCCAAACACTCCATGCATATGGCATCATATGTCCCTACATTGAGGTGGTTGCAGGGGTTAGCGTATATACTAGTACCATTGATGGAGCGTCGTGGATGACGCCCAAAGGACAGGCTGTCCTTGACTGGACGGCTGTCCTTGACTGGCGCAGAATGACCCATCCCCAATCCCCTACGGGTCGGGACAAGGTTCTGATTGTACTGGAGTTGCTCATACTAAAACACTATACTCAATGAGGTTCTCAGGAAGTTTGGCCCTGGGTCAGACTGGACCTCTAGGGAATCATGATGCTCTTTTTGCGAAGTTGCTGATGCTCCAGCCGTAGGTGACCTGGCGAGTGTTGAAGCACACATGAATGGACCCGGACCCTGCCTGGCTAAACCCTCGTCCGCCCTGAGACACAAACAAAGTGATGGACTTATTCCCGACAGTTCCCGATGTATCCGCGGATTCCAGCTTTGATTTGAACCTAGAGATTCCAAGTCCGAACGTCGCGTTCGGAAAAGAACATGCGGGGACCAGTGTAGGACCCAAGGAATTTGGTGGGATTGCTACAGGGTGGAGAGATTAGCAGGTCATAGCCCCAGGGCCGCTTTGTTGGGGAAAACCAATGGGAAACCAATGTTGGCAACTCAACTCTTAATCTACTTGTTTCCCGCAATCTGAACTGCTTGACGATTGGGCTGTGGGACAAGGGACGACCAATGGGAGCTTCAAAATTCAGAAGAAACATTCCATCCGCTATGCAATCACCGGAGCCACGTGCCCAGCGGTCATACGTCCACCGTTCGGAGTGGCGAGGCGACTTGGTTTTGAACCAGGCCTCGCGGTACAGGTGTAACAATGTGGCATCCACCATGCAGAATGTTATTGATGTTGGACACGCGTCCAGGCCAAAGAAGGGTGTGGTTTTACCACCCTGACATTCGATTGGGTTTGGCGCCTGAAGTCAGTGGGCCAAAAACAATTTGGAGGAATTGAAAGTAGCCTGGCAGTCAACACGGAAGAGTTACGCTCTCCAAGGCCTTGGTTTAAGTATGAACCTCATGCCTACCGTCGAGTAAAGGACCCCACAGATTGAACTCCTCTCCCGCTTGTTGAGGCGGCCTCCAAAAGAAGTATCCCGGCAAGGGACAACTACGATAAGAAGAACTAGTCAAGGGTGAATAGACAATCTGCAGTCTAGAGTCCCAAGCACACTCACGTAAGAGCACACCTGAGGAGGGAGAAACAACAGCTATATAGTAGAATCGAGTATGCAGGTCTTGGTTGTAAGGTAAGAGGCAATGGGTGGTTGACAATGCACAAATACCACGGTGCATGAAAACAAATAGTTGAAATATGTTGAAATGTTTTCATGTTTTACACTTTTCTCATCACGAACGCTGCAACCAAAGCCTAGGTCCCTGAAAGGTTATATGAATGTATCATGAATGTGTAAAATGATTTGCTAACGTAACCTTTCACTTTGATTGTGATGCCACCGGTTGGGAGACACCGGCCACCGGTGGCTTCGGGGACGGCCAGCGGCCTCGGCATCGTTCACGAGGCGCCACGTGGTGCTGGGGCTGAAGCTGAAGTCGATGGGCGTCGTTTCGCCGCTGGCCTTCGAGGCGCCGGTCGGGGCCGATGGGACGGAGACTGGGCCCAGAGTGGAAGGATTGGATGCGGGAATCGGAAGGAGCTTGGACAATGGTTTGAAGAACTCCTCCATGCAATTCCTTCTTTGGACGGGGAGGAGTGTTTGAAGGTTGATACTGGCAAGTGTTCAGCGGTGATTAAGGGATGGGTACCCAACTCCCATAGATTTAGATGCATTTGGCAAACCCAAACATGACCGACCTGGCTTGAGTCGGACATTTTGGGACCACATGACAAGAATTGTTTGTGGACATTTATATAAATAATTTGTCCCTCGAATGCAAGTCGTTGAGTGGTTGAGTAGGGATTGTCCTACAGATTCGTGCCAGCAATCCAGCGGAAGCGTTTCTTCGACATTCTGTTTGTAGTGTTCACCTTAAAGTGAACCAAAGCTAGATCTACAATAAATAATTCTTTGACTGCTTCACCTTGGAGCCAAAGTGTTCCACATTGTTCCACTACCAAAAACGTTAACACATATTGTCAACGAGTCGGTCGACCGGTGGAGAATATCCCTGCACTCTCAAATGATCAAACATAATTGTGCATTCAGAAATTCCTGTGCTTCAGAAATGCGCCAGCACGTCATTTGATAAAAATAATGATACGAGTCAGTCTAGCTATCGGTCAGTCTGGCTTTGATCATCGCAACCGCAGGAGCCCCTGAGGCTACAGGAGTTCAACCTACCACTGAGCCCAAGCAAGGGTGGTGATTGGAAGATGTAATGCATACTACGCCGTGTTTCTCTCACTCTCAACCACCCAACTTCCGTGGTGCTTAACTTGAGTATATAGACATTCTTCAGTTGGTCTTTGCAGTGAATTGAGCATTCCACTCAACTTCTTTCCCCCTTGTGAAGCATAGATTGTCCATATCTACAAATACCGTGGCCACCTATTTGGCCGCATTCCCTACCACTCCTGTCCCACATCCTCAGAAAAGAAGTTAGACCCCATAAACTCCAACCACCTTCACCTGAGGATGGACAGGAGCCTGAAAGGTGGAGGTCCTTCCATGTCTAAACTAAACGAACGCGGCGGATCCCCGGGCGCCCGTGGATCTTCTGCAAACCCTAGGGATCCACTGCCACCGTACCTACATAATAAACATGTCCAATCACCGTACCTCAGAAGGTGCCAGTGGATCCATAGGGACGGTGATGTTGTTCAAACACGTGCTCCCCGAGGCTTGCCGACCAAGCCACCTGCGCCAGCAGCCCAACGATCCACTTCATTCGGCATGGGGCAGCCAATTCGGCATGACGATCAGTGTTGCTGCGGCATCGGAGCGACTGAGGATCCTACAGATCGGACCTCTGAAAAGTCTCCCATTCTTCCTGATCAGGTACCACCAATCAGTGGTTCATGGGGTTTAGCAGTGACGCCCCACACAACAGAGGATTTGGTGCATAAAGAGTGAAGTCCCGAAGGGACCACTAAGACATATTTTGTGTGGCTGTTCAATAAGAAAAACAAATATTTTATACACATCGAAGCAGGGGTCAGTCTCCAACCAAGGGTCGTTTCAATACATCGCCAATCTGACCATACAGTTCATATGGGCGTGTCTTAGAATAGGAAGACCCCTCAAAGACCTCTGGGAAAAGCCACAAGCAGACCATATCAGACTAAATCCATTGGTTGGGAGTTCCCTCCATTGTAATACAATCCATTTCTGTAACAAACGTATCTGGAAAGGCTTCGTACTTGGGTTTCTCGTGAGGTCGACTGCAGCTGAAGCTGCGCGAATACGGATCTGCGATGATCTGCGTCCGTCTGTTGGCAACATACAGCTTGGGAAGAGTGGGCTGAATACATCGGAATACATCCAAGAACCAGGTAGGTTTCATCCGCAGTGACTTGACAAGTCCTTCATCCGCGCTGCCGCACCGCAGGTCCGACTGGAGCCCGTCGTGTCTCGGTTCCACCGATGTTTCTGAAAAGGGTGAACCCAGGAGTTGGGCATGACATAGCTTCAACAGCTCACTGGGAAATGTTATATTCTAAGATTTTACCCATACCTTGCACATATCATGCGCTCCCAGTTTACTCTACGACTGTGTGGGTGAAACAGCATGTCAAGAAACATCTTATGAGACTTGTTACAAACGTTGTGTCTTTTTTGAGATGCTTTAAACATAAACCCATCCAGTGAGTGGATAATGAGCTCATCTACCCGTATCTCAATCAAGCACCCCAAAATGGAACTGGTTCTCAGTGGCTCCAAGAAAACAGTTTTTTTCGGTCACAATTATCAAAGGCGAGAAACTAGACAAAGAAGCTAGCAGCTACACCCCCAGGTTCTCGCAGCTGAGTATCTGTTGAATATGTTGAATCGTTGAACACAGCGCATATCCATGTTCCACTACCACCGCAATTGTTGATTTGTGGTTCCACAGACTATATAATATAATATATATATATATCCGATAGCTACCTGGTCCCGTTTACTTCTTAGCCAAATTCCTCCAACAACCTCAAATACCATAGGCAAACTTTTGCATGAGGACTGTCATGATAAACCGATGCTCTGGAAACCACCGAACCGATCGCCCTGTTCGCTCTTTCCTGCAGGAACACAACAGTCGTTCCATGTGGTTCCCCTCATGGTTTGGCACAGAGCAACCACTTTCATTAGTTCTTTATGTCTTGCCATTGTGTTCTGGCTCTGCGGGCTAGGGTTGTCCAACCCCAGCGCAGTCCCCTCCATCTATTCCACTTCCATCATGATCCTACGAACTTGAGCGGTTTTGGGAAGTGCAGTTGTGGGATAGACCCCAACAATACCTTGAAGCGGATTGCATTTCTCAGCAACGAGCTTCCAAGTCGGTTCATTGCTACGGTTGTCAATGACGGCTAAGTTACTGAGTAGCTCTCAAATGCACATGAGTTTTAGTCAATTTGTGTGAAACAACACGTTGCCCCTCATGCTACTGCCAGATGATACCAACCCCAAAATATCTCAAGCAAAGTATCTCAAGCACCACGGTTTCCCGCCCGGCACATCCGCGTTTTTCGAACCCAACCGAGCTGGCTCCCACTGGCTCGCTAGCTGAGAGCGATCGGCCTGCATGACAGTGGCACCGCACTGGACTGAAGGGGAGCCAATGCATTCATGGAGCGAAAGTCTCCCATGGTGGATGTTCAAGTACAATCTTCCAGCCAATCTATAAGGATGTTTTATAAGGATGTTAAACGAGGCGAATTGCTAACAAACCCCACCACTATTGAAAGAATGGATTCGGACTGGGCTCGACTGTAACGTGATGACATGTGTGAAATGATGTGGAGACAGTCACATTCATCCAAACCAGTTACGGACAAACACAGGAGAACCACCAGTGATCGAAAAACACACAAAAAAACAAAATGCAGAGACATAAAAACATATATTTTATCATATTTTATCAGCAGTTCGATAGGAGTAACTTTGAGCTCCCAAATTAGTGGATAATGGGACCCCTACACTCCATAAACACCCATTTGGAACTGCTCGTGCTGACTATGATTATCCAGCCCTGCGATCGTTCCCTGTGTCGAGGCGATTGAACCCTCTTGTTTCACTGACTCAGATTTGTGCAGCTACCATGGGCCATTAACTATACCCAAAGGACATGGTAGGTGCGCTTGTAAGAACGCGGCGTATTCACAATGTCAATGTTTCAAGCTCTATAAAGTGGTAACTTACTTTAGTTTTGAACATTGTTTCCTCCCAGCGGTTCTTGACACACATTTCAATTTTTGTCTGCAGCACAGGTCGCCGATAGCACTGTACAACGACTTTATGGTGAGTCTGTTGAATTTCTTTTGATACTGTCACTGTCTCGGATTTTGGCCTTTTTCATCCAGCGTCCAGCTAAACAACACAAGTTCGTGGGTTCGCAGATCACTCACTTGAAGTGAAAATGCATCTTTGTTCCTGTTTGCATGTAGTTTCATCTTAGATGCACTTGCAATCGATCGTCATTAACCCTCCACCCAACCCACATCTACACGTCGTTGATCATGTTGTGCAACCAACGACAACAAACAATGTGCAAAAACACTTGCAAAACTAAACTTGCAAACATCTACCTTGCAGATTTATTTTTTGGAAGTGGTTTTGCGGTTTGCGGGCATTTCTCACTTCCACCCTCATAGTATGTGCCAAAAAGTGACAGCAGTCGCGCGCTCTGCGAAGCGCTCCGGCAACACACTACTCGCAACAGGTGGCCAAAAACAAGGAAGAATACCAAACAAACCAAGCAAAACAAACTTGAAAACGTGGTAATGTGTTGGGTTTCCAATCTCTGGCGTCTTCTATCTTCACGACATATCTGTTGGCCTCAAATAAGGTTCGATGCATGCCATTGGCAAAGTCTGTCAAGGTTCTTATGAAGTCAGCAGGAGTGGCAGCCCTCTTGTGTCGTGAAATGCATCGAGCTAGCCAGCCGAAACATTGATCCACGTCTTCATGACTGTGTTTTGACCTCATGCAATTTAATGAAATGCTTTTAAGGTTTCCACAGCTTACCTGCACAGCGCACCGTCGTAGAACCATGTTGTGTTTAGTTTGCCTGCTTGTATTGTCCACTTGCAAACACAGCTGGACCTGCGTGGGTCATTTTTTGTTTTTTTGTCAACATGGTCGACCGTGTGCGCGCAGGTTCTCGATGGACGTATTGCCCTGATTGATCGAAAGTAGTGGTTTTTGTGAACGAAAAATATGCAGTTTATTGAACTCATTAGGTTTGGTTCATCAATTCAGATTCCGATTTTATCTCTTCACGCCACGTTATGTATTGTGTGACAAACAGCGTTCTTAAAGCGTACTCCAAGCGACCTTCCAGAACGAAGCAAAACTTGCAGGTTTCTCCAAAGTTGTCGTTCAGTATGCTTCAGTCGACCTTTGATTTTCCTAGGGGTCCCCTCTAGAAGTCTCCCTGTTTCAGTTTTATCTTCCAGGCAGAAAGAAGCCGATGGAACCATATTTTGTTAAGAATACTGGGGAACGACACCCCGAAACGAAATCTGACGGAAAATGCGCTTTCCATTCACACTGCAATGAACGTCCCTCCCGCTCCTCCCTCAAGAAGGGAAGCGGCAACCAAACACAACAGTCCTGACCAAGGGTGTCACTTTCAACACTCCCCAGATTTACTTTGATCATGAAATGAGATCAGGCTTCCAGGTGTGAATTTCTTTGTTCGAAGTATTCTGAGCATCACATCGACAGCTTGAGGGACTTTCCACCCCTTTGAGACGCCACTCGACTCAAGGTCATAGAGCCAGCAAAAACTTTGAGCAGAACAGGAGCAGTTAGCTTGTGGCACTTGGCCAGTTGTGTCTCTAGCGAAGTCCGAAAAAGCTTCTAAAGCTGTTCGGACCTCTTCCAGATGCCCCTTGTTCATAATACGTTCGCTGTTTCCTAGCAGACTATGGTACAAGGCTTGTTCAACCTGTGCTGTGGATCAAAAGCTACTGCTCTTCGATCGTCTGTGGGGGAGGAGAAAAGATCATGGAGCCCTGCGTCCGTGCTGCAGCTGTTGGTCGGCAGTGTTGCTGGCGCAGGATAGCTGCTTGGGTGAGGAGCTGTTGTGCTTCAGTCACCTTGTCGGTGATGGGCGTCCTCGTAGTTCCTCTTGGTTTTGAGATCTGGAGCTGCCGCCGCTGGGGTACTCCTCGAAGGTGGAGTCTGCATGATACACCAGTTGGCATTGACAGGACACGCATGGCTCCGCACTTCGAGCGGTCTCCCGTGGAGCCCCAGGAACCTGACAAAGAGCGATCGAATCTTTCAAACGCGGTTGAGTCAACCGGGAGGCGGGACACTTGCTGTGAGCCACATGGTGGTGGTGGTGCGGACAATACAAGTACTGCAGCTCCTTCACCGTTCGCTTTCTCAGTGAAGCATAGGTGACATCCAAGCCAGCTGGCTTCTTTTGAATCAGGCCTTCGATGAGAGGTTCCTTGGTCATAGGAGTCCCATGAGAGCGGCAGTGCTGATAGAGAAGAAGGTTTCCGCTCCAGCACTCGGGACACTTCTTCAGCATTTTGGATGCCATGAGGGAAACAAGCTGTGTATGCAACTAGGAGGGTTCGAGGCTTCACTTTGAGCTGGGAATGCCAAAAAAACAACGCCAAACAATTTTCGTTTGCCGGTGCCAGTCCCACTCCATGTCTCTCCCACGATTTGTGATTTGTGAAGGTAATTTATGATTTCTTTCCTCAAGACCCATGAATCTCGTGGTGTGTCATGACTCACGCGTAGCTGCTACAGCTATAAGGATGTTGCACTACCTGGAGGACCCGGCCATATGGTCATCAGTGAGGTCTAGGTCCAACAGTTCCTGAAGTTGCAAAGCATCTCCCTTGACTCGGTATTGAGGTTGGCGAAGAAAAAACACCCTGTCCACTGGCAATCCATGAAAACTGGATCAGAGTGAACTTGCCAATCATCATGTCGAGGGGTCACTTCATGATCCCCATCATGCAACAAGGTCATGCGCTCATGCGCTGAGGGAGCAGTTGCTCAAGAGAACAAGGCAAATCTATAAATCCTGAGCCTATTTGGGGATGAACAAGCATTTGCGACAGAACCCCGTCCTCGACCCAGCCAACAAAGTCCCCATACGTTCCTCTCGGCCCTTATGCTCGTGGCAGGACGATTGGTGGCTTCCATCCAAAACATCAAGGACCAGATGGCCGCCTACCTCTAAGACGGTCAGCTCCAACTTCTGTCTGTGAGCTGGCAGTGTTCTGGCTAAAGTCAGCGCACAGACCGGGACGGCCCAAAGTGGCACGGCTCAGCGAAAGACGCGTGTGTCCTGCAACGACACACACCCGCAAGCTGGCTTTGACGCCATACACTTTCACTGGTATATCGGCAGCAAATAACGCTTTCACCTGGCCTCGATTCCCAAATTCAACTAATCTGACTCAAGCCGGGTGGCTTGTCGGTGCAGCAAACCTTGTTGCTGCAGAGACTCTTCCCAGCGTCGAAAAGGAAAAAGGCCACTGACTGTTTTCTGACATCCACTGTCCAGAATACCTAAGGCTTCGGGGCAGAGAAATGAGGAGGATTCCTTCAATGCAAAGGTGTGATCACATCCAATCGCTTCATCAGCCACTTGCACCATATGAGCTGCCTGCACTTTGGATTTGGCCATCGTCTCTTGGTATATGGGACACACGGGATCCCGTGCCCGGCAGCTCTACAAGGAAGCGAGCATAGCTTGGCGAGCTGGTCCAATGGATGGCTTCGTCTTCCAGCTCTCTCCTTGCTTCTCTGAGTCGTCAAATGCATCTGCTCATGCTTTCTCCGTGAACGCGTCCACATGCCACAAACTCTTCAGCCTCCTCGTCCAAGCGATCTTCTTGCAGCCCGAGGTATTCATCATCCAAAGTATCCAGGAGCAGGGAAACTTTCAAATATTCAGGCACTCAAGTTCTTTGCAATCTCCAGGGCTTCACCGGTGAGTTTGAGGTGGACGGCTAATAAGCCAGTGCCAGAATTCCCCACCAACTCTGCATACCTCTTTACTGCTCCTCGATACTCTCTGTAGTGTTTCTGAACGCCATCAAAAGCTGGCAACTTCACGTTGTTGCTATGATCTGGTGGCTTCCCATGCTTCTTGTGTGTCTTTTTCTTCTTCTTTCGGCGTTCCTCACTGTCACTGTCGGACGACGACTGCAAGCAATTCCTGTGACTCTTTGGGCTTGCGCCCATGAGGTTGAATCTCAGCAGGAGGCTTGGTCTTTGGTTCCCTGTCTCTTCCTTCAGCTATTCCTCTCCTCTTTGAGGCCCAAGGGTCATTGACAAACAAACGGTCTTCTTGTTGCCCAGCATGACCATGCCAACGTGAAGGCGTGTCTCCCAAGCTGGTTCCCCCCGGTCCCCCCTCTGTTCATGAGGCTGGGCATCTTTCTTGCCTGAAGAGGCCGAAGCATTAGCCTTCTCCAATGATTCTGATGAAGTCGAGGGCGCACAGGCGAAGCGGCTGGGGTGACGCACTGAGAATTCCAGCTGCTCCCGACATCGTCACGTTAACTCCGAACCAAAGAACGAAAAGTGAAGTCCCATCAGAAACCTCAAACTTCTCACCCCCTTGGAAAAGAAAGTGAGCCCAATGTAAAGAATACTGGGGAACGACACCCAGAAATGAAATCTGACGGAACCTGCGCTTTCCATTCACACTGCAACGAACGTCCCTCCCGCTCCTCGAGAAGAGAAGCGGCCACCAAACACAACAGTCATGACCAAGGGTGTCACTTTCAACATATTTTAGGTGGGCAACCTTCCAAAGACTCACAATTCACAATCAAACACCAAGTGTGGCTCGGCTAGAAATCTGATGTCCTGTCTTTGAGGTGAATGGTGGTGAATGACTACCCCCAAAAGAAGCCGTGCCTTTTCCAAGTAAGGACAAAAGCAACCGCAAGAGTGGAAATTGCTCCCGTGAGTGGAAGATCCTCGAATTTGTCTTCAGAACCTGAAGAACGGGATCCCAACATCCTGCAAGTTGAAGTATCCTGTCATATACCAGTCAGTTTGAGCCTGCCCAAACACTCCAAACAGCCCGACTGGTACCTCAAAACCTAGGGATTTGAGACCCCAAACCCCTTCATATATGGGTCCATGAGCGTCTAGGTGAACCACGAAAACCGGCATGAAGCACCGAAAAAACGTAATACACGAATCATTACAGACTGGGCCACAGAAACCCACCAAGGGGTCGCGCCTCACTCGCCCGTGAAGGGGTCGTACCTCAATTTTTGTGCAAAGCGGAACCACAATTTGTGTGGTACCTACAGAACCTATAGTAACAAGGACGCTATTAGGTGGAGGCCATCGCAAGTAGGTTGGAGGCCATCGCTACTATAGTAACAAGAAGCTACTAGTAGCAAGGTATAAGCCGGGTTCAGAATTCATGTGAATTATAGAACTACATATAAGGCCAGCAAATCCACAGCCGAGATCCTTACAAGTCTACTTGTCGCCGGGCGACTTGCTTCTTGCTTCGGAGAGGTTTGATCATCAGCGACGTTCTTCTTGCTCAAGGACGTGCGTTCTTCAACGTCCACAGGCACCAAACAGTCACCCTGTCAAGTACAGTGATTTCAGAATAGATGGCACCCTCATGCAATGGCACCCAAAGATGTCCTTCATATGGAGGTCTACTACTAAACTTGGGGTCCCTTGCGCCATCGAACCTCTGAAACCACTTGGCTGGCCCCATAGACTGACTGCCATCTGGGCAGCACTGAAAGCTCACTTCGACGGAGTCCCGGCGCCCCAGGCTGACCACAGGAGCGGACCTGGGGTAGTGGACTCCTGGACTTCACCACATTCGGTGCTGTAGGTACGTTCTTGAACATGTGCCGCTGGGCCCTGGAATTTCCAGACATGTCGAAGATCTCTAACACATTTGCTGCCTTGAAAGGAAAACGGTTGCAGTCGGTTCAGAACATCTAGATTGCACAAACTTGAGATGCGTTTATCTACACGAAGATTCCAGGAATCTCCAAAGAAACTCCAAGTACTACCTGCAGTTCATCTATATGTCCATCAAAATAGTCCTGGCGCGCCATTGCGTTCACCATCCAGAGAGCCATCCACCGTTCCTTCAAACACGCCGCCCCGGTCTCTGGAGAAAGCCGTCCAAATCGGCACGTCCCGTCCCGGATGGTCTCCTCTTGCACCATCACAGCGATATCCTGATATTCCTGAATCTAAAAAAACACCTTCTTTCCCTTCATCAGCCAAACGCATCCAAACACCTGGTGTATCCTTCCTTGCGCAACAGGTGTTCCACCATTTAGAGCTTCATCCGGCCATGAGGTGCCGAAACAGCAACGAACTGCTTCAGCGCTGGCATCGTGCACTCGTTACGCCCTGTGCGTTGTGCGTGGTTGCTTCCCGCGGCGGGTGCCCAGCAGAGCGACTTCTTTCAGTCTTAGACAAGAGCCTAGTTACGCCCAGGCTCCTTGTCATCTTGCTGGCGGATCAAAAAGACAAGCAAAGCTTATGCCCAGCTTTTGATCTCATCTGGGCCTTCTGGGAATGGTAAGGTCAAGAACATGTGTTACCAATCAACCTTGGCTCTTCAACTGCAGCTATGTGGCTCTTGCTCCTCTTCTTCGTACTCCTGCCGATCATGGAAAAGAACAACAATCGAGTGATTGTATCCAAAAGAACATGGTGCACAAGTCCGGTTGGGAACACCCTGTTTTGATCAAGCATGGCAAATCACTCGTGGGTTACATGTAGGAATCCATCTATAGGGCCTTCCAAATCAGCCATGCTGGGACAACATCATGTGTGTAAATTTGGGTGATGCCCAACCAAGAACGCCTGGACGAAGAATAATGGACTTCAACTCGTTGGTTGGGGTTGGGGGCCTGGAGGGTCAATCCACAGCTTTCTTTTGTGGGGTGGCGCGGCAAAGAACAACGCCAAGAACAGCAAACAAGCACCGTGCTAGCACGGTCTTTGGATCGTTGGTTGCAATGCGTCATCGATTGCGTTGAATCTAAGAACGTTTCTTCGGTGCAGCACGTGTAGTGCAGCCTTCACTGCAAAGTCAATGATGTTGCACTGCTTGGGACCATATAGACATCAGGAGTTCTTCCCTCACGGCCAGATCTGACCCCAATCCTGATGACTTCCTGGTATCACCCGCACGTGCGGCTGATCCCGAACGGAATCAGCCCGAGCAAAACGGAGCTCTGCTCTCGGTGGACCCGGTGGGCGGGAGTTTGACCGTCTTCATTGTTGGCACGTTTCTTTTCGCATTCTGTGAGGCAAAACCTGGAGACCCAGGTTGATTAACGGATGGGCCCCACGTTGATCAAGTGATTTGGGCCCCAGATCCTTCGGGTGGTGTCGACAAACGATGTGTGGTGTCGGATTTTGCAAAGCGACGCGTCGGTCATCTTTTTGTCGACAGACAGACAGAGGTTCGGAGAATGGGTACAAAGACTCTACCTGTTTCATCTAGCATTTCTACATGCTCCATGTTCGAAGGTACAAACCGGAGGGGGGTCCAGCCCTGAACTCACCGAGCTCACCGAACTCGCGACCAAAGAGTCCTCTTCTTCCAAGACCTCCTCTGGCACCTCCGGTGTTCGACAAAACCAACATATGGGTTGGAGTAGATATGAAACGCCTTGTAAAGCAAGCAATTGATATGACTCTCCAATGTTTCAAGTGTCCATGAATCTGGAAAGTATTCATTCTTCCGAAGACATGTAAAGACCAGCGCCGTCCCGTCGAACGATGTTCACTCCAGCTGGACCACCAAATCTGACCAGATCAAAACATGCACTGAGAACACACCATCCCAGACTTGAGCATTCCACCCCAAACACTCCATGAGACTGGCATATTTACATCCAATTGGGGTGGTTGAAAAGAGATCAATGTATGCATGTATACACCATACATGGAGTGTCCACATGTCCAAACCATAGCAAGGAGCTATGTAGTTGCTCCCGAAACCCGTCGCTCCAAAGAGACACCTGGCTCCCCTGTGAAACATGGAACATGCTGATGGAGACCCCGCCGTCACCGTCGCACCCCCCAAAAATGGACCTGGAGTCGACCCGGGAGAAACCTGGGCTAATCGGTACATACCAGGACCCCCGGACCAGGGGTGTCTAATTATAGCTCCTTAGAGGTTAAGGGGTGTGCATTAGCCACCCCTTGTGGGTCCTGGTATAAGATTTATATACAAGCCCATACACTGCATGGGACGGCATTTTTTGCCTTGGATTGGTTTCAGGGGTGAATGTAGGCACATATACAATACAGTACATGGAGTGTCTGGGAAGTATTCTCTTCTTTTTGTTCGGGTCATGTCCCATATTCAAGCCCAGTGGATCCAGGCCGTTCGCTGGTACTGCAGTGGTTCCAAAGCCAAAAACCACAGACCGAACGACACCCTGTTGCCTTATATGCTGCCAGCCCTCACACCGATGAACCATGTGTTCGCAAACAAGAAACATGTGCTTTTTGCTAGGGCAGACCCGTCTTTTGATGGTTTGTGGGACCCTTTGCTAACAGGCATCCACTGGCACCACCGGTCCGTCCCCCCATGCACCTCGGTCCCCTCGTCGGGCTCCGCGGGGTCGGGTGGTGCCGGCTTTACCTGGACTGGCTCGGGCAGTGGCATCCAGTCGTATGGAGACTTCACTGGCACCGAATGTCTCCATGTGTCTCCCGACCATATCTACCGCCCGACCTGTGCCCGACCTGTGTGTCTCGACCTGTCGGAACCTGAGAAGGTACGAGAAGGCCGAGAAGGCACTTAGATCCCGTTTTAGGTGGTGTGAATTTCGGGGCGAAGGCAATGTCCTTAAAGCCATTTAAAACCTGGTTGAACGAAAGAAGCCGTGCGGTGATGGTCGCCTGTTTCACTGTGTGGATCGATGTGTTACAGTACAAAAATTCTTGGAATCTTGCCCTTGCATCAAAACAAGACCACCCATTTGGGCTTAAGCAGCATAATCTTGGAAGGGTTGTTGATTCGCTTGTATGGGGCAGAATCTTAACGACGTTGAATGCAATACTGGAGCAAGGGTAGGGAACTTGGGGAGTGTTGGGGATCTGGTTAGTAGCCACAAATCGGTCAAAGTTGTCAGTTATGATTGATGGCAGTTGATGGTGATCATGTACATATATATATATATGTGGAAAAACTAATGCATGTCACATGTCCATACAAGTGTTAGTGCCTCTGATGTTCTTGTGGTCCGTTGCGCTTCAAACCCACGCTTTCCACAAAACTACGTTGCCAACTTTGCAGAATTATCTTGTGGGTTTCTCTTTGTTGAAGAGGTGGAATCAAAGCCAGTGAAGGAGCACAATGCTGGAGAAGGTGACAGTTTTGTTCACTGCATTGGACTTGATTTGGACAGAGTTCCGGCCAAAAAGCATGTTCTCCGGACACGTTTCAAGTCTGGCCCCAATGGATCGTGCAGGTTTCATGCAGGTGTCTGGTCCCTTACTTCCCAGTTTTTGAATCGTCAGAACGCCTGGAGGAGGTCTCCCCATATGGCTGTGGGTCAAAACCACCTCCACCAAACCATGCTAGGTTGACATCCCTTACACAGAAATCAGTTCATTTTCCCCGGGCTTTGACCCACAGCCATATTGACACATCCTACCAACAACCCCATTTCGAACTGCTCCGTCCTCCGCTGGGCGTCCGGACGCCCAGAGCATCGGCCAGACCAGCCTGAAGCGATGACCCGAGCGGAGCTAACGAAATCCTTGCTTAGAGATCTAGTCGTAGCTTCTCAGTGATTGGGTGACCGGAGGACGTCGCTCAAGACATGAGGGATCAAGAAAGTCAGCCTAGGGATCCATGCGCGTTTGGGATCCAACAAGTACCTTCTCAGGTACTTCGAAGCTCCAAACCTACATATAGCCATCTCTCCGATCACCTGAGAAGGCACGACTGGATTAGTAGGGAAAAACTATTAGGGATTACAATTACAGAACTTGGAACTATAGCACATGACCAACTTCCAAAAAATCCGATTGAGCTTGGCTGATTCTGTTCCGGTGGTTTCCATGACAACAAATCAACGTGTGTTCTAGGAAAGTGCGGGCGTATGCCTCGGAACAGTGGTATAAATACAAGTATAGCTCTTTTTGCCAGGAAGTCGTTTTCGTCCTGTGCAAAAAAAGCCTTTTCGGAGGGTCCAACTATCTCCCAACAAGTGTTTCCCTCTGCCCAGATGCTCCTGGACCCTCATATGCAGGGGTTGGACCCTCATATGGAGGGGTCTGGACCCTCAAATTCCTTTTTGGTTTTGAGGGACCAGTCTGTTTGGAGCGACTGAATGTAACGGAAAGTCACACTCCCGAAACCCACATAGGCATAGGCCAAACGAAAAATTCACCCGACCGAAGGGGGTCCATGTTAGTTTTGACGGGGTAGCTTGATGAGAGGTAAAGCAGTCCTTCACTTCTTCTGGAGGCCGGCCGGCCTTAACCCCCAGGTCAGGACTGGTCTCCTTTCTAGGTAATGAATGGATGCTTATGAATAACAATACGACATGCATCCGCCACATGCTACCTTTTTCTTCCAATATGGAGTTCTTCATGCTTTCTCGATATGCTTGATGTGTATGGAGACTCACTCAGACTCAACCACTTGAAGAACCAGTCACTCACTCAGGAACCCTCAGTTAGAGCCTCACTTCATGACCTCGAACTGGAGTCTCTAAATATAAGGTGGCCTTTTATTTACACCTGTTCCTCATCCTTTCACGGTCCCCTCAAGTTGTCGGCCGCTGGACGGATCCGCGCGCGCACCTCGCAGCGACGGATTCCCGGAAACGGCCGAGAAGACGCGACGCGCGGCCCTTCCCGCCATCAAGTCCGCATCGTCGAAGTCCTGAGACCAATCACATTCCGATGGGTTGGATACCCAGTGGCATGGTGACAGAAGGCAGTAGCTGGCAGGACCTGTACAGAGCTCACCACTTGCCCAGGTTCTGTTCCAAAGTCCTCCACTGAGAGTCCTCATCTCTACATACTTGTGACAGTTGACAAGAGCACACACAGTAACTTGGTATCACAGGTATGTGTTTGGGGCATGGACCTGTACAGCATTCAGCACTGACAATCGCTTGCATGTGTCTCATCACGAATCATGGTCACATATAGACACCCATCGGTTTTTGGTTTCAGTCTGGGTGTAACCACACAGTTGCGTTAACCACTGAGTTTCACATTGTAACCACACAGTTGCGTTAACCACTGAGTTTCACATCCACATGGTTGCAACAGCTGAGTGACAACCGGGCCTCGCCATGAGTTAAAACCTCCAACTCTGTCAGTTCAGGAACATCTACAAAGGAAGGGGAACTTTGTCAGTGACTATGTGTTTCCGGCTTTCATTATATTTCTGTATGCTGCTGCTCGCTGCTCACCCAAACATCAAGTGGGTGGTATCTAAGTCATCAAGACACCATGTTTAGCACATATCCAGCACTCCACTCTACAGCTATGTTGGACTGACCCGTCATCCTAGCAGCAAATATGGGTAAAATCTCCGGGCCGGCAGCTGACCTAGCTGTGCGCTTTAGGAAGTTTGTTTTGTTTGAATAACGGTGGATTCCTTGGATTTGCTTAAGGAACCTCGAACAAATGAACAATATGTCCCCAAAAGGGGATTCAACCATAGGGCCTTATAGGGAAAATTGCAAATCACCTGATCAGCAAAACGGTGGATTCCCAAATGAACACCAACAGCTGGTACCTCGCACTGACTCCGCTGGCGGTCCTACCAGGTTTTGGACGACCATCCTAGCAGGTCTGGGTGAACGCTCCCCCCCAACCGCTGGTCTGGCCTCATCTAAGTCGACCGCGGAGGGCACCTGGGACCACGGAAGTCGGGGAAGTGCAAAGTGCATGACGCAGGAATACACCCATCTGAGGTTCCCTGCCTTCTGTCCTCAAGTCAACTCTTAAATGGCCCAAAAAGAAAACATTGCAGCAATTGAACGTCCACATGAACATGACAAACATGGTAGTACAAACATGTTTCTTTTTTGAGGTTTGTGATCACTGACTGAAGTGCCTCAAAAACTGACTCCAAACTTCTAAAACCAGTCAGACTTGGACGGATGAAAAAAGAACATGAACGACATGTAAGCTGGCTAAATCGACTGATTGTGGTAGAAGCCCATGCCAAACAGACCTGCATGGAATATGAGTGACCGAGGGACCTCTCGGAGATGGATTGCCGACCGAAAGCATGATTTTGTCATAGTTGGTTAAATCAATGTAAGAAGTCTTTCTAGTTCTGGCGCCTCCTTCTTTCCTTTGCTTTCAATCCCTCATATTATAGTAACTCTATCAACTCACTCTATAATTGACCAATACCCAGATTCCGTGGGACTGCTTTTTTCACCTATTGCCATGGGGGCTCTCTTTCAGTCAATGTAGGTCAATATTCCAGTCTCTCTATCGGAGTGTCTGGGATATGTGGCTGTGGGGAACTAGGCAGCAGGATACCGACCGGTTGAACCTGGTCAGTCGTTTGCTATATGGTGAACTGACCTACCAACGATACTTCCAACCGTCAGGTCAAGCGGCTGTGGGTCAACACGAGGGGAACTTGGTTGACCACGGAAAATGAACAGAATCAACCACTGAGGAGGTCAACCCAGAAGAGCCCCTATATAGTAGCTTCTTGTTACTAGTATTATAAAAAAACTTTCATTGGAAAGAGCCTGTTTTCAAAAATTGAAAAAAATCAAAAACAAGTCAATCCCAAAAGTCAAAGTGAAAAAAGTCAAATCAGAACATTTCAGAAAGTCAAAGAAAGTCAATTTGCCCAGATCCGACTTTTTTTGACCTTTTTTTCGACTTTTGTTTGATTATTGTTTGACTGTTTTCGACTTTTTTTGACTTTTTTGTTCGATGTTTTTTTGACTTGTTTTTTTACTTTTCTTGACTCCAGTAATCCGCCAAGGCAAGGAGCCACACTTTTGATTTTTTTCGACTTTTGTTTGACTTGTTTTTTCGTTTTTATTCTTTTTTGACTTTTTCGAGCTGTGGTCTATGGTTGACTTTTTTTGACTTTTTTTTGACTTTGACTTTTCCAGTTGACTTTTTTGCGTGTTTTTTGTCTGTTTCTTTAAATCACGGATTCTGGCCTTACCATATGAAAGTTTTTTATAATACTAGTAGTAAGGATGCTCCTAGTAGTAACGCCAGGAGCCCCTAGTAGCTTCTTGCTCCTAGTAGCGATGCCAGGAGCGCCTAGTAGCTTCTTGTTACTAGTTGCGATGCCCTTGTTACCCATGTCAAGTCGGATTCGTCGGTCTGATTGCCCCCGCCGGATTCGTCGGCGCTGGAGTCGGCGCCGGAGGCACCTGGCGGGGACACCGGATGTGGTGACAGCAAGGTCCAGTCTGGGGAACAAAAGCAGGAGCAATGGTGGTGCTAGGACTGCTAGAGCTGCTAGGTGAAGCAAGTGCTTCAATGAAGCAATAGGTTTCCTCCAATCTTTGGGAATAATATGGAATAGTTATAAGAAACTCATAATGCTAGTGGTATGACCCACGGATATAAAAAAGGATTCTCCCACGAGAAAAACATATGGTGACCTGAAGGCTTCCTTCGCTACCATACATATTACATATGTCTAAAAACGCTCATTCAAACAAACAACGGTAACAATAAGTTAGAATCACTTCTTCCAAAACACGGATGGAACCCTCTCATGTCCAACCCATTCGGGGCCGTGCCTCCACACGAAACCACAACAGAATTGGCTGTGTACACGAAACCACACATATGGAAAACTGATTGTTCAAACCCTAAGTCACTTGGCTGGGGGTGGTGACCACCGTTTCCAATGGCGTGCATGTTTTGCTGCAAATTCGTGCGCGTCTTTTGTGGGAAACCACCAGAAGAAACCAAACGTTGTTTGGGGTTGCTCTCTCCTTTCGATTGACTTGCCAGCCAGATTCTGAGCATTTGGTTGTGGGTTAGTGGAACATTAAAACAGCAATAACAAGCATCAAAACACCATGGAACACGCATTTCATCAACACGCGCTGCAAAGGTCCAAGTCCTGTTACAACTTACTTTAAATCAATCTAAAGATCAGCATTATCCCTGTTGTTTTGACATGTCTGGGGTGATTATACAGTTGAGTACTCAATAGTACTCATGCATAATAGGGTGGAAAAATGAAAAACATCTGTCCATCAGAAAGTGTATCTTTGCCTACTACGCCCACTAGGCTGAAAACAATCGGAATGCAAGGGTAAACGACAGGTATCACAATCACCTAAATTGCCACACCAATCGTGAGAAAGCTTCAGGATGACTCCGGCCCAAAGTCTGTTCAATCCCAAAGTTGTTTTTGACATTCAATGCGTGCACTTCACCAAAAATCCTCAACATGAATTGCACTCACAGAGGCGCTATGGCTAGGAGAATACTTGGGTTTGGTGAACCTTGCCGAAACGGCTGTTTAAGGAACATGAACAAACCTGACCATGAGGTTTTGGTCTGTGAGCAACTCCCAAATCGGCATGCAACATGCACCCAAGCAAACAAGTGCCTGTCTACAGTATACATGGGAAAAATCTTGGGATGATTGACCATGCTTTGCTTACAGCTAATCCAACATCCAAATGGATTCATATATTTCTTCACATGACCCAGCAGTTCCAAAGGGGTGCCATCCACGGAGGCTAAGGGGTGCCCCTGTCACATCCACGGCGGATGGGGCTAAAGACACACCACCCAACTCGATCTGTGACTCCAGGATGCATCGTTTTCTTCAGGTACATACTTTAATTATTGTTTCTAATAGCTTCTTGTTTCTAGTAAGGCCCTTGCTCCGTTCGTAGCGATGCACGTAGCGTTCCGAACGTAGCGAGGCATATTTAAGTAAAAGGGTCTAATCATCAACAGCACGGCCTGAACCTACCTCACCGCCTCACGTCGCATCTCGGCCTTGCGAGGCGAGGCCTTCACCGGGGTCTTCGCCTCGACCAGCGGAGCGCGCGGAGCCCGGGCCGAGCCCGGGGGAAGCAGGTGTCTTTCTTCCATGTCCTAAGGTAATTAGAAGAAGCCATTGATAAGGAAATGTATCATTGACATAGTTAACATGCTGCTATTTGTGTTGTTCAAGTCATGTTGACTTGTTCATATTCATTGTCCAACATGTTTGTCCATGTCCAGTTTGCATTTGCCTAGGTTGTTGAACACGCGATGGCTAGGCATGTGATTGAACATGACGTGGCTAGAAGGGATGACTATGGGAACTGACTGACATGGACTGATGTCTGAAGAGCCTGGCCGCTCTGTTGTGGTACGTACTGCAAGGGAGAGATTGGGCAGTGGGATCAACCCACCACGGATTAGCCAGAGTTGTCCATCAAAGTCTCCCTGCTGCCTTAGGGTGTCTTCAACGACCTTCGCCCCCGGCAAAGAAACCGGAGGAAGCCTGAGAAACACTATCTTTGGGACCATGAACCAGCAGTTCAATGCAGTATACTCCAAATTGGTGCCAGTGTCCAAGTAAGGACTGGCCCGTAAAGAAACCATGCCAAATAGCAAGCGGAGCTGTAGAAATGTCCGGGAATGGCACACTCGTCCAGGCAAAGGTCCAAGCACGGCATTGAACATTAGATAGATGCAGTGCAGCTTTGAGAAAAAAACAACCCCATCAAAAGCAGATTAATCCATCTAAGATCATCTAAGAATCGTTCTTTCAGGGGAGCAACGCTTCCCGGAGTGGTCGACACAACGTTGAGGAGACCTACCTCTCGTGTCTTCTCTCAACACCTCGCCCTCTCCCTACCTCTGTAGCCCCATCATTTTGATCATTATTGATCTCACTCTAACACCCTTCCACATCTTCCACATCTTCACTCAGCACCCTGGAACTCAGCACGCAAACTGTCTCGGCAACGCGCCGCCCACACATCGACCGCCACAAGCACCACACGTGGCGTGCAACATCCACATGTCTCAGCACGGACTGGTGTTGTTAATGCCATACCCAGACACGACCCATGGGACTGCCATAGGACTGCCGATCAATTGACCTCCCAAACCACCCCAATGTAGGCATATATGGCAGTCCTATGGCAGTCCTATGGCAGTCCTATGGCAGTCCCATGGGTCGCGTCTGGGATACACCTATGCTTCCCTTTACTGAGTGTGTCCCTGACCCCGAAGATCGAGGTCCTGTCCTTTGAATGGAGCTTGCCCGTGAAGGACGAACACCCACCCCCTGCCGCAGTCAACGAAGTCAAACTGTGCGGTCGACACGTTCAACTCGGAAACGTGTGATGGCATATTCGATCAGAGATCATCAAAGTTAACTGCGTTGGTAGAAGAGCTAGTCCCATCCTGAAAGATGGCACGACTGCGGATTGAAGGACTGGTTGAAGGTGTTCCTCCAGCTTGCAATGGTGACTCACCAGTGCCGAAGATGCTGCAACATCACAGACATAGCCTCAGCGCCTCCCTTGATTATCTTCTGCTGATGACCAGTTGTCCACTCGCTCTACTATTCTTCTGTCGGCCTCCAGGCCGCCAAAGGGCCGCTAGAACACATGAACCCCTGCTCTGAGGAGATCAAACAGAAAGGTGGTCTATAACGTCTATAATTTATGATATTCTCACTACTTGTAGTGGCATCCATCCAAGGTGAACTCTCAACCAGCTCTCGAGCTCAAGTAACACTGTGCACCATTGAACCTGAAAACGACTGTCGTACTTTCTCGAAATGGGTACCAACACAGAATCCAACATAACCCCTGTTATGTTGGGAAAAAACAACTGTGAGCCATCTGTATGCCCCATGTGTCGAATCAACAAAACTCGTCGTGTTCATTATTATTGGATGTTATTGGCAATATATTGGTTCTGATCTAGAGTGCAAAACGACTGTAACCAGCTTCAAAGAGGGCTCCCATGTGATTCTTGTGGAGAAGCATGGGAACACCACCCTAGCTAGTAGTTAGCTGCTGGCTTCAAATAATGCGGCATCGCCGGATCACCACATAATCAAGCTTAATTAGTGTCGGGGACCTCCCAAAAGCACTGCGAATGTCTATAGGGCTTACGTTCGCCTGTCGCTTTGGGGCTCGAACCCCAAACCCCTGGCGCCCCTGGCACCACGAGCCACCGTGGTGTCTCCGTTCCACCCGCCTTGGCTGGTTCCACCGGAGGCTCCTGACCGTCACGGTTCACCACTCCGCCGTCGCACATCGGGGCGACAGCTCGGTGCGAAGCGGGGCGTGAAAATCGGCCTTCGCAGCGTGGCGTCACACGACACCGACATCCTTCGGAGGTGAACCTTTGCTCGGCCCTTTCGTGCGGGAAAAAGAGTCGTCGTTTCGGTCTTTCGGTCGACGGAGTGTGGTCGGCTGAGGGAGGTCGACTGCACCCAGCCACGCTTTTTGCCTGCCACCCAATAGGGTCCTACCTCCTTTTCGGAGGGTCTTGCAGGTGCATACGCCGATCTATAGTACCTAGTATAGCTGTTCCAGTCGACTGGGGCCGGACATCGCCAACGGATGGTCCGGGACCCTCGACGTATACCTGACATCAGGGACCCCGAGTCGTGACGCGTCGATCACGTCGATCCACCGGAGTTCGTGGCGTCCCGAGAAGGCGGTGACGGTCAGCGGTGACGGTCAGTGGTGTAACAGAAGATGTTCCATTCCTTAGGGCTCCAGTCGTACCTTCGTTTCGAAGGTGGGGCTGGGGTGGGTGCCAAGAGGGTCCAAATACCTTCTGAGGAGGCACTTGGAGCCCTACAAATTTGGATTTGCTTCAATACATGTACCATCAGTATCAGAATATCCACTCACTAGTGTCGCAGTCGCATAAAATACCTTTTTTGGACAAGGCGGTTGGCAGTCCAAGTGGTCACGGGTCGATCGAGGCTTCGTCCCAAAACATCGAACGGAACTCTGAGAATCGACCCAAACCTTGAAGGGAAACCATTCAAACTGGCAAGTGTCACACCGAAACCCCAATCTTCGCGTGAAATCGTCCAGATATGTCCAGATCACTTCCACGAAGAAAAGAGCTGTCTTGTAAGGTGCTCAGTGCTGCGCCTGCTGCGCATTCCGACGCCCTCCCCGGTGAAATCCGTGGCCTTTGGAGCCTTCACTGGAGGTGCCTGGCGACTCCAAACCAAGTGCAATTGGAGTCTGGTGATGAACACCGTCGCACCCACCGTGAACCCAGCGCCCTGATGGACCCTCTGAGATGTGCTTTTCGGGATGCGGTCGAGCGGTCCAACGGGGCGTCCGCTTGGGGAGGTCCAACGACTCTGAAGACCTGCGTTCTTTTCGGTAGAAACCAAAGGACAAACCACCTGAAGGCAGAGAAACCTCGGTGCTTTTCGGATCACCCCACAGACATGCAAAAACACTGATCATGGTAGTCGTTGAGGGTTCCGAATGCCTCGATTCAACGAGGTGTTTCTTTCACGATGCAGTTGAACATTGTTTCGTTCTCATCGCTGACCAATCTCACAGGCTTGAACTTTCTGTGCAGCTGGTCACCTACACGATGTTGGTGTTGGTCTCCGCTGCAAATCTCTCATGTGCCCTATGGCCCCTATGTGTTGCTCATTGTTGCTCCACAACCTGGGCCCCTGATAAGTGTTCTGAAGGAACGATACGTGGACGTACACTTGGAAGGTCGTATTTCTTGGACCCAATCGCCGCAAGGCACCGGTCGATTGGTCTCGACAGGATTGGTCTAAGGCGTCGTATAACATTCATCTCCATGTTGTGGTCATCATTTCGGAGTACAACCAAAGCTGCGGGAAGAGCTTCGCGGCTTCGTACCATCCACCACAGGTTAAGTCAGAGTTCGTGACCGTAAATAGGACCGGTCACCTGGGGTACCTATACGTCTATCGATGTCTATCGGGTTCTTCAACCACTGCTCGATTGCTTCCAAAACGAAGCTCTGACGCAAGGTCCAAACCCGCAAAAAGGTCTGCACACACCAGCCAAGGCTGCACGGAAGAGCGAGTCGGGCCCATTTGGCAGGTTGGTGAGTCAATGCAACATGATCATCCATGATCTCTCTTGGGGGTGTCCCATTACCTGTAACACTATAGGTAAACAAGAACATCATTCTTTTAGAGAAGATTAAAGAAGGGCCTACAACCTGGACCTAGCCATCACCATCCACTGGGCCCAGGAAATGGGATATACCGATACACCCACATCTCTCCAGTAGCTTTCCATGCAACCATCTTCTGCAAACGAAACCCGAACCGACATAGTCGGAGTGGTAGGAATGTGGACGCACCTACCACAAAAACGGTTCACATACCGATGCCCACTCCTATCTTCTTCTTCGGAGTCTCTGTGGTAGAACCTCCATGTCAATGAAACACCCCGCCCACTACGCGATAGGTTGAGCGCCGCTGGCAGTTCTTGCCTGGTTGAGCGCCGTTGGCATGGCCTACGGCTGTACCAAGTGATTCTCGTGCGATGAGTGGTTTGGATGAGTGTTTCGATTGATGACTCTCTTGTTGACCGACTTCGTAGCACTTCGTGTTAGGTTCGGGCATCCAATAATCCAGATCTGCTTGCAGGTTTCGTGGTGGTGCTGGGATTTATCGTACCTGATCAGGTTCATCGTTAGAGATTGAGGCCCGGTGGCCTAGAGCTTCGCGCGAAGCTTTGAACTACTCAACCAAGAAGGTAAGTGATGTAAGACCATCTGAAAGACGCACTAGGCGGCCAGAACAATGAAGCGTGGCTCGTAATGCACCTCGTTTTACTTTATACCATTTTATATCCTGACCATGTCAACCCCAAGCGTTTCTGACTCATCACTGTGACTTGCGAAAGAAAGACACATGTTATATCAATGCAGCTCATTTATTCCGGTCATCGGCTTCTTACAACAGCAGGCGGAACCGATCGTCGGATCCGAAAACGGTTGGTGTGTGCCAGTTGCCAGCCTGAACTAGTTTGGACACTTAGTGTTGCAACGTGGTGTATCAGGAAAACACTGGCACTTGATAGTAGACAAACAAATTCTTAGAACCAACTGTGGGAAAAACAACTTCTTTTCAACAACGGAACTGCTTCGAAGCAAACACGCCGGTGCTGATCACCAACTCTAGTTCTTTGCACCACTGTTCCCTGATTTGTTTTTCAATCCTGCAATCCTGCAAACGAGATCTCAGTGGGTGGAACGATAGAAATGCTCGGCCCCACCATCTACCACACCAACATCCTATGATCCCATAGGTCCTCCACAACTATCTTCTACGAACAAAACAAATCCAAATAGTATAGATCAAAAAGTCGATGCTCACTCAAAATGTGATGAAAAGTGTGCCACCATCTGTTTGGGGACCACGGTCGAATCCAAATTCATCTCAGTGGGTTCCTCACTCGCCTTGATGGTGACCTTGGGCTTCGCCTTCACCTTCGGCACCGTCGACCTGAACAGATCGACGGTCAATACCGGGTTTTTTTGAGATACCAAAAACCGGAGCGTTCTTTCCAGAAAGCTTACTGAAAAGGTATGGGGATGCTGGAAGCTACCTTTAGGAAAACACACGTATAGAGTTATAGAGTGAATATATTCAAACTGTGCTGTTCCAGGCCCTTGTGAACTTGTCCGATGTCTTTTGGCAGTGTCTCGTGTCCGGAGAGCCAGTGATGGTCGGGAAGGTGCTTGTGGAGCTACTCATCCTCGCGGAGGCAGCTTGCTTTCCATTGCTGATCAAACATCCCAAGCTTCATAATATGCAACAATGCCTCACCCATCAATGCCATGACCTCTGGTACCCCTTCTCTTTTTCTTTGACGAGGCATTGTGAATAGTGAGGAGACAAGGTGCATTCGTAAGTGTATGGAGCATGTAAAGTGTATTGACAAAACCAAAAGCATTGACTGAGCATCCCTCACCCTTTGGCTTTTGCTTCAGCGGCTTCTTTCGCCTTCTGCTCACCTCGGGCGTTTTCTCCAGGGAGATGGTCCGGTGGTGGAAACATGCTCTTAATGTGTGCCTCGTTCTGTGGCACCTAGATAGGTTGCTGTGGTGGCCCTTTGCCTTCCGACTCCAACAAGATTGCTCAAATTCTCGAGTGAGGTGGTAATACAAAGGCAGAATTGCCTTGTGATTGATGCATACATAAAACACATATAATCAAAACTACAGTTCTACAGTTTGGATTTTTGCTTTGACTGGTTGCACAGCAACCAAAACCCACATAACACAAACACATATTTAAAACAAACACACAACTATTAGATCTGACATATATCAGACTCATGAAAATTCTATGTAATTCAACTCTCCTGTCAGTTTTTTCAACACCTGCTGCTTCGTCCCTCCTGTCGCTTTGCTTGGCGTCCCGGACGCCGCTGAGACAATTCTTCTAATCGAGCCGCCTCGTTGCCAAAAGCTTGCCAAGCTGCAAAGAATTCCCTCTAAAACCAGAAATGTTCTCAGCTACGGGTTCAATCAGCCGACCAATAGGAAAAGGCCATCTAAATCTATATAAATCTCCTATACTTCAACTATCCTTGAGACACTTTCTGCAATAGGTGACTCATGAACAGAAAACAATCAACGCTGAAAACTAGGGGAGACAAAGAACCCCGGCACAAATAGGCTTAAGATGTTTTAACTACATCACTGTAGTTATCTCTCCAAGAGCAAGCTAAAACTACACCCTTATTGTCCTCCCCACTCGAGAACAGAACGGTCAGAACGCCGTGCGAAAATCAAAAGCAACGTCTCGCCTTCTCCTTGAGACCGGCCAACCTGGGACGATGGTGCCACACGGTGGGGGCACAAATCCCGCGTGAGCGATGCAAAACGAATTTATTGTAGCTAACCTGAAACGAGAAACCAACTGTGGTAGTTTCGGGAGATAAACTTACTAGTTCACAATTCTCTGGAACAGGGCTCGAGCTACCCTGCAGAACATGTAGGGAATCTTGCGGCATGAGGCTCCAGTGAGCTCGGACTCATGCCATGGTGTTAATGGATGCTGGTTTTTGGTCAAGTGCGAAGGTGCTAGAGGAGAAGAATAAGGAGAACAATAACAATAAGAAATAACAATAATTAAAGAACACAAAAGCAAAAGAAGAATAACAATAAAGATAATAAGAAGAAAACAAAGAAACACAAACAAAAATAAACAGAATAGAGCACAGAAGCAAAACAAAGAAAACATAAGAATAATAATGAGAACACAAAGAAGCAACATAAAAATAAAGAGAGAAAACAATGAAGCAAAATAATAAGAAACAGAATAAGAAAAAAACAATAAAACAAAGAAGCTAAATAAGAATAGTAATAATAAAAAAAAACAAAAAGAAAAAGAAAAAGAAAAACAACATAACACAAAGACGCAAAATAGGACTAATAATAATGAAAATAAGAAAACACATAAGCAACAAAATAAGACAAATAAGAATGAGAAAAAGGAAACAAATAAGAAATCACAGAAGCAAAAGAATAATAGTAATAAACACATAACAAGAAAACAAATAAGCAACATAATAAACATCAATCAAAGAAGCAAAATAAAAAGAATAATAGGAAACAAAATAAGAAACATAAAACAATGAATAAGAAAATTATATTAATACATGGTAATAAGAAAACAATGAAAATAATAAGAATCACAATAACACAATAACAGTTAAAATAGTAAAAATAATATGGATAAGAAGGACAATAAGAAGAACAATAAGGAAAACAACAATCAGTAGTACGCCTGTGATGCAGCTTTTTGAGTCTCATGTAGCCAAAGGATTGCCTGCCAGGAAGGAACACATAGGAAGGCAGTGCCGGTGGCTTGAATAGGATGTGAGTTGGCTGGTGAGGGGTCCTTTTGGGCCGCAGCAGGTACTAGAAAAATACAAATGCTGCATAGCAACTAGCAACTCGCAACTGCTGATGGCCGGATTTAAAGCTGGACACGATGCGTACTAGTGCTTTCAACACAGCTCTTGGCTACTAGGTCGAAGTATCGCTTTGTACATATAGGCAGTTTTGCTAGCAAAGCAGTGTGGAATAAAGTGGCTGCAAATCGTTCGCCGGAGTACAGCTGTACTTTGAGGGCAGCCTTGCGACCGTTGGGACATTTTGGGACAGTGTGCAGTACTGTGCACTCATAGCTGTGCAGCTGAACCTCCATGCTGTCGGGACGCCACCGCCTAATTCGAGGTGGCCGCGATTAATTCGATGTGCGGCCAAGGCAAAACAATCTCTGCAATCTCTGGCATCAAACATCTTTAAATCCTCCCCAGTGTAGGCAAATCTTCCAGTTTCATGGTTTAGTGATAGTATGTGATAGTATGCGTTGCTACATCCAGAAGATGCAACTTCCCTCTCTCGGTGCTACTGCTTCTCTCTCTCTCTCTCTCCCTTTCTCTACCGGAAGTCTCATTTGCTTGAAAGAGACCTGCTTGGTGCGCTTTTAAGCGCCCGTTCGCGCAGCGTTCCGTCTCACATCTTACTCCCATCTTATTCAGGTTAGAATGTCGAAAGGTACCTGGACCCTCAAAGGGGTGTCCAATGGACTACCCCACACTACCTACAGGCTTCCATTGGGCACCCCTTGGAGGGTCCTGGTATGTTAATTATGTCAATTTGCTGGAGATGATGTGTTCTCTTTGCAGGTCCTCTGCTACGGCACCCGGGGTGCCGAAGACGGCCGATTGCAAATCAATCATATCTCTTCTTTCATCTCTCTCCCCCCAAAGTGCCCAAATGATTTAAGCATCAATGTAGATAAGTATTCCATAGATGGATGCTCTGGGTATGCACTACAGTAACTATATATACTGGGAAAAAAACCTGAACAAACACCAAGGCCCTCTAAGAAACAACCTCTGGAGGAGGACACCTGTTCTATTCCGCGACGAAAAAGAGAGCTACTGATGCCGGCGCTCCGAGGTAAAGAAAACGCAGCCTGCATGGGTTATGCCCAAAGCATGCGTCAACAAAGTAAACAATGTCTTGACAGCATGTTTCAACAAGTTAGTATGTTTTCAGGCTAAAGTGTCATGTTTTGAGGGTCTCCTTAAACTGTCTAAACTGTGACACTTTAGCCTGGAAATCTGCCGATTTGCAGAAATGGAATGAGACCAGTCGGTGGTATGGATTTGAGACCCCCATCAAACAGCAAACACATCTGCAGCATTGGCATTGTATTTCCGTCTCTGCTGAAAAACACTTAGACATGTCCCATATGTGTGGGGCAGGTTCTGGAACCAATTGAACTGCATGCTACTTAGCAGCTTGCTCCTCAAACAGTGCTTTCAAACAGTGCTTCAACCAAGAAACAGTGCTCTCAACATCAGAATCATCAGAATCCCTCTCCGCCCGTTCTGTGGTTTTCCATGCCCTGCCAGCGGTCCCAGAGCTTTTTTTCACAACGACGGCCGTCCTCGACGCTCGGCTGGGGCTCCCCCGCTTGGCGCGGAGCTCTTCGGCTGTGAGCTTCTTGGCACCTGCTTTTTTGCTTCGCTTGCTTCGTCCGGAAAAACAACAACTAGCTCTTTGTATGTTTAGTCATTTCGTGTTTTTGTTGGCTTTTTGACGCTCCGACGAACCTGTCTTAGAAAGGTTTGTAACATGTTCTTTTGCACCTGACCAGGAAATTGGGTTGGTGGAATCATACATGTTCCAATTGGCAGAACGTGGGTGACTTGTTTACATAAAGCTATGAGCTATGCGCATAGATGTTAAAGCTTGCTATAGCTTGCTTATAAGAAGGAATATGACAGTATCTAGCGATGGCCTCCATCACGTTGCCCTTCTTGGATTTGCTTAAGGACTTCCTCAGAAGGACATTAATCCGAAGGGAAACATAACCATCACTGTAAGCAAAACTAGGCCTAAGATCAAGGGCAAATTCAAGAGCCACCGGCTCTTGTACACGCACAAAGAGTGCTTCAGGATGCAGGATGGGATGTGATGGGCGAATGATACTGTGCGGGCCCGACCATGCCATACTTGCACAACAAAGGGAAGAACATCTCAGAAACGTGTAAGACATCCACGTGTCCGGTCTCTTTATAGCATCAAAGGTTGTCTCATGATAGCCAAAATTCACACAAAAACATCCTCTGATGCTAATCACTTATAAATCTGCTTTTGGTCAGGTCAGTCAGGTTGCTATGCCTCTTGGATCAGCTCTCAATCCTTCGGCAAATCTATCCGTTGAACATGAAGTCCTTCGGTTCCCCAAGAGTTTTGCAACGGACCACACTCAACAAAGGCGTGAAGAGCAGAATTTCGACAACCAAGAACATGTCTTTACACCACTTTACACCAACCAATTAAGCATGAATATGATATCGGGACAAGTGAAAACTACGATTTAAGACTTCGGGTCGCTCCGTCCACCTGCGAAAGCCCCAACCCACCCATCTGCGACCGCGCCTTCGGCCTGGGAAGGCGTTGGAGCCGTTTAGCCCGGTGTGAACGGGGCGTGAGGTTGGTGAGGAAAGGAGGCGACAAGCACATGTTGAGAACACATGGGGTGCACCAGGTCCAATCAATTCAATGCAAACGAATGAAGCAAAACAAATTGGAGAAGAGAGAAGAAGAACATGTATACATCGTGACACTTCATGACTTGCTGGTTGTGCCACGGCAGCATGATGTGAGCTACTTGCAACATGTTGACAAAAACAAATGCCCTGGTCGTACATAGAGGCCATGCGAAGGTTGGGGATCACCAAGCTGATAGGTTTTCTCGGCTCTGCTGGATCAACACACTACCATCGAAACAAGTATCAAGCCCATAAGGCTGAATCCCTCAGATCACAGCCTGCATAGGCTGCACAGGCTGTTGTGTGATATGTGTGTTTGTCTATTCTCTTGGCAGGTCCTTGTGGAGAACCGCCTAGTATGAGACTTTGATAACAAGGGCGGGGACATACGGGGACATAACAAGGAAAACTATATATAACACCAACACATGGCAATCGATGTGTGATTGGTTGCTGGCAAATCATCGCATTCATCAAGAGGCCTTCAGGTTGGGTGCATCCCATTACCAGTAGCAGTGGATGATGATTGTTAGGTTGCAGGCCTTTCTCATCAATATTGACAGTCTTTTCTTGAGTTGCTGGAGCTTGTGCCAAACCCTACCTCCAGGTCTGTGCTGAAACATACTCTACCTCCAGTCTACTGGTTCCATGCCAACAAACTGCGATCGACTGCACCCCTGCGAGGACCATTTGTGACGGTTAGACAGAAGCCGCCTTCGCCTTGGTCTCGGCCTGGGACCAAGGCGAGCCACATGGAAGTGGAAGAACCACCTGTTGGTAGAGGAAACGGGTCTTCCAAGTGGCCATGCCATCCACTTCCATGTGAGTTCCAGGGAGTGGAAATAGGATCAACAAATAGCACATGGAGCAAAGCTGAGGAGTGCATCGCTAGTAGTAACAAGTGCACCGCTACTAGACCAAAAACAAGTTTTCTTGTTAGTACTTAATGCACTTGTTACTAATGGTTTTACTCTTTGCCACCTGTGATTCCTTTTACATCCAACTCATGTGAACCGGGTTCATGAACCGATACGATACGGCATTCACGCTCAAAGAAGTGGACGGTCGTAGTGATGGCCCTAGCGATGGCCCTGCGTAGCTTAGCCGCACTTGTTACTAGTAGCGATGCCAAATCCCGGGCATAGACTGGTTTTGGGGTGAAGCTGGTGCTTACTGGTTTTGGGCTGAGCCGCAACCCTAAACCCTTCAGTTGGTCTCTGTTCGTCCAAAGACGTGGAGAGACCAAGCGGGAGAATGAGATCGGATGGGCTTGGGGGATTGTAACCAACTGCCCAACTTTGAGCCACAGCTCCGCATCAGCCTTCCACCATCGACCTCATGGCACCCCAAAGGTTGTCACCCTGCTGGCCGTGTGGGTGGCACCATGGCACACCCGGGGGACGCTGGTTTTTTCCCCAAAACGAACAGAATAGACGGCCTACGGGAGGTCAACCTACCAGGGCAAAAGGGGCTCGAGGTTTTGACTCATAGCCTTACTGCAGATGAGCTTGTTGAAGTCATGTGAATCAGGGTCATGTACATCAGCTGTTATATAGATCCTGTAGCACCCAAAACCTAAGAACATGACGAAATCACTGTTCCCAAACACTATGTATGGAATATATGCCTAATTGTGCCTACATTGGGGTGGTTTTGGGGGTTAATGCAGGCATCTATGGCATACATGGAGTGTCTGGGGTTATTTGTTATGTACAAAGTACTACAAAGTACTCCCACGGAATCCCCACGTTAGACCCTCCAAACGGTGAAAAACACCCACCTCTGGGTGAACTCCCAGAAGTTCATGCATCCCAGGCAATTCGGGTACCTTGTACAACATGTTTCTTGACACACTGCCATTGCGATTCGCAAACTAAGCATACAAACCCTCAAACAAGACTACCATAGACTACCTTCCGGAATTTGTGTTTCCTTAGGCAACTCCACACTAAATTGGGTACGAGTCTCACGTTGGACTTTTTAGGCCGTTACACTCGTACGAAAGATATCACACGGATGTGGATGGCATGGCCCCAATTTCGGCCACGACGACGTTTCCAAGTCCGTTCCGAACAGAACGTGCACGCCACTTAGACTTGCATGTGTCAAACCGTAGTGTAGAGCTGTTCCTACACTCCGAACCTCCAACCCATCCATTTTTCATGCTCCCCAGCCTTGGCAGGGGCCGCCTGGCGCGACCGTGGTCGGGTTTGCGACGAACAAGTGCGTGCGATGCGAGGCCGTCGGGTGGAAAGCGTTCGACGGTCTCAACTACAAGCAAAAACCAGTCCCAAACCTTGGGCATATCATCTGATTTTTTTGGGCCCCCAGTAGAGGATGATGGGGCCCGTTTGCAAGGCCTTCCATCTCAAACATGGCGATAAAGTTTGTTTTGACTGTTACAGGTTTACTGGCACACACCCAACTGATACAACCATAGTGGGGTGAACATGCATATCCATTTTTGACGAACAGTTGCGATAGAACTGGTAAAACTACATCCATACCTGGATCCTCCTCGAGCACCTGAAAAAAATCCAGATCCAAGATTCTGAAAGACTGAGATGATAAAAGGTTGGATCCTACACAAGCAACCTGCCTTTGCGCCACGAGTAGTTTTTCTGGAACACATTCATTCCACAACCTAACATTGGAGCCTTCCCGTTTCCGTTGCCCTCGCCCATCTTCCGAAATGCCTAAGAGCAGAACCAACACAAAAAATAAGCAAGCTTAGCCCAAGAAGATTTCCAAGAACAAACGAAGGAGTATATGGGAAGGAGCCCCTCTTTCCCTGCAACCGTGTCTATAAAGTTCTTTTGCAAAGTGGCTTGCTCTCTCCCGGATATTCCAGCTTGCCTCAAGGACCTCGACCCGCTAATAAAAGGTAGCAGAACTCATGGTTCCAGTCAAAGCACTTCTTTAAAAGGCTCTTCACCATTCAATACCTTCAAAAGACTGAGTCCGGAAAAATACCCCGAGTTATGGCAAATTACACCGGAGTTACGACGCGCCTTTTTCGGTAACTCTCTGCAAAACATATTAATTGAGATTCTGAACGACACACGTTCCACAACCCAAAACTTGTCCGGCAGGCTCTGCAATACATTGTCGCCTATGTTCTTTCAGCTTAGGTACACCCAATTGCGTCTTTCATGTACCGAATTCATTGAGATCCTCACCTAAACTGATGATTGAGCCAGTGTCAACCACTGCTGAAGCCGGTGGAATGAGAAAACAGCAAAACAGGCAAACGAGCACACGTTGCAAGCAACATCGTCAGTAGTGGATTTACCTTCAAAGAAATGAAGACCACAAAGAGTGCAAAGCCTTGAGAATCCACATAAAGTGACCTGGAAAAACTGCCGGACCAAATCCAGAAAAATGCCGGAGTTGGAAGTCCGGCGCCGGACCCTGTAAAAGTGCCGGACTGAAGATCTAGGTATGGCTGTGGGGAGCTGGCACCAGGATACCAACCGGGCACGACCTACCAACGAAGGTCAAGCTCTATATATATATGGTGGAACAAACTGCAGGTTTTGACCCATCCCCACATTGCTTCGATTGGCGGTGCTGCTCCACAGGTTTCACATCAAGCTATATAGCTAGTCTTTGCATCAGCCATGAGCCATCTGGTGGTTCTATAAGCCCACAGGATGTGCTGGAAGTAGACCACCAACTGTTTGAACCGCTGATGGCAAATTGAACAGCTGGCATTTGTTACTGCCGGAAGTTGCCTCAACTTCTAAAAAGTGCCTCTCCCTTCTTCGTCAAATCCCGTTTGGGGCTTGCCATGGTCGTTCCTCTTGGTGGTTACATTGCCACTGCTTAAAACGGGCTTCACCACCAAACAGTGGCTGAGGCTGCGACAGGAGAAAGATTTGACCACTGCGGTACTTGAAAACCAGATTCTCCCAGTCTCACCCGAACACGGTGGTTGTCCTTTTGTGGCATTTAGAAGCTGGGTCCCTTCGGATGCCATGTCCATGCCTGATCCTGGTGTTATACTGGCAACCGGTGGTTCTAAAACCATAGACCCAGAAACCCTGGTTCCTGATCGATGGGGCTTGATAATGAACAAACACAGCTTCTTGTACAGGGATCCCAAAAATGATCAAGTGAGCCCTCCCTCTGCACCCTCCCCTGGCTCTCCTTCGCCGCTTTTGCCACAGCAGGCGGTGCTGGCGGAGGGGGTGCCTGCAGCACTGGCTGTTGACCCCCAAGCCCCGCTGAGCCTTTCTCTCGATCCGAATTTGGAAACGTTCACTGACCTTTCCACACAGAAAAATCGGTTGGGCAAGGGGAAGTGGATGGCGTGGTCCTACCAGCAACATTTGGGTCTGTGTTCGAAAAGGAAAATCTAAAAACAAACTATATACATCCATCCCCCCTAATCAATACAAACCCGTTGGATCATATTGGATCCAAAAAGAAAAGATCGAACATTCATCGACACACTATGTGAAAACCCCAAAGAATAAAACACATCGACACAGCTTTCTCCGACCCGCCTCAGCTGGCGGCGCGCCGCCGGTCTTCACTGCGGTCGCCCTGCCAGCGGCGATGAAGCGAGCGGCGGGTGATGCTGTGGGGGGGACACGACTGGAAGAATATCCAAAAACATTCCAAAACTGCATACCCTGGGAGTCAAAGACTACAAACATAATGGTCTTCAGGGGACCCAAAAAATGAACTTCCTTTACTTCAGTCGGTCAAAATATAAACATTTGGACTTCTAGGGCATACACTCCCGGGAATCCTCATGATTACGTGGATGTAACAATTGCACTGGTTTCGGATGACCATGAAATCCGAAGACCAAACAGGCGGTGAACTCGACTTCCATGATTATTCCAGGGAGAGTAAGTACATTTGGACCTACAGCTTGCAGTAAAGGCAGAATTGAAACTGATTGTTGGCCCTATCACATCTGTTGAGCAGATATTTTTGTTGACATTGGAGGAAAGCCGGCAATGGTGAAACCTTATTGCAGTCTTGTCACCGGCAGAAACCCAGAATGCAGTGGAAGTCTTGTCACCAGTAGGGGCGCCCTTGGTTTCCAGAGCCCTTAGAACCGGCTGTTTCCAAGAGTGGACGTGGCGAACCGGGACGGGCCCATTTCGCTGCCTCTTCTTTGGGGCCCATTTCGCCGCGGGAGCCTGGTGAGCAGGGCACATGTGATTTTACCGTTACAGCCACTGTCACTGTCTTCTCTAAATGGAACACGTTTTGGCCAGTGTCAATAGTTAATTGGAAACTGCCAAACAATAATGTTAGTTGTGTGCTTTACATTTATTCCTGTATAGGTTAGGCACTAAGGTGGGTGATGGAATGATGGCTAAAGAGCCATAGGGCCATAAGGTACCTTCCAAACCTGCTGGCACACTAGACGAACACCTGTGGCTTGAGACTCAGACCACTCTTCCTTTGGATCTACGTTCGGTTCACTGCACACCGGAGGTGCTCATACCGGCAATCTCCGGTGAAGCCAAAACGAAAAATAGTAAGGAAACACTTACGTGAAATTCAATTCTAACGATCTCGAACCAGCCGTGGTTGCAGAACCCAATAGACTATCTATATATATATATATATATAGGTACCCCAGGTGACGGGTCCTATATACGGTCACTTAACCTGTGTTGGAAAGGCCACGTGGTAGTGAGAGCCTGAGGAGAACAGGCGAAACTGTCATTCTGCTTCGTCCACACACGCCGCAGACACCGCTGAAGTCCACTTGCGTCCACTTGGTGCCGCGACCGGTCCGGTCCCGTTCGGCGTCCACTGACCTGCTTCGCCTTCGGTTGGGTACCGGTGGAGTGGCGCTTCGCTTCGCCGGAGAAGTGAAGAAGTGGCCTTCTGGGATCCGGTCTCCGCTACCGAGAACATCGCACCGATCGATCGGGAGAGTCAAGCGGTTGGGGATCCCATTGACCTTCGAAACATGCCCGAAATACTTTGTCGTTGACTTATCATAGTTTGTGTTCACAACAATTCCAAGTAAACTGTGGCTTTTGTGAGTCAATACCTGTTGGCAACAACTCTATGGAATTGAAGTCGAGGATTTTCTTTTAGCTGGACCAACGCCTGCGACGAGTCGTGGAACCACCGGCGACCGGCGCCGGTCCGGCCGCAGCAGCCCTCGCCTGGCCAGTTTCAGCAGCCTTCGCCTGGCCGCGAGAGACGTCACGTGCGCCGGTGGAGACGTCACGTGCAAAAGCGGGACGCCGGTGGTAGGAAAAACGCTGGGTGGCACGTGAAGAACAGCTGAAGAAGGAATCCGGAATGTTGTACATACTTCCTATTGACTACCATTTGGTGAGATCATACCTCCCTTCACTTGTCAACACAGATGAAGCAAAACGGTCATTTCTGGTGAGCCTAATGGCGCTGAGAAGATGCGAAATGAATACCGTATGGTAGCCTGCCGACCTACCTACCTACCTACCTACCTTCCTGGTTGCCTCGATTTGGCCAACAAAAAACAAAGAAACAACCAAAAACAGAATGAATAAATTCCTCTTACCAAGTGACCTTTCCCCCCAAAAAAACTACGCTCCGACTGATGCAACAAAATAAACAAACCAAGAAAAAAACAACAACAATAGGTCACCAAAATGGTACAGTACACGCCCGCCGCCCATTTCACAGCATTGCTATCCAGCAATTGAATCTTCTCCGGGCTCCCCCACGACCTGTGCTAGGCGGGGCCGCTTGGCGGGCGGCCTCCGTGGTCCGAAGGTGTGGCCGCTGTGACAGCGAATGCACGACTGGTGGTTCCAAACCTCCATGTATATCCCAAACACTCCATGGAATCCCAGGTCAACCCCATGGATCCCAGGTCAACCCCATTGATCCCAGGTCAACCCCATTGATCCCAGGTCAACCAACCCAACTGATTTGGCGAATGTGGCAGGTCCCAGACAGGTGGTGTTAACGTTGATTTTATTGGAGATGGATTCTTGAAGCACTCTGGAACGCCATCCATACTGATGGGACGTATCACAGGATGATGGGACGTAACTAAGAGGCCCGGGTGACGCACTTGACGCACTTGCTAAACCAGCTGGTCGTTTCTGTTACCAATGCCTCAATTGGGGGGCAGGAAGTTTCATCGTCTGGCACCTAGCCGCCTGATGCTGGTTTTCGGCCCGAAGCAAGGCAGCAGGGCACAGCTGGGCACAGCTGGGCACATCATGGCACATCAAACATTGCATCATCAAGACGAGCATTCCCAGAATGAGCCACAACTGTAGGGGAGTGAAAATTCCAGACTGAATCATACAACTCTTTTTTTTGCACGAGTGGAGACGCCATGTGCGCGGAATGCACAGGTCATCTCCAGACTGAATCATACAACTCTTGCGATGAGCATGACCAACGATGCATCCAACAATAACATGACCGATACGGACTGCTATGGGTCAATGGCGTGCCCATTGGTGATGCTATGGGTCATTTCTCAGCTCACTGATCTGCAAGTTCATGTTCGATGAAACTGGTGGATTGCTACATGCTGCACAACAAGAATCTTCTGAGCTTCCAAGTGTCCAAGAAGCGGTTTTATGATGTTTTGTGGATATGGAGGAGGACAGATACATTTATCCATGTATATACAAAACAGGTAACACACATAACCTTTCGTGGATAAAGCAGTTTATTATTCCCCCTTCATTTCATCGAGGACATACACACTCCGATCTTATTGGTCTCATCCTGCCAACGAAGATGGTCCCGGGGGCGCGCACGCGGGACCCGCTGGGCCGAGGTTGTTTTGCACTCCGGTGGAGGTGCTTCCACTGAGACCAAGCTTAGCTATTGGGTGTGGTATATATGGTAAAACCAGGTAAAACCCGAGACATCCTAAACCTCATACCTCCTACAACTAACATGCACATCGAACAAAAACACCCTTCATGGCCATACTAAGGCATCTCCAAACACTTCAAAGATGTTCGAAAAAGCTACTAGTAGCTTCTTGTTACCAATTAGTAGGCGATGCACCTGTTCCTACTAGTAGCTTCTTGTTCCTAGTAGTAGTGGCCTCCAACCAAATAACGATGGCTTCCATCTAGTAGCGTTCTTGCAACTAGTAGTAAGGCCAGGAGCCCCGGTTCGTCGCGTTCTTGCTACGTTCGTAGCTTCCTTCGACTGCCCAACCAACGGCGGCTGGGCCCTCCAGGCGCGGCCGGCTCGATGTCGGACTTGCCCGGCGCACGGGACTTCGCGGCCGTGGGCCGCGCCTGCGGAGCCGGGTGGCCGTGGAGGTCTGGTGGATTGATGAAAAAACATGCCTATACTTGCTGAAGTCGGGTTGTCGGGTTTTGAAAGAATCAGGGAACACTAGAAACAATGTCTATCAGTGGCGCCACGTTACACGTTCTCCTAACTAAGCCAAGTGTTGGTTCAGATGTGGCACTTGAGCCGGTGGCCTCCTTCGGCACGGAGGCCTTGGCCGCCGTGGTCGCCGTGGCCTGGAAGAACAGCGAGTCCGGGCTGCCAAGAGAGGTTCAGTGTCACTTAAATAAGGTTAATTAATCTATATACTTCTTCTTTCTCTCTCTCTATATATATAATGAGGTCTGTCTAAGTTTTGTGGCCTGTTGGAAGCTTATAGCTCTTATAGGACCCTACTCGGGTACCGGAATATACGTCCCTCCATTTCGGAGGTTCGGTGCTTGGGGGTCGAAGACCACCGAACCTGCGGAGATGGGCCGGGAGCCCAAACTGCATATGGGTGTCGCCAATGGTGGTCCTAAATTGGCCTTTCCCCCAAAAGGTGGTCTATCACTTCCGTTCGGCACCCACAGCAAATTGCAAACCCATTCCAAGATGGTTCTCGTTTGTGGTTGGATCATCGCTGGTTTATCTTTGCTGTTTTGTTCTTGTTGGTCGCGTTTATCACTTGCTTGGAAGCAAAGCGTTGGTGCACAAACAACACCCATGCAAAGACCTCTCGCATCTCTTACGAGTCAAGCGTTTACCGTTTACCTTTGGCTTTGACAACATGGAAACTGGATCACTCCTAGACATGTTTTTTGACTATATTATACGGTCAACGTTTATTATGTGTGGCTATTGCATGGTCATATGACTCCCCTATCGTTTCCCAGTGTTTTGGAACCTTGTTAAAGGGTATCATCTTTTTTGTGAGTCTATCTTTTGCCAGGGTTTGGAGCATGCCAGTATATAATATATTTGTGAACCTTATTATCGTTCTTTTTTGTGAACATTATCGTTCCTGAAGGTTTCCTTCACTTTACTTGCTTAGCGTTCACTGTAGTGATGCTGCCTTCATCGGAGGTTTTGGCAGTTGCTCATATGAATGCAAGGCTTTTATGAAATTGCCATAATCGCACATGTTGAATAAATTTTGATAAGTTCGGCTGAGTAATCATGTAACACGTGATTACAACCTATTAGGATTACAACCTATCAGTAATTAGTAACTCAGCTCTTAGCACTAGGCTGAGTTGGAGAAAATCCGCAGGAATCTAGACTTTGTGTGTGAACACTCGAACAGTTATGTCGCTAAAGGTCTTGAAACATAAACAAATCTATACAAATCTGGTCAATGTGTTATGAGGGCACTTTTTGGGGGGCAGGTCCTAGTCATGGTGACAGCCAGAGTTACCAAAACATGTATCATGATGTTGCATCTACTGCTGGACCTCCCGTGTCTATGTGGAATTTAGCGGCAAATCCGAGCCACAGGCAGTTGGATCGTCACCCGCCTTTAGGTCACATGGAGTTGGGTGGTGTGGCTCGTCCCAGCCAGGGGCTGTGGATGTGAAAGGGGCACACTCGCCTCCATGGATCTCCACATGGATCGCACCCCATTGGAACTGCTGGTGAGCTGCTGGTGCTTCTCCACACATGATCTGCCCCCAGCGACTGTGGGGAGTACGACCGTGTGCCAAGGACGAATCTCCTCAAACTACGTACGACGCTTCTCTCAGAGGTTCTCGTGTTTGTTTCCCAAAAACGGAAACACCTGCCTTTCACAGTGGTTTCAGAGTAGATGAAGTAGATAACGCAATGATGTCCTTTAGATGGGGGTCCACCACTCAAGCACTTTTGGGGGTCTGTGCCATCTACTCTCAATCAGCTATAAACCGCTTTGGCCGCTTTGGAAGGCCATCTTCGTTCCTTTTTCTGCAAAAACCGGCTCCCAAAGGACGTCCGCACACAGAATGAGCCCGGAAGAAGGACACCGCCCAGAGAGGCCTTGGCGGCCTTGGCGACCGGTACTTTCAAAGCGGCCAGCTTCTCCAGCTTTTCCAGCTTCTCGCCTTCCTGGCACGGAACAAAACAAACAATATGATTGCTCAGGATGATGGAGACAGAAGGGGCGCAGCTGGCAGGGCTTGCGCAAGGCTGAGTGAGCTTGCTTGTAGATGTGAGTGGGACGCTCTGAAGAGAGACTCTGAAGCAAGTGGTGTGCGTGGGTTTGGAAGATGAGGTATGGAAAGTGAAATCATGGGAAACTGAAGCATGAGTTCATGAACCACGACCAATCATGGGCGATGAACTTTTCTTCGGTACATGAGGAACTTGTTCTTGTCAAGGAACTGCATGACAAGTCGTGACATGATCTCTTTCCTCTACTAAGTGGGAGGCGACAAGTCGTGCACCTGTCTTTGTCCAAGTGTTGTTGAAAAACAAACTTGTTGTGTATGCTTTTTTGGGGGGGAGTCTGGGAATGGACCAACAACATCATAAGCTTTGAAGTCGGAACTTGACCATACCGACTCGACTCAACTCGGACGCTTTTGGTGACTCGACTCGCTTCCAAATGGTCGACTGAAGTCGACCGGTCAGGTGAACAATGGTCCAGTCACGACCAAACAATGATGTCCTAGTGGGAAAAATAGAGGGGTCCGTGACGGGTACCACATACCGAACTTGGTTGCACACATTTTTTTCGGGATTCATCAACCAAACAAGGCCGTAAAAAGCCAATCCGGTCATGACTCTCTCCATCTCTCCTTGGTGCATTCCTCGATGAGGCGCATGCATTCCCCATACCTGAAAAGGTTCTACGCTCGCTGCACGCGGACGCATATGGCATCGCTCGGTTCTTCAAATTCGCCTTTTTTTGCGCAGCAAACGGGGAATCAACTTCCGCAGCCTGGCATGGACCTCCAAAACAATAACAGGTCTTCTTTAGGTGCAATAACTCCTTTTTAACTCGTAGACTGCCCAAGAGTGCATACGTCAGGACATGACAAGACTGACCGTTCATCCACTAAAAAAGTGCTAGGGGCATGTATGTCTGTAACATTCTAAAACAGTTTGGTGACAAACCCATCTGTGGGGTGAATCAACTCTGCCGTGCAGGGTTCATCTAGTGAATATTATCACCTGGAAATGTGCTATTTCCAATGTTGTTATTTTACATTTACATCATGACATGCTCTTCTTCTGACATAGAATATCAAACAAGGCTCAGCAGCTCCGGTCTAGAGTCTAGAGTTCAGCATCAATTTGCCTGAGAAAGTTCAAAACATGTGATCAAAGCGAATCAGTTTGTCCAAGAATGAACAGCAGTGAAACTTGTCCCATGTTCCACCCATCCGATGTTCTTGCGCACCCGTCCGCCAAGAGATGGATTCTTGTGGTACTCGATCCGAGAAAATCCCTGATTACATCAAACCTGGAGGATCTTCACTCAATTCACCTGGGTCATATTCTGTCTGGGTGTCCTGGCTAGACTACCCTGCTCATGGACCTCCATTGGACGCCCATTGGATGATCCTAGTAGGATTGTTTTTACTTTCAAACACCCCATGGACAAGCCCATCCAAAATGCTTTGCCAATTACCCATTTGTTTAGGCTGGAATCCTTTGACGTCCCGTATCGTGTCATAGCCTTTTGTGCATGGACCGCATAGACACTGTAGGGTGTAGGCATCATTTCATAGGGCTCTGAATAATTCCCTGTCATGTTCCAAGGACAACTCCAAATCACAGCCTGAGATGAATCAAATGCCCTGGCCACAAAGTAGATAAACTTTGACATTAATTTCAATAAATACGGAACAGCAGATCTAGACACCGTCCAAAGCGACAACTTACGCCCAAGAGACTGAGCCACCAAAAGAGGATAGACATGCGTCATGGCGAGAGTGGGATCAAAGCGCTATTGGGGTCCAACCGGTTGGAAGTCCGATGGCAAGTTGATGAGCAACTGAACATGTCATGGGCCCTCATCTCGGAACAAAACTCTGAGCAAAAGTGGGTTTGTAATGTTCAAAGTTAGCAAAGTGAGTGGATTTGGGCATTGAGACCTGGTAGATGGCAAAGGAATGTCCTACTCAACTTCAAGCTTCTGAGCAGTTCGGGGAGGTGCGTGGTTGTTTGGAATGGACTTGGGAGTTGCATCTATGCCTTATTCCATCTGAAGGGCTCACTCACACCTTTAAGAATGTGGATGAACAGCTGGAAGACTTGATTGAACATATTGAAACTATAGCATATTCAACAAAAATAATCAATAAACATAAATATATATATATATAATATAATATATCAGTTCTTCCCACTTTGATCCGGGTTCAAGATGCTTCTAGTTGTCGGTCCATCCCTCAACACCACCTGCAGGACCGGTGGACAGAACCCCCAGCTCATGGCCTGTGGGGCCCAGGTGTTCCATGCTGAAAACCCTCATAACCCTCATGAGGATCCGACTCCTCAGAAGGAACATAACAACTCTAAAATACGCTAAGACTATGTCACTATCGCATGCAGGAAAGCAGCGACACGGAGTGTTCAGAAGGCACAGTTGATCCTCATCTCAAAACTACTCTTGATTCTTGATCATTCATGGATGCACAACTCCCCTATGTATCTATACACGAGCCAAATTCCGCGGCGATGGGCCAACACCTCTGAATCTGCTAGACTGAGTACGCGGTCTGTTTGGCACCAACGGAACGCGGTGTCCTGAAAACCCTCACCGGATACCACAACGTTCCCGTGCAAAGATCTGTCGCGTTCCCGTGCGCATAAACATAGGTTGCAAGCAAGGTTTCGGGGCAAGGGGGTTTGGACGGTGTTGGGTTTGTGTGGGGCAAACACAGTTTGGTTTGGGTTGGTTGCTCACCATCTGTGAAGAAACATATTGCAGCACATCTTTCTCAAAGAAGAACGCGCTGGTAGCAGCAGAAACACTACAAAACAACGTCAATTTCAGTCCTGATGGATGCCTTTGCTGCACGTCCTTCAAATCTATATGCATTACTACATAACAGTGTTCTTTCACTTACAAGAAAGTCCTTTCAATATTTATATATTTCCAAACATGCGTCGCAATGACACCGTCACGTCGCAATTTCCAGTCACCATAATACAGCTAAGCTGGAGTTCCCGGGCTAAGCTTGACCGCCCATATCCAAACATCCAACACATCAAAACTTAGACCGCCCGACGGCATTCCTTTTTCGCATCCGACATGGGAACTTCGCGGCGTGGACAGCGGGCGATGATGTTTCCGCGCCTGCGTTGGAGCGGGATCGGTCTTCAGACAGGGAGCCTCTTAAAGCTGGCGATGGAAGAATATGGACTCCCTAATTGATCTATTGGGAAAGTGATGGAAAGTGCTTAAGCTACTCTTCTATTTGTAAGCCTCCCATTTTCTACTCCGTCCGTCAAGAAAAATGGTCGACAGGTCTGGGGACTTCTCTCCCAAACTCAGATCAAAAAAAACATTTGGGACCTTCTCCTGAAAGGGTCAACTCGGACTCGGTCTGATATGTTTCAGGTCGCAGCACATGTCAACTTGTTTAGGTTCTGGTCTTTCCGTGGTTTTTTCCCATGCTGGCTGAAGCTGGCCTTCGTTCCAGTTCTACAACAAACGTTGGCTGTACTCCAAGTGCACCTTCGCAGCGTCGAGTGTTCTCCACCGAGGTTCTTCACGAGTGCGCGGTTCGTGTAGGAACGAGAGTCCGTTCCCTTTGCCCACAGTGATTCTTGTGATTCTTGTGCAACAGCTGTATCGAAATAGAGGAGGAAAACTAAGGGAAGCTTCAGAGGTCCGGTCTCACCACCTGTCTCACTCCCAATCTTGGTGTGACACCACAACATCATCAGTCCTCGCATTGGACAGGTGTAAAGCAGCAGTCCAAGGGAACAACCCCTTGGTGGCAAGTTGCAAGCGCAGTGAAAGCAGCCCAGTAACCTATACCGCCTATACCTACACAGTATATATAGCTTTGCACAGCGAACCCCTCAAAAAGGGGAACACATGTTCGATCGTGGAGTGGAAACACCCCACGGGTCGCTGGGGTGTCAATCCTACAGTTGACACATGTTGACATGTTCCAGACATGATCTGCTCTGGCATGTTTTGTTTGAAGGATGAAGACTAAGTGGACAAGCCTGAGTTTAAGGTTTTGGGGGTTAGGAAGACTGCTGCTGCCGACCCGTGGAGGACTTGTTTCAAGGAAAATGAACTGTGTGGACTAGGCTGACCTGCGCAGACCTGTGGAGAACTTGCGGACTCATCTGTGTGGGGAGCCACTCATCTGCGAGCAAACGTTGACTTAGAGGCGTCTATAGTATGTCTAGTCATATAGTCTAGTTGTCCGCTGTAAAGGTTATTCAGCACATTTAAGGCAAGGCTGGCCATGATTCCACCGCCATAAAACAATGTGATGGCTTCTTTCCAGCAATAGCTGCAGTAGCTCATCAATACCGTGAATGAAACAAACACACAGACCTGTAGAAACTCGACCTGAGAGATTATCATCGGATACTGTCCTCCTCTTTCTCTCTCTCTCTCTCGCTCTCTTTCTTCGTCTTTCACCTTTAACAGACCGCCACGCACTCCTTCAAATCAAGGACAGTGCAACTAAACCGGCCATGAGTCTGCCCTTCTCGCCGCCTGACCCACCATGCTTTTTCACACCGGCTTCTTCCCCCGGACTCGCCTCAGCGTAGGGCGGACTGGGCACCTGCACAACGCGGTGCCAGTGGAGCGGAGGCAGTGGAGTGATGGAGCGATGGAGGCAGCTCTACAGTGGTTTGTGTCTTGCAAACCACCTGTATAAGATGGTATACGGTAGATATGCAGTAGTTATATCCGTACTATATAGTGGGGAACTGGATCCATTGGGGATTTTGGTTTATGTTTAAGATGTTGAAACATGTTGAAACCAGGGCTCGAGCTTGCCATGCCCTGTAGCTGGATTAACTCGGTGCCCCAGTGGTCACAGGATCACACCATGGTGCTTCCTACATGTCACGTTTCATGCTGGGAGGCTTACCAAAAAAAAACAGAGGCAGCTGCTCCATTGTGTTGCATCTGTGCTCATAAAGGGGGAGGCGGACGCAATGAAAGTTGTTTTCGGAGCTTCTACGCCAGGCTTCCTCAGTGTTTGTCGGAGGGATTCCTACTGCCTGTGGCCATGGTGCCAAGGTTCTTGCCGAGCAGAGGCTCTGTTTACAGTGGAACGGCCTTTTGCATGGTGTTGACCCTTCGAACCGCACAGTCGAGGCTGCCTGGTTTTGCTGGAAAGCAAAGGGAGCCTTTTCTTTTTATTTGGCAATTGTGCATGCGGAGTGGCAGTTTGGTTACTTCCCGCGGAAAGCTGGTATTGACTAGTTTTCGGGCTTTGAAAGCATGAAGATGGCTTCCACGAGGCCCTGGAAGAAGACTTCTGCTTGGAATAGTGTCAGTAGAATGAGCTTGATTTGCCTTAAACTTGTGGTTTGAGGACTTCATTGCTGTTGAACGAGCATCGGAAGTGGCCTGGCCTGATGAACAGATGACCAGGTTGATTGCTGCTCAGCCTCAATTACCCTTTTCGTTACGCCACCCAATCAGATCCAATCTGGGATTTGTGATGGGTGCGACTTGTTTTTGCCCTTTGGCCTTTGTGTCGGTACCTTGGGACTTTGCGGCCCGCAGCTTGCCGGAAGTGGTATGGCTGCTTTTGGCCTGACTTTTAGTTTTGCCACAAGGAACGCGCAACTTTCATATTCAGGGTTGTGCCTGGCCTTGTTCAACCTGATCTTGCCCAGTACAGTACCTGGGACCGATTGGGCTTAATTAGATGCACGGCAGCCACAGACAGACGTCTTAGGCCTATGCGAGAAAGAAAAAAAGATGTTGAAACCATGAGGTGATGTTTTTGAGGAGCCCTCATGTGGCAGGGCAGCTACCCACCACCCACCGATTGCGTGTCGCTCTAAGAGGCAAGAGCGGCAAGAGCAAACTCCCACGGTATATCCATGTCGACGGTTGGTTGATAAAACATGATAAAACCTCCTACCTGCACCCTCCAAAGTACCTTAGAACATGAGACATGACCCCATAAGAGCAGATGAAACGCAGAATAATCGCAGGTCATTGCTTGTACCCTTTTCCCGTACCAACACTGGTCCCCAGGTACGAACTGAGTGTTCACATCTCCCGGCTGGTTTGCTTCAACGGAAAACACCAAAAAGGCCTTTTTGGTGCGGGCAACATTTGACCCTCTCACGCGAAAAAAGCACTTGTCCGTGAACGGGACCCTGTCCGCCCTGAAGTGCGGGTGCAACAACAAAAACACAACTCAGATCATGACACTGCCATTGTCGTGGCCCTTTTGGTGGCCCAATTCAGCACAGCACCGTGGTGCCTTCAATCTGTTTCTCTTGTCGCCAAAAATGCGAGTTGCGAACCGAGATCTGAGACAAAAAAGCAGGGCTGGGTGAACAACGAACAGCAGTCAGGGCAGTGAAGTCAAGCAAAAGGAATTTGATCCAAGGACATGCAAAACTCCAAAATCCTGCCTCTCCTAGCTGTCCTAGCTCTTCCCGGCCTAACGACAAGATCCCCCAGTCTCCACGCAACGGTACGAACCATGAAAAACCATGGAAGTGGATTGAAGACCACCGTGTTTGGTATGAGGATTTCAGGGTCATCTGAAAAATAAGAACACATATTTGTTCCCATCCCAGGTGGTGTAGCTACGTCATGATAGAAAATGGGACATGACATGACCATGACTATGACCCTTTAAAGACCTGACAGGAGCGACCGCGCACTCTGACTGGAGGGCGGAACCCGCAAATCCATCAGGAGAATCCAGTGAAGCAGAGGTTCCGGTCATGGTGGAGAAAACAATGTTCCTCCATGGCATTTGTCATCGCTTGGCAGTGAAATCAGTTCTCTAGTTGTTTTGATTTTTCTCGAGGAACCAGGAATAAAACTCCGCCGATGTCCGTCATTCGACGCGCCTACCCAGCGACCACGTGTGCTCTTGGCTCGCTTGGACTCCTCCAATTCATCGCGACGCGGACGTGGTGACACGAGTGACGTGACGTGCGGAGATTCGAGCTGTGAAGCAAAACGCAAGCCGCATGAGACGGTAAACAGAAGACGGGTGACGTGACATGCGGAGGAAGAAAGCATCTGCCCCATGATACTCCATGCGTATTGCGCGATACTTCGTCCGTGAAGAACGGTGAAATAAGTTTGGTGTGGAGCATCCTCCAGTATGGTCGAAGTGCATCGAATCGCGATTGAAACTCACAGTGTCATCTACGGATCATCGAAGGATCTTCCAAAATACACCAATTCAGCCAACAAAGGACTAGGGTAAGCTTCTAAAGTTGTCTGTCTAGTCTATGTCTATGTGTCCATCAAGTTCAACTCTTTTCCAACACCCAACACCCAAAACACTCGCAGGGTGCTTTCCTCCAAGGATCTCTTGGAATGCGTGGATACCTCATCAAACCGGACCACAAGTATACGTTTTGACTCCCAAGCTGCGACCGTTTCAGGACTTTTTAGGACTTTGGGTTCGAACCATGTATCATGAATGTATCATGTCTTCCGAAGATTGGAGCAGTTTGTGCCGGTCGACTTACTCAACTCCTTGCACCCATAGCTATAGATGTGCGCCCTTGGCTTAAGCGCCGGCCTAAGCAACAAGGAGTGGCCCTGCCAGCGCTGTTCGAACCATGGCCCTACCAGTAGGGTGCTTGTTCCGCTGTACCGAAATGCGCCCGAAGCACCGAACGACCAAGCAGCGCGCCTCATCCACCTCGTCGGTCTGCATCCGGGTGCAGCCCCCAGCACCGGACTTGGTGGAATCGCCCTCCTGCCAGAAATCCGAATCGGGGTGTGACACTTTGGTGGACTTTGGTGGGGGAGAATCCTCCTGCGGATTTGGGGGTCGAAAGTGGAAGAAAGGCGGGATGTGGACTTTGGGGAATGACTGGCGCTGGAGATGTTTGAGATTCTGATCAGGATATTTTTTAGATGCTGATCAGATCTCATATATATTACAGGATTTCGCGGGACCATTTTCCAAAGAGCCACCGTGGGAGTCTCGACGATATTTCTGACTCAAAGACTCAAGAGCTCTTCAGCCGATCTCTCTGTTTTCTCAATCTTTTGATACGGAGGTGACGTGGCACTTGCTCATGGACTTCAGACTTCGAACCAGAGTGATCAAGCCAGGAATGAACCAACCTTCGAATGGGAACAAATATTAACATATGCACAACACAACGGGAAATCTACCAGAAAAACAAAACAAAACAGACTTGAACTTGATTGTGGCAGGATAGGACGGAACTTCCCTTGCCCCAAATGGAAGAACTCAGAACCTCCCCAGCCCAAACACGACCGATGGGACTGGCATATTTACTGATCAGTTTGGGTGGTTGGTTTCAGGTGTCAATGTAGGTCAAACATGCCATTGCCATTGACCCCCGAATCCACATCGAGGATGTATCAGGCCTTTACACATATAACCTACGCACCCAAACCCTATAAATTTGTAGGGTCGATGGAAAAACCTAGGGTTTCTGAAGGAAACCCAGGTTTTCCAACCAGTATGTACGGGTTAAACATGGGTTTAGGACGGGTTTAGCACAGTTTAGAAGAACAAGACCCGAGGTTTTACGAACAAACCTGAGATATGTTTGATTTCACAAGAATACCCAATGATCCGATTGAGACCCTACAAATTTATAGGGTTTGGTTGCGTAGGGTAGAACTCTAGAAGGTGTATAAATTGAGGGTGCAGTGAAGATGGTCAATGACAAAAACCACCCCATTGCAGGTGTTTTGACATGGACTTTGTATCGCGAAACGTGCGTCCTTCAAGGCTTCACGGATCGATTTCACCTGAGCCGCGAGCCGCTGGACAGCCGTGAACCCGCCATCCGCTGGACAACGATGGGGACCGGAGGGAAGGAGGAAGCTCTCGGTGGTTGGTGGTCCATGGTGTGCAAGTCACCGAACTGGGCCAAAACGATTCAACACACTAGAAAAAACAAACACATCAAACTCGCCTACTATACAAAAAAGATTAGTGAGATATAACTTATAAGATCTTATAAGAGTGTATAGGTGTTTGATGTGTCTCAAATGCTTTATCATGCTTTCAAATTATAAATCTAATAAGACTGGCTGATTCCTCGGTCTGTGTATGACAAAAAGAATCAGGGCAGTGGAAGTAAAAGTACATCAGGCAAAACTGCATGTTGCCGCAGCTGCTGGTGAGGCAAGAACCTAAGAGAAGTTGCCCTTCCCACTGTACATCTTGGAAAACCACAAAACGAAGGTCTATTAGAAGGCTGGACATTTTGCGGGCAGGTGCACCTGCCAAAAACTTTGGAATAAAAACATGCATGTCACCTCAAGCGCCACCCTGAGACCCTATAAGGTAGTGGCGCCCATAACACATGCACAAGGGTTCTCAGAGTCGGAAAGTTGAAGAGCTGATTTATCACTAATTGTGTCATACCGAGTCATACCATACAAGCTAGTACACAGTAAAGATTAAATATGATGTATGCTTTGAATATATTCATTGTGTATCTAAATAATTAGGGCAATCTGAGCCTCCAATCGTGTGGTCGCAAATGAACGTGTGGTCCAAAGTTCGTTGGTGTAGGGTCAAAACGAAGGCCCCATGGGTCAAGATCTGACATCCCAAGTCGCCCATCTTGGCGACTCCGGGATCACTCCCAAACGTGGAAGGCACGGGCATCTCAATGGTTTTGGACCCAAGGTTCGACACACGAACCTCCGGGCACCTCCTTCTCCAATTCCTCTTGTGCCACCTTCTGCTTCTCGTAGTTGTTGGCGGCAAACCTGCCATGCGCGGAAGGGCCCAATATCCGCGAAGCCGCTGTCAGCCCACGTTGAAGCTCGTTGAAACGCTGATCAATCAAAGAGAGCTATAGGCTATAGGCTTTGTGAGCATGCCTGTATTAATTGAATTTGTGAGACGGAAAATCCTGACATCTAAGTATCCGAGTATACACACCACAACTCTCATATACTGACGAATGCCGGATGTTTCATTGCACATGGAAAACAACCCAAAGTATTTGCATGATAGAAGAGTGTGAACCACTGTTTGATCAACAGGAAGTCACTCGTCAAATGATCAGATTCACTGTCACTTCTTAACCTCTCAAAATCTAACTTTTTAGATTTCAATCACGTTTTTCTCCATTGCCATCTGCATTAAATTTGGAAGTTTTGCCAATGGATTTATTCATGCTCGACCGCTTGCCACAAGAACACGAACTTGGCCTCTTGCATTTCGGATGCGGCACTACGAGGCAAACCACATTCCATCCCTCGACTTGTGCCTGTTGGCTCACATTTCATTGATGATGGGAGAGAAATTGCAAAATCACAATTGGAAGTGTTCACCTTGTGGATGCGTTGCTGCACTTGGAGTACAAAGATCGCAGATATGTATACCCACTTTTGAACCCAAGGCCCAAGTTCCACCTAGTGGTACATGTTTTTGATGACATGAAGGCGACGCTGAGAAATCCGGCGAGGTCCATGGTGCACATGGATGAAATCATGCGTAGGTTAGGTACGATCATGAAAAAACTGCATAGATTCACGAAGTACTCCACAAAGTTTGGCCGCGCTGCTTGTTGCACAGCCACTTGCTGCTGCATGGCGTCCACTTTCTCAGCCAACCGCTTCACTTCGCTCTGGTGTTGGTAGAGCGTGTCGCGGGTGTCCACATTGAAAGCCTTATCGGCTTTGATGGCCATGGTGCGTTGTTCGGACTCCGCGATCAGCTGGTTCATGGTCTTCGTCTTAACATCTCATGGAACCCTGGCATCGCAGAAGGAGCACCCGCACATGGGGATGTCACCGGTGGTGGGGGAGCCACGGTCAAAAGTTGCAGCTCTTCGCCCATGCCCACCATCTGCATAGAACCTTCCGTACCACAAGCCAATCTTGCTTCTTGGCCATGACAGGGCTGTTTCCGTGGTTCAAAGTTACCATGAAGGGCTGTTGACTGTGGCCGGACTCATAAATCATCCACTCGCCATTGTGCGAGTTCTGCACTGGCCAATGCATCATCCTCATCTCACTGCCATCCATATATGTGACGTTGGGAACCGGTCACATCGAAACCGGTCACATCGTAGTTCTCGATATGTGTCAAGAGCTTGTGGCCCTTCTCACATTCAAAGATCCTCTCTTGGACGACAAGCCCAGGGGCCACCGCACGCAACCACTCGCGAATGGACACGCGGGCGTTTGTGGGCATGTGGTCATTTTGTACGAACTCTTCAACGCGGAGGAAAGGCAAGAGCGGCAGCGGATTGAGCATGTTGATCCCTTCAATCACTATCACGCTGCTGCCATAGCAGTCGCTCCAAAACAAAGCATCCGACATGGTTTTCAACAACTAACTAGACTTTACTTTTGATCTAAAAACTCACATATCCAAAAACATCTTCACAAAGCATTTCACTTGACAAACAACATGCAACTGCAAGATACACACAAACGGCCGGAACGCTTCATTTTTCCAAAGCTTCAACACTCAATGCGCTAGGGCAGCATTGATGCTGCCGCAGCTGCTGCTTCTGGACTTTCTTACCCACTGCCATGGCGACGTGGAGACAAATCACAAGTACAATTTTGACGCTGATAAATACTGCTCTACCAGGCGTCCGCATGCGCCTTGGTTCAAAAGGCCTAAATATGCTTCAATCCGCTAGCATTCAGTCAACATAATAAACACAACGTTTGTAAGTCCCGAACATTCAAAAGGGTTGATCAAGGACTGTGACCGCGTCGGGCCCAAGGGTGTCAAACAGAATTGTTTTTAAATACCAGCTCACAATATCGCATTTCTTGTTGTAAATTGTGTTTTTATTTGATGATTGTTTATGCTTTCTATGGCATGTTATTTGATTTTTGGTTTAAATATTGCGCATGAAGAAAACTGATTGAAAACTGATCAGGGCCACCAAAGCCCAATCCAAAGAGGAATTTGCATTAACTTTGTTCTTCTGAGATATTATTGACTCAATTGGTCACCACTGAAGACAACTGAGAAACCAAAGTTCCCCTCCACCACTGTCAACCTCAGCCACAGTCTAAGTTGCATGATGACAACTGTGTTGGAGCTTGGACTTTGAGATGACAATTGACTACAGCAATCCAGACACCTGACAGCAGGGAAGCAAACACAAAACCTCATTGAGTGTCCCTGTGATTCTCAGAATTTCCAAGCCTGTCACATGGTGTTGCTTCTTCTGAGATATTTTGAGAAGATTTGAAAACATTTGAGATAATCTGGCCGGGTGCTTATAACTTAAAAATTAGTATTCCGATAAATGTTGATATAATTCGGAAATGCTGAAATAAAATGAGATAAACTGAGCTGGGACAAGCGTTGTTTCCCTTGAAAGGTACTTTTGGCTTGAGATCTTTTGAGGAATTTGAGATAACTTGAGATTTTATGCGAGATAATTTGAGATACGGTGTAGTGTTTACAATTTGTTGAGATAGTTTGCTTGAGATATTGTTTATACTTATGTTCTTACTGTGTATTTGTTCATGTATTTTGTGTTTGTATGTTTCTGGGTGTGTCGCCTTTAGTTTTCCTGATGTGTGTGCTGTTTTCATGTGTCTTTATGTGTCTGATTTGACATCATCTAGTGTTGCTGTGATTTGCTATACACTCATTATACAAAGTTGGTTCGTTCATTGATGAGTTGCATGTGTGTTTTACAGGAGTTCTTCATATGTCACATCTAACTGCATTTTCCACATCTTTTCGCATAAAAAATCTCTAGGAATCTCAAAAATCAATTTTTCCTCAAAATCCATAATGCCATCAAAACCCATCAGATTGAAAACCCTTCTGTTTCAAGGGGCTGGTTTGCGGCAGTGATCAACGCAAGCAAACACATCTTCGGCGGCACCTGCGCACCTCCTTTGGTGTTGGATTCAAAAACGCGCTCTCGACCACGTAGTTTGTTGGAGTTAAGACCAGCTGGGATCCTTCTTGCACATCAATTTGATGTGATCATCAGAAGGGTCCTCCTCCACCACGGAACCCCTCGGGGTCAAACCTCGGAGCTCAGCCCGCGCTCCAACTGGGTCGTGGGCCAGCAAAACATGATACTGCAACCCCTTCTGAACTGCAAACGCATCTCCCGGGAAAAGTTTCGCGAGTAGGGACACGTGTCTGCCGGATCCTTCTTTGGAGGTGGGACTGTTCTCTAAATCTTCTTGTATTTGCTTAATTCTATCCAAGGCTAATTTTCTGTGTTCAAAAACAGAACTGACATTGAACGAGCAACGCGATCTGGGCGGTCTGCTATGAAAAGCTATTCCCCGAAAACGCCAAGGGACCGTCCAATGAACTACTTTAAACCAATTTAAACCAATTCCAGGAAAAAGTAACTAGTGCGTGGGCAATCCAAAATCTAGAGGTCTAGAAAGATCTAGAGAGGATGTGCATATGCGAGCACAAAATGCAGCGCCTGCCACGCAATCTCCACTTCGAGGATAACAGTGCTGCGCCAAACACGAAATCTGCACGCCGAGGTTGACAAAAATGCTGCGCTTGCCACGAAATCTGCACCTCAAGACTCATATCGCGCAGCCCTGCCAAGCCGTTTCGCAGCACTGATTCCGAAGAAACATCAAAATGCCAAAGCGCAGGCTTCGCTCGATACTTCCTCCGAATTTAAACAAACGGTCCAAGTGTCCCAAGGTCACGTTTCATTGCACCTGCCACGAAGTCAGAGCCCAAGACATTCACCATGTCCAACGCGCTGCGCCTGCTCCCAAATCTGCACATCGAAGTAAAAGCACTCCGATGCCCTGCACCTGCCACGAAGAGTCGACTTTGCCACGAAAAACCCAAGGTTTGCCTTGCGCCTGCCACGAAAAGTGACCATCAAGTCCGAAAATGCGCACTGCACCACAGCAAGAGCACAGTCCAGGAAAGCACTCGCTCGGGCACGGCAAATTCTGAAGGCCTGCGCAGTCAAAATCTAGCCGCCCACACCCATGAGCACCACAAATCAAACACCCAGCATCCGCAGCATTACCATAATATTACCTTGAGAACCCCAAAAGTGTGACCACACTGTTTGGGAAAAAAGAAACCGATGGTCCCAAATCAGTGTGCCACGTTGGACCATGGTCCCTGGTGAGTCTTCAAACATGTCTGTCAAAATGACGCGCCGGCAGGGCATCACTGCGGCATCGAGCCTGGGATGGACCGTTCGCGGGGGTCTAGCTCACTTGGGTCACGTGGGCGTCGAATGGCCAGGTTCAAAGTGTTTGGGTCGACCGGAAACAACTGCACGAAGAACACCACATGAATACAAGCTTCGAAAAGAATGCCAAACTCGTTGGCGCTCCAAACAGATCAAACAGTACAGAAAGTCTATAAGTGGCTCCCTTGAACACATTTGGCCGTGCATGAATCAAGTGCATCCCACTTGAAGAACCTGTGACTTGCACCTTAGATGTGGCCATCAATCATGAATAACTCATCATATATCAACTCGCTGAAGTCACCTACCTGGATATCAGCTTGCTTTGGACACGTGCACGTCAAAGAAAACACATAGCTATATTGTGACGAGCTTGTCATATAAGTTCTTGTCTTTTTGGTGTCCGAACCTTGTTGACCTCTCACAAACCACTGACCTTGTGGCAAAAAGAACGTTCGAAAACGTGACCCGGACACGTTCTTTCGCTTCTGCGCTTGGTTTTGGGTTTCTTCCGCCCAAAACCCTTGCCCAAAAGAGGGAGGAGGTTCTGCGTTTGAGGAATTGAAGTTATTTTTCAGACCACTGGCCAAAGAAATCAACCATGTTTTTCCCAGATTTGCTTTACGCTTTCGGTGGTCTGTGACAGCAACGTGTACGATATTATTTGACTAAATGTTCACCTTCCATCAGTTATTTAATGTATCCTTGGGAACCGCATGAGTGCAAGAAGTGATGCTGAAGGTGAAGCTGCCTGTGAGTCTCTTTGCAACTCTGAAGGCCCAGCTAATGAATGATCATGATTGTCACACAAAATAGGAATCCGAGGTGCTTCATCCCATGTAAGCGGGGTCCTACAAGTGGTAAGATCATGTAAGATCTGGTATCTCACTAATTACGCAAGATTGTGCAAGTGGGCCGCTAGCCTCTTCCAGAAAGGACTCCTGTCAGCAAATCACAGGAGACCAACATGGTTCCCATAAGGAATTGCCTCAGAACATGGTGTGAATGTCCACTTCATCCAATCCCCCAATTCCCACCACACCGACTCACACAGCACGCCGACCCGCACGGCCAAACGCCGGCTTCCGGTGGGTCGTTTCGTGGTCCCAGCGACGATTGGATCATTTCTTGGGCCGTTTGTTGCCAGGCGCTGAGGGTCTCGATGATGTAGTCGATGTCCTGCGGTGGTCAATCCGGTTTTCAGGTCGATCGATGCCCCCCTCCCCATGACCTGGGAACTGGAACTGGCATCGCCAATCAGTTGGGGTGGTTGACCTGGGGGTCAACCTACAGAGGTTAAGTGACCTCTTGGGACCCTACAGGGGTACCTATAGGGTTCTTCAACCTCTGCTGGAATGTAGGTGATTTCATACATGGAGCATTTGGGCATGGTTGGCCCTGTAACACGTCCTTCCACGACGTGCAGGCTAGGCCTTCCACGACCGTGTCTTTAGGGGTTCATATGTACGTCTAGAGCACGGGTTAGAAGTCCTGCAGCCTGCAGCACTTTGCCCCAAAGAACCCTCCTTTCACGGCTCCCAGCGTGTTTGGCGGACTGCCAAGGCTCGAGAAACGCCCACAACTTCCGAGTGCTAGTGACTTGACGGAGTGCGTATACGCTGCTTGAAGTGATGGTCCAGGCCTCCAGTACGACTGAGCGCCACCAGGGAAACACCCAAGAAAGACCGATCTTCCGTCGACCAAGCCGCAGTTCTGAAAACCCTGGAATTGCTCCGGTGGCAAACGCGGAGGTCTGCTTGCCCAGAAAGACTTGGAGTGGGGACCAAGTACCCCAAACACTCGTTATCCCTTATAACACTCCTTATGGTCAAACTGCCATGTGTTTGTATATGTTTCATCACATAGACGTTTTTTAGTTTGCTCATTATGTCTGGGGGTGCTTTCCGTCATATGGCCGTTCGCCGTTCAAACTCCGAACACCCGAGGTCGGTTCCACTCTGCGCTGGTCGAAGGCGCGGGTTCCGGTGGTGGTGGACTTCGCCCAGTGGGTTTGGTGAATTTTGGGGGAACCGAAGCCACTGGACCTCTGGAGCAAAAACACACCGCGAATTGCAGGCATTGGCAGGAATCCAAGCCTTTGTGCCCTTCCTTTACATGAGAGGATCTTGCCCCGGGGTTGGGCTCACTCTGCTGTCCAAATACGTCTAGATTTAACTGACAGCAACCATCATCTTTGATATCAAATTAGAAAGACTTATGTGCATCTCAGTGACTTAAGAAAATAACACTAATATACAGTATATTCACGTGTTGTCTTTCCAAATAAAGAACTGATTCTCCTGTACATCTCTCCCTCCAACCGCTTCGGTGTCGCAGCCGTATTCCGTGTCCGGTTCTCCTCTGCTTTGCAATCGCGACAGGCGCAGGACTCCACAATGAGGCAGCTGTTCTCCTAGCGTCCGCGCTCCGTGGAGGTCGGTGGTTCGGGAGAACCTGGGAGGTCGGTGGGTTCGCTTTACCATGCCTCATCAGTGTTTATCATCTTTGACCCTTTAAGTATCTTTAAGTCCAATGACTATTACACAAGAGTGCATGAGCACATGACCAAGGTGAAGTAAGGGAAATTCCTTGTCAGGTGCCCGGGCCCTAACTGGTCCTCCAAAGACTCTTCTTTTGGTAGTCTTGGACCGCCGGCTTTATCTCACACGCCAAGAATGCTAAGAGTCAGTGACCCCTCGAGGCAATGCAAATCTTTGATCTCCCTCGACATTGGATTGAACATGTTTGATATACAATGATGGGTACCAATCCCATACACTCCATGGGACTGCAAAAATTACATTGGGGTGGTTGAAATGGGATGAATGTAGGTAAATATACCATACATGGAGTGTCTGGGAATCCTTTCGAGAAGAGAGGGGGCAGGTCAGTGCCCCGAGCATGAAATTGGTTGTACACGACCGGCAGTGTCACCTCTATTAAGCTAGGCAACCCAACCCAGAAGATATACCCTGGGGTTCCCGTCCCATATCCTCAGGTTCGGCGGTATTCGACCCCAACAATCCACCCAAACCACCGAACCGAAACGGAGGTAGGCCAGGAGTTGTAGGGATAGTCTGTAAACACTGGCATGTTTTCTCCTACATAAATAGTCTCCAATCGGCACATGGTACTTGAGTAATCTTGAGTACATTAGTGCATACACTCGTCAGCACACCTCTTGTCACTTAAGTTCCCTCACATCGGCGTTTCGACCGCTTTTCAGCCGGGAGTGGTGACATCGGCTCGACTGGGTCGACTGGGTCGGTATTGCATCCCCCCATTCCTATGGTAAGCCGGTAACAGTGGATTTTCCGCCTTGTCAGCCTTTCTAAAGGCCTGACATCTCAAAAATTGTGATAATTGTTTAACGACCTGTTCCATAGCGCCATAACGCGAGCAAAAAATAACTGCGCCCAGACCAACGACAGAAAACATCTCAACCAACCTTTTCGACTTCATGTGCAAAACCGAAAGTGTCATGTGTATGCACAGTGAGTGTGATATCGTCTGTGAAAGTATGTGTGAAAAATATATTGCAACATCCCGAAAGGACTGTGTGTGTGAACTCATCCGCGAAAGCATGTGTGCATATGGAGACATCCCCGAAGAACATTCCACCGAACGTCATTAGCCCCCCACCCACCCACCCCCCACACCCCTGCACAGTGCGTGTGAACTTGTCCCCGAAGTATGTACAACATCATGTTCATGCGTAGAAAAGTATACAAAGGAACGAAAAAAAGAAACACACACTATTATGCACATCACGTACGCAAGGAAAGGATAAATGTTGCACAAAATTCACGGGACCGCCCGTTAGCAAAAACAAAAGGGATGGCCAACCCTCACGCGTCGCGCTAATTTGCACGGTTGGGCTTCGCAAAGTCTCATGAGGGTCATCATTTTTGCGTTTCCTTTCAAGCAAAAGTTTTTGATGTTTTTTGCTGCAAAATGCATTCGACTTTGCAGGCGAAACCGCGTTTTCGGAAAAGTTTTTGATGTTTAGGTGTTTTCGGCATTGCCTTTTCCTGCTCACTTCGAACTGCTGCTCATCGCTTTTGCGATGGCAGGGAAGAGATCGTCCCCTCTATGGTGATAGCGAAACTGCCAACTCCGAACATAGTTCAAGAGTTCCGGATTGACAGTTCGACTCTTTGCTTTGGTTGTAATATGCTTGGGTATCCAAGCTTTCAAGCTCTTCCATGAGCTCTCAGCCAGTTGTGTTCCACCCATCGCAAAGTGAACGAAGTATGAAGACATCTTAATGTGAACGAATTCAAAAACTGATCTTAAAGCAAATGAAATACAATGTTATTTTAATATGTGAACAAAGTACCATATTATCTTCATAACATAGCCCTAAACCAACGTCTTGCACCATGCAACGAACTACGAAGCTATCTTAATGTGAACGAAGTGCAAAGTTATCTTAAAGTAATCGAAGTACAACGTTATCTTCAAGTGGACGAAAGAACATCGACGTCATAACTTACCTCCCCCACCCCACCCCATGTTGTCACGAAGCAAGGCAAAGAGTCAGTCTTCCACCTCTCACCTTCCGCCCTCGGGAAGTGGGACCCATACCAGAAACACACCGACCGGCCCGTGCCACCCCGTGCGAAGGTCACTCATTGGCATCCTGATCCATCTTCCCGGTGATGAGATTTTGGTACACCGCCTGGCGCGTGGTTTTTCTTTGATGGAAGACGTGTGAAAAATGAAGACAAATCAAGACTCAAGTACATCTCAACCTTTAGCAGGTTTGAACCTTAGCCTAGCAGTTGAATTGCCCCCCAAAGGTTCGACCTTTAGCAGGTTTTGTGAACCCCTTCACAACACTTAGACGGCGACTGGCCCCAGGTGTAAGAGGTCAACCAAGCAACGCATAGACCCTCAGCGCAGTGAAGCTCTAGTGATCTGTAATACGGCTGCACTCCGCCCAAAACCATGCCAAAGACTAGGTGGGAGTGGAGCGACGTCTGCGGAAAGAACATCAAAACACTGAACCAACACACACACACACACCCTGAAGCGGTGGTCTCTCAGACTGTAGTCTTATATTATAAGTATAGTTGATAGAAAGAAAGACAGGATCACCTTGAAATCAACAGTTTCACCGCTACTCCCGCTGTTTTATGCATGAAAATACTAATAACACTTGACCGCATTGTCTTTGTGCAAATTGGATGCTCTCCAATTCTTTTTGGTTGTATGTTTGAACATAGACATTGCACAGCACCCAAATTCAAGCAACATGAAGATCTTATCAATCTCCCCCATCTACTGAATCCACATGTTCTCTCTCAACAACTGTTTTTTGTTCATATGCTTTTCCCATTTGCCTATTTCTGTGACTTCGTCGTTCAGCCAAACGGTTCAGCACCACCGGGTGAATCGTTTCGGCTCTTCGTTGTCTCCCCGACACGGCCGCCTCGATGATCAAATCTTCCAGCGCGCGGGCGGAGACATCCAAGGCCGCCTCACTGGGCGTTGGCGAAGGCAACAAAATATTCAGAAAGAGTGGAACACTGGGCAGTGGCAACGTGGGCATCTGTATCGAGCGTTCACCCGAACTCGAGCGTTCACTCTCAAAGGGTAGGAGTCTTCGGTACTTGCCCTGAAAAAAAGGCGGAATCACTGAATCAATCACATGCCAAACACCAGATTAATTGAAGAAAATAACACATGCAGTCAGACAGACATCTCAGCTACCTCTTGATATTAACATATATTAACTATATTTTCGAAACCAAATGTCAGACTGACTACATGGTTCCAAATAGATGGGACCTAGCCTATGACGTGGGATTGTAATTCCATGGCTGTCTTGCTGTCTGTTGCCAGTGTTTTCAGCTCTGGGTGAACTTCTTGCACTTGAACACTTCGGAATAAATCCAACCAGTGTCATGATGTCATGTGTGTTGAAACTTTCAGGCCTGTCTAAACAGGCCGCCGCGAAGGGTTTTCATTTCTCAAACTCCGAGGCCACGAGCGGCGAGGCCACGCTCGTTCGCGACGCCGAGAACGCTGTTCGTCGCGCAGGACGAACGGTCGCGGCGCTGTTCCTCTCAACGTGTGTGAAAGTGAGCGGTTCGCGTGGAAAGAGATGGGAGCAGGGAATTCTCTCACAATGCTGACTGCCGTTAATCTCAAGCGGTATCTGGGATGACAAGGTACCTGCCAAAGCTACTTCTATAGGAGAAGTCGCCAAAAAAAGGTGGTGTTCGCAACCCATCTTTCCTGTGCCATTTTGGCACTTCATGCAGCCACAGAGCAGGCAACTCTTCTTGCTCTCATCATGTCCATGTTCAGTCTCCGACTTAATTCGATCTGCCAAGAAAAAGAGGACGGCACTAGCTACAGTTGTTGCACAAAGCTCAAGTTGTTGCACTGTTCCGCAGAAGTGGTGGCTGGAATCAGTCATTCCATGGAAAGGGTTGCGTTCCAGATCTCAGCGGCTGGCGCTAGATCCCTCAAGTTTGTTTGCTTTTATCGGTTTTGAACTCTAGGGTTCAGATTGAACTTCGTTGGAGTGCCCTAGTGCCCAAGGGGGTTGCACCAAAAACTGGCTGTTGGATCCCTACAAAGGTGACGGGGAGTCTCAGCAGTCTCAGGCATGTGAACGGTTGTGTCCGGAGTCTCAGCCAGCTACACATGCTTTGTCTGGCACCAAAATCCAACAAAACATCACCTGAAAAAGAAATTGACAAGAGTTTCTGGATCGATTTGGATCGATTTGGATCGCATCCCTGGGCTCAGATGGTCCGATCAGTCTGGTGTGCACCCTTAAAGATTCACACGCGCGTGCCCAAGAACAGCACGCGAACAGTTCGTGATTACTCGAGTGAGAATGGTCAACCAATTGCCTTAATTGTACTTCGTAAGGGAAGTAAGTTGGACTGGCCATCAGGGTCCATGTGAATCTCTAGAGGTGTAGATGGGTCCGGAACCAAAAAGCCTGACCAAGAGCTGATGCAGGCCTCCCTTTCTTCCCAGTTCTCCGACCTACCCGTCGACCGATCGTCATAGTCGGCTGGGCGATCGGATGATGGTACCATCCAATCCACGGGGATGTGTGATTCACAGCAAAGTGGTGATACTTAATTGGCAAAGACGTCGAAGGCATGATCGTTTTGATCATTTCTTCTAAATACCGGACCCTTCAGGTCCTTTCTCGCATCGAAGGAGAGAACAGGTTCCCCGAAAGGAATGCGGCTGCGCCGGCGTGGCAAACGACTGGAGCTTGCTGCCAGCGCATTCCCCTGTGCAAACGCGGCATCGCTCAAGGGTAGCCTGCACAGCCGAATGACAAGATACCTGACTGCAATGAAAAATTGACCATATTCTCAGGAAGTTTGAAAAAACTTGGTGGACACCTGTACAGATTTGGCGGGAACTTGAACAATAACATAATTTATAGACCTCAATTTAAAGAATTGTAGGAGCCTTGACATCATCTTCATTGACTTGTGAACAACATGTTAAGGCATGTTATAAGTACCACAGGCCTGCTTCATACCCAAAACGATTGCGAAGGAGGCGTTCTGAACGTGCTGCGCTCTCTGCACAGGTAACACTATTGGATGGCCAATCCTTGAGGACATGTTCAACATCAGCCTTTCTTCCATGGCTGCTAGCAACCATACCCAACGGCAAATGCTCCCACAGCAACAGCAGCAGCAGCAGCAGCAGCAGCTGCGCCACTGACAGGTGTTCACTGGCAATTGCCTTGGATTTACTGATACAAGGTCTCGCCTGGAACAACAGAATATGGCCCGTTCGAAGGGAAAACCAAAAATCTATATACAATTATAGTATATAAAACCCTTTGAGCAACATGAAGCTGCAATGTCTAATGGTGTAGACCCATCATTTGCAGCCTTGCTTTGGTCAGCTCCAGCTGCTACCAGCAACCCCACAGCTTCCAGATTGTTTCTCTCAGCTGCCAAGTACAGTGGTGTCGAGACAAACCAATCTTGTCGGTCCAGATCTGCCCGAGCTTCTAGCAGCAACGATATGCATTTCGAATTGCCAGCCCATACTGCAGTGTGTAGTGCTGTCCAGCCAAATTGACGTGTGAAGTCTGGAGCTAGTGGTTTCTGTAGCAAACTTTCCACTTCCTCATAGCTATTCGTGGCACACGCCGTGAGGAGCTTCACGTCGCGCTCATGGGATTGCTCGAAAATCCACGACAAGGAGCTGCACCCTTGAAGGAGGAAGGACCTCCTGGTAGAGGAGACCACACTTCGAACGAAACGAAATTACTTCCAAGTGTCAATCATGGTAGAGGGCAGGAAAACATCAGAACAGAACCCAACAGAAAATACAAAACCACAGCTCGCCACAGATGATTTCATCCACCACAGATCGCCGTTGATTCAACAATGGCTTGCGTCGAGATAATATACATATATATATATAGGGGTCACTACAACCCATTTTGTATTAGTCATGCTACTAGTTTACTACCCCTGTGGTCTCTAGCATTTGTCATTGGGTCGGGACTTTAATCGGGATTATTCTTCATTGGGTTGTTTCTTTTTTTGTGGTCTGTGTGGTTCTCAATGGGACAGGCATTATAAGTAGAGATGCTGTCTAGAAGAGTCATCAAAAGCAAAGAAGAATGCTAAAATAGAAAACTCATCAAAAGAGAGAGTTCAATAGAAATTTCATACATAAATAGCGATTTCATTAGAAAACCCGTTGAGATTTCAATATAAATATAATCCGACATCGACATATCAACAGAAAAATTACCAAACGTAGCGATTGTCATGGGTCAAAACGAGAGATTTTGTCTAGTAAAGCTATCAAGAGCAGAGAATTCAGTAGACAATTCATCAAACATGTTTCAGGAGAAAAGATATCAAAAGTAAAGGTTTTAAGGGGAATGGCATCACAAGTAGAGGTTTTGACTAGAAAAGTGCATCACAAGTATATAGATATGTTGACTAGAAAAGTCCCTAAAACACAAAAATAATTCAATATATAGAGAGTTCAATAGATAAGCCACAAAAAAGTAGAGATTTCGATAGAAGAGGCATCATGATAGAAATGTCTTCCCCTGTTTTCTTGCTGGTGCTCCTGGGTCAAGTGCTTTTTTGGTATGGACAGGTTTGCCCTAGACAGAGCTGAGCGCCATTCTCAAAGTGAGGGCCCCTCTCTAAGAAAAAGAGAGAGAGAGAGAGTCAACAAAAACAAGCGATTGCTTTTTTATTTAAAAAACGTGTTAATGCCCGTAAACTGCGGGAGGGAGCGGGAGGGGGCGCTGAAATGAAGAAGAGCAGGAGGGGTGCGGGGGAGGGCGCAGCGCCTCCCCCGCAATGAACACAAAGTATAGTGCTGCGCCTCCCCCATCAAAAGAGATAGTTCAAAATAGATTTATAAAACATAGCGATTTTACTTGAACACCCAAAGCCAAAACCCACATAGAAGCCCAAAGCCACAAAAGCCAAAAGCCACACAGATGCCAAAGTTACAAACGCCAAAAGCCACACAGAAGCCAAAAGCCACACAACCCAAAAGCCACACAGAAGCCAAAAGCCACAAAGCCACAAAAGCCAGAAGCCACAAAAGCCACAGAAGCCAAAAGCCCCCAAAGCTACCCAACCACTAAAAACAAAAAGACATCCCACTAAAAAAAATAGAAACATATCCCTAAAAATCACCCTCCTTTGTCATTTGCTACGCCTGTGGTCCACCTCTTGCTGGTCATCCACATGGACGTTTTCTACATGGACCCTCGCACTCGACCCATCTTCCTCGACAACATCAATGACTACAAGGGTATGTTTTGAGACCTCTCCTGGTCGTCCAACGGATGTCCAAGATCTTCTGCAAAGCACCTTTGCTGGAACCTTGTAAATCCAATCCTCAGTGGCAGACATGATCTCTTTCCACCTACGGTCCCAACATAGGAAACAGGTACTGTCCATTTCAGAAAGGCGATTGCAGCCACGATCGACGACCATATCTATGAAGCCTGAGACTTCTCATGATTTATGGAGCCCGTTTTCACCTTGCTCCACACCATATATAGTTAACTGCTGGATCTCTTGGGGAAGGCTCCCACCAACCGCTCTGGGCACAGCAACCGCTCCCGGGTCCCTGGGCCTCTCCATGAAGAAACACATCTCTTCACCACAAAACCTTTCCCTACAAGTCAAAGACCTCATTTGACTGGGGATGGTAATACAAAACCAATACTGAAGGGTTTCACTTGGGTTGCCCCAAGGATTGGAGGTCTGTCTGAAGCTTAGCGCCTCTTCTTCAGATTGCAAGTGTCTTCTTCAATCAACCAAGTGGCCTCTTGAAAGGTGAGCCGCAAAGTAGAGAGGCACTAGCTTGAATGGTAAATTGGCTGGGAGGTAAAAAATGCCAGAAATGCAAGAGGCTAGGTAAGACATGGTAACACCCCACATGCAAACTACTTGTCAGGTACGCTACTCAAAAGGTTGTGGTTTCTTTGTATCGAGAGATTCATGTGCTGCGACAGTCCAAAGGGACACCAATACACCACACGATAGACTGCCCTTCTCAGTATTGCGTGGGTTCCATTGGACACCCCATACCTTCAGGTCATCCTGATGTTTTGTGATAAGTAGCTATGTTGGTCAGTTATTCCTTGACTTTTTGTATTGGATCCAACCGATCAACAAGTGTGAATGCAGGTTCCATGGTGGTCCTCCATCCAATGCAAACACAAAAAACTACATGAATGCAAATAATGTGACGTCTCTATCAAAGGTATATAGGCTATCCTTAGGTGCATTCCCTGAACCTTCAACTATAAATACGATCGCAAGCGGTGCCAATACACTATTGCAAAGGAGAATCAGCTTGGCCAACATCCTCTTGAGCCACTGTACCGACTTGCCCTCCACCTGCTCCGGAGCAAAGGTGACTACAGTTCGGCCAGACTTCGCCCAAAGGACGCGAAACCTCCGCGGTGTTCGCGCACCGCGGTGGTTCGGTGTCTCGAACCTAAACCTTGAACCGGCGCCTGGCGCAAGGCTTGAGCCCCAAAGGAAGCATGGCCGAGGCAGCTTACTTTAGCATTTCAGACACAACATTAGCCGTTTGGTTCGACAAGCTGATCAAACACCAGCTCTGGAGATGACAAAGGAAACAACTGACAGTTGATTCACATTTTCTCTGCTTCAGTCTGCCATTCTCCAATCCCATGCGTGCTTGAACTCACCGTTCACGGCGGGGTTGTTCTCCATTCACCGGTGGACTTCGCCCCACCGCCCGAACGATCACGGCTCCCGAGGCGAAAGCGACCGTGAGACCAAGCGAAACCGTGCGACTGCCTGATTCCTTTCGATGTTGGTTCTCCAATTGTTTGGCAACAAAGAATTTCTTGTTTGGCAAAATGGTTGATTTGTACAATCTGTTTAAAGATCATATCACCGTCTAAAACATATATCCCAAACACTCCATGTATGGCATATTTACCTACATTGGGGTGGTTTCATGGGTCAATGTATGTAAAATGCCATACATGGAGTGTCTGGGTATATTGAAAGATTGATCCCATTCCTGCTCCAATCGCCGATGTTCGAGCGCGCTGTTCGCCGATGTTCTGGCGCCTCGAGCGCAGCGAAGTTGATGACCTTCTCCTGGGAGAAGCGGCAAATCGATTTCGAAAGGACCAAGTAAACCGTTCTGAACACCTACTAGGACCCTCCAAGGGGGGTGCCCAATGGAAGCCTAATAGGTAGTGTGGGGTAGTCCATTGGACACCCCTTGGAGGGTCCTAGTATATGGCATCTGTCTATGTCCTTGTTTGTCGTCTCGCGCCACTGCTCAAGTGACAACGATGTATCTCTGAGTCTACAAACCAAACAACAAATCCGGACCAAAAGTCGATTCCAAAGGGGCGACAATAGTGACGACCCATGCTGACCCTAAGTATCTCTATGATGTTTGTCAATTGTTGATGCCCTCCCTCCAACAATGGCAGTGGATGGCATGATGGCATGGCCTTTGGGAAGACCACGCAACCATGTTTAAGTGGAATGTCCTAAGACTCGGAACGGAAGTTTCCACTGTCTGTGAACCTGACACGGAGCTGTTTTTTGTGTAGCTTGGTGACACTTCAGCAAAGGAACCCATGTTAGACGTCGTGATCATGTGGAGGAGCCGGCTAAAGGGAACACAAACTGTAGAACTCACGCCCGCATTGACAGTCCATATGAGTCTCTAGAACACCGTCCAAAGAACACTAGAACAAACAAACAATAAACAAACTCCAAGTCAAACCGTCTACTTCACTGATCCATTCCAAATCAAACCGTCTACTTCACTGTGATCCCTTCCATTCCATTCCCCCTCTTCATCATCTGCCCCTCATTCATCGAGAGCTTCGTTTCTTCACTTCGCCGAAAGCGGCGACCGAAAACCCGGCGCCTTTGTGGCCATCGACAACAAGGTGAGCCTTGGCAGCCACAGTCGTCGACCGGGTCGACGGCTCGGAGAGACCGCGCTGCGCAGGCTGCGCAGGCTGCGCGGCGTGGGACGGACAGTCCCGAGCCGGCAAGACGATACCTCTTGTGACTATAGTAGTTTCTTGCTACTAGTAGTAGTCATGCCCTTGTTAATTAGTAGCGATGCCCTTGTTACTACCGAAGCATTCTGGTACTGGAGGAGTTTGGGATGTTGGGGTGGTATACTGACCAACTGAAGGAGAGGTAGGGGACATCAAGAAAGCACATACATTGAACATGAACATGTTTCCAACATAAGTCAACTCAGGAGTTCCGCCCCCAGCACCTTCAAAGGGGTCAGCGCCTACACTACTATAAGGGACCTCCAGACAGGACACCCCTCGAAGGTCGCTTGGACAGTCCGAACCAGGCAGCTCTTCAGAACTGCTGTCGCCCAGCCAACGTCTTGCCGGTGGCTCTCCAGTTAGGAACTAATCTTCATCAGTACTGCCTTTCATCTCCCAATATCATGTTGTCCGATTTTGTCCCTGTTTGTAACCAAGTCAACTCGAATTATCTCGAATATTGTTTTCTGTTCCGACACCTTTTGCAATGACCTCTTTCAAAAAGCCAAAGACTCTGCCTGTGTCTGTGTTGGTTGATACATGTTGACATGTCAATGATGATTTTCAGGAACCTCTTTTCCAAAGAATGAAGCATTTCCTAGTCCAACAAAATGTTGAATGTTCTCGAGAGGTTTTGGGTACTGTTGACTGTCAATGTTCCTCACTATTGTAACGCCCACGGTCGCACGTGTTCCTCCATTCTCTAATCCTATTGCACAGAAAAAACTAAAAACTCAACGCAACTCTGGCCCAACTTCCAGAACTTGAACAAGCACACAACCGACCGGTGTGACTGGTGTGACTGACTGGTGTGGCGCTGGATTCTTTGGGGACTCTCTCTTCGAGGCCTGGCCCCAACTCACCTTCTCTCCTGGTGTCAGCACTTTGAGAACGAACTACTGGACATGATGAGAATGATGTTCAGTCACAATGGTTTGGACAAAATGTCATTTCCATATCCCCCAGTTTGTCTGGATGCTATATGCGATTGTACTATGCACAAACGTTTACAAAATTCAAACAAAACATAAGAACAAATACATAAACAAATTGAGTTCCCCTTTGCACAAAACATATTGGATGAATCCTGGAAGGACCAACTCAGTCCCAGTGGCATTTGGAGCTTCCGCGTTTGCGCCACCGTCAAGTCTCCCAAGTCCTTCTGTCGGGCCTCCGGTGCGGTGCTTCTGTGTCTTCGGTGCCGCAGCCCGTGCCCGGTGGTCCGGGGGATTCGAGGTTTATGCACACGGTGCTTCAAGAACCATCGTTAATTAGACCAAAACAAGCATAACAAACGACCTAGCACGCACCAAACCAAGTATACTTGAGATCTCCCACACTGGATTCAGAATTCTGGGTTTGTCCGGAGTTCTTGCAGAACCAACAGACCAATGGACCCAGCCTCGCAACGGTGTACGACCCTGCAGGCTACCCCAGTTGCACATACAAGTAGCTGAAGAAATGCTTTTACACTCCACTCTGGCCAATACTGCACGTTCACAGCTAAATAGCAGTGAACCGTTCGCACTTGTGCAAAACCTCCCAAGTCAGAACCGCTCCTATCTACTTGCGGTTGAGCACACGAAATGCCATAAGGAACTGCCGATCTTCCCATGACGACCGATCACCCAAACACAATCCGATGAGACTGAGCGGTGACTTCCGAAAAACGGCAACGGGTGCGTTGTTTTCAGGGACCCCAGTTCAGTTCGATCCCTCAACAAGGAGGACAACTGAACTCAAAAATGCGTTCAAATGCGCCGGCCCTTGGGCGCCGGCGTGTTTTATCAATGTGGTTTGTATGTAGCTTAAGTTATGTTGAATCTATATGTAATAAGAAAAATGTCTCTGGAGCAAGTTTTTGCCTCGTCTAACTTGACCCCCCCCCCGAACATCCCGAATGTATGTAGCTCACATATATCATATCTAAAGTGAAAGGTTGTGTGCGCTTCCTTCTTATCGTCGTTCTTCTCTTGTCGTTGTCCATGCATTGCGCTTCTGCTTTGCATGCGTTTTTCTCAGGTTTTGCACCTGCACTCACGTATCTATCGTTTTTTGCAGACTCAGACTGCTTGGAAATCCCCATGCCACACATGTCCTCATTACTCTCTTGTATCATGTCTGACGGAATGCTATGTACGTTTGCTGCTTCGCACGGTCTACTTCGCTCATTGTGTCACATGTCATATAATTTGTCTTCTTGCTTGGCAGGCTATACTTTGCATCCCCCAATTTCATCTCCCTGTTCTCTTATTGTATCATAATGCATGCAATTTCATGTAGGCTCCTCTGTTGCTTCAGCTGTGTTCTGGATGATGCTGTTACTTTTTCTGCTCTGTTGCAGTCTTTCCTCTTGACGCAAAAGGTAATCCGCATCTTGGGACCATTGGCTGAAAAGGCCGGCGGAACGACCCGCAGGATGTAAATAACGTGGGCAAGGGGGGTCGGTCTCCTTCCTATTTGAATATAAACACATACAGCCTTCCCAAACTGGCCGGCTCTGGTCACTAGTCGCCACGGCATCGTTCCATCCTTCTCTTCGTCCTCGCCTTGTAATCGCTGAAGGTCCCATAAGCGAAGATCCGCAACAGGTCCAGCGTGGCTGAAAACTCGCCCTGTAGGGCCTGCAAACGATGCCCCGAACGTCACACCAGTTTTTCGTCACCACGTCGCACCACCTCCCCACGTGTTCAAACGTGGTGGTCAAACGTGGTTTGTGTTCACCCAAGGGTATGATGCTATGCGAGGGTCCATAGTATGCTCTGCTAACGGTACAGTAGATGTTCACGGCAAGGCTAGATCCAATGAGCTGAAAGCGTCTTCGGACCGGAACGTGTTCGGACGGGGTTGGAATCAACACCCACCTTTCAGTATGCTAGGATCCACGGGTATGCTCATTTTAGATCTTGGAGATAAACAGGTGAATAGGAATCCTCTGGAATCCTATACTAAGTGATCATCCAATGTCCCGCTGCTGCTTGTATGTCTATCCCTTCTCATCATGCATTTAAAGGGGTATTCCCCAGACACAAATATAGTCAAGAACACATTTCATATATTTTTCAGAGTCGAGTAACATAAGCTTGCAGGCAAAACAAGTAGCTGTCTGAAGCAATTGGTAATATTTGCTGGTCTATACAATGTATGGATATGGCTGTGGGTCCAAACCAGGATGCCTTGGTTGACCTCCCCTGGAAGGTCAAGCTAAGGTTTTGACCCATCCCCATATCTCAAGGAACAAGGTGCATTGCTACTAGGATTAAGTGCTTCGCTATTAGTAGCTAATTTGCTACTAGTAGCAAGAAACTACTAGTATACGTAGCTATTTGCTACTAGTAGTAATGCACTTGTTACTAGTAGCGATGCACTTGTTACTAGTAGCAAGAAGCTACTCTCATTCATTGAGTTTTATCAGGCGACAACGCTGAAACCGCCACAAAATGGCTGCACAGCGGGCGACATATATATATATATATCTATCAATCACACCAGCAAATGCTTCTTACTTGTGGACCAGTTGAAGGCACCAGGATAAAGTAACAATAGCAAGTACAATACCCATACATGTCATATTTGCCTACATTGGGGTGGTTTCGGGCGTCAATGTAGGCATATGAGCGACGTGCAAAACCTCTTATGTGTTGTAGTGCGCACTCTTCCCAACGTCATCGTTTTTTCTGTGAACCTTATCGTTCCTGAGGGTTTAGACACATGTACTAAAACCTTATCGCTTTTTTCTGTGAACCTTATCGTTCCTGAAGGTTTCCTTCACTTTACTTACTTAGTCTTCACTGTAGTGATGCTGCCTTCATCGGAGGTTTTGACACTTGCTCATATATTCCATACATGGGTGTCTGGGATATCTATCCGGCAACAAATGTAATAGCTATCCAGCGCAGTCCCTTGTCTACACTTCTTCATGAATTCCTACTTGTGGAACACATGACGCCTTGGAGAACTACGGAATCCTCATGCCATGTGCCTGGAGTAGATGGTAAACTGGTGTACCTACACTACATTTGCTCACGCATCAAAACATACATGCCTGAAATTGGCATCACATGCACACAAAGCTGCACTGTACAAAGACCCTTGCAATATCGCTAGTAGTACTTTGGGGGTCTTTTACATTGCATGTTTCATTAAGGTAAGGGTCTGAGTCAGAGCTCTGAGCGATGTCATTTTTTCTCCCGCAAGGTGAACACAAAGATTGTTCCTTCAAATGGATGCCTAAAACAAAACGCACATGCTTGTCACCTAATCTCTATCTTGAGTGTCTTGAGTAGACTCTACAACTAAGCTTGCAACAAAACAAAGTGGGGAGTCATACAAATGAACCACATAGTCTGCTGTCCTGCCAGCGCAGCAAATCTTCGAGAACTGCCATAATCAGCTGAAGAACAGGCCACCAAGAAAACTCAAGAAAGCATGTAGACAAAAAGCATTGAACACACAAGCTGTGCTCAGCCGAAACCATTTGTGTTCCCCCCACCTTTGAACAAACCAGCCCCTAACACGGGCCAAAGCACGACCCGCTCGCCTGGACGTTGGGGCACTCCAAGAGCTCCCCAAAGACGAAGACGCTGCTGTGCTCGAGGGCTTGCCTCACCAAGGCCTCATGAGGCCAAACGACCCGCCCGCCTCGCCCGATACGTCGAAGGATTTGACGTCGTGCATGAAACATGCGCAGAACGACGGTGCCGGTGCAACGATGGGGCGGTTTGGTCCAAAACGAGATTTTGAGAAGTCAAAGTACGTCTCTTCTCTAAGTTGTATAAGGTCAACCTGAACCGGAGGATCCTGGGAATCATAGTAACGATATGTGATGATACAGTATGTGTATATATATATATATAATAGTTGAACGAGCACCAGCTCCAAGAAGGCCCCCCTAGGGACCACCGCGGGCCCACAGTGTTCCAGTTCCAGCCGACAGGGCTGTTGGCCACGTCCCGGTGGCTCCGCTCCGGCCAGTTCACCGAACACGGTTTGGTGGAGTAAAGAAGTCGGTGCCTTTGGCACCTGTTTGGTCTGCACGTAGCCGTGGTCATCCTGTTGGGTGCCCAAATCCACGTAGCCATGATGAGTGTACCGGGAGTGTACCCCCGCAATCCCCCGCAATCCATTTTGTCAGGTGCATGGCACAATGCTCTCCTGGCGCCACCACTGAACGGTGAAGACACTTCCTTCATGGTGCCACTTGTCTGGCTCACACAGCCCAGTTGGGTCTCCAGTCTGTTCGAGCCCAGTTCTCTTCGATCTGCTACCGCCCGATGTCTCTTGCTACCCCGTGTACCATGCAACACTGATTTTTGCTCTGAAAAGGTGTGCTGACAATTGCGCATCAAAATGTTGGTCTCGCGACCACAGCCGTGATCATCTGGAGCAACTCAGCCATCAACAATTTCTCTTTGTCCACCAAGAAGGAGGTGGCAAGAAAGGTTGTGAGGTCTGAGTGTCAGTGGCCACACCATCGAAGCTCAATATCATCCCAAGGAAACAGGAGCTTGGACCATTGAAACCGTTGAACCGGATTTGTAAGCTGAGTATGGACGAGTCCAACAACATCTTGTCAAGAAAACACTGGAAGATGGGTTAGAATATTGCTCAAATTCAGGAACGTTAGAACTTGGAACACGGGAACTATAATTGATGAACTTGTCTAAGACTAAAACTTCTTGAACCTTATTGTCAACATCCTCATCCTCAAAGTATTCGGTAGTATTAAAGCTCCAAAAGGCCTCTTCCTCATCCTCATCAAAAGGCCTCTTGTCATCCTTAAAGCTCCTGTCCCATCTCCTCAGGCCTGGGTAGTATTCGACCCCTGAACCACCTTCTCCAAACACGGAGGTGGGCGCCACGCACCGGACATGGAACGCCCCAAAAGCGCATCCAAACAGGTTCACACCGGTGGGCGGAGGCCACCGGCTACACCACTCCGGCCTCACAGGCGCGGCCCTGTGCTGTCTGCGCCAAAATGACCTCCGAACGCCAAAAGGACGAGCGGAACAACGAGCACGTCGCGCTGAACGATGCGGCGCAGCGGAACAACGACCCGAAAGGCAGCGGGAGATTGGGCAAACGGCAAACCACTGGTTCTCGTGCAGTTCTCGTGTAGAAACTGGCTTCTGAAATTGGGCACCGTTTGCCAATGATTCACGATTCCATGATATTTGGCACGTGACAAAAGTACACAAAAGGTCTCTTTGACCCCAAGAGCATTTGGAGGATCTGGCTCGGATGCATGCTGGAAAGACCACGTTCCCCCGTGACGACGAGGGGGGGTGTGGCCAAGGGTGGCCCATGGTGGTCCACTTGGATGTTGTTTGGAGACAAGGTTGCACACACAGGTGCGGGGGTTCCCCCACATTGATTCTATAGATTTAAAATGGACCACATGACCCCAATCGATTAGTCTAAAGGATAATCTGCTTGAATTTATCCCCAATTTATACCCAATCAATTATATAGTATATATCCCGGTTGAAATTTCATGTGACGCCAAGCATTTTGTACTGGAGACGCTGGAGCCCTACCAGCCAAGAAATGACGATGAGTCCCAGCATTTCATACAAACCAAAAGGTTAAGATCACATCAGCTTGTTTGGAAAAGTGACGATGGACCCCACGATTTCATAGTGGTTTTAGACTGCGTTGGGCACCAAGAATTTGCAATGGATGCAAAGGGGGAAACAGCAAAAGCATAGCTTACATTAATTTTGTAAAGACTGGGTGGAATATGCAAAGAGTTGTCATATTGTTAAGCCAGGGCACTCTCAACAATATAGGGACCATCGACTTACAGAATCTCTGGATCACGCAGGCTGCAACATGCTTCAACCCAAAGAGGGATCCAAGAGATTCGGAGAATAGAATGGAGAAGATGAGACTGGGTCATACTAGATAGGAGTAGGTACAAGGATATCATCTTTGTATAATTTTGATTTGGTGTGCGAATTCAATGGTCGACACACAACAAACCTGTATAAAAATTCTAGCTTGAATTCCTCAACACCCCGTCGACCCTCCGATCCTTCTCTACAAATTGGTTGGCTGGCTGGTCTTTGAGAGTACAAAATCAGAAGATGCTTCTGTACAAAATTGCAGTCCATGCATTTAACCACCAGTACGAAATCTCTGCAACATGAGGCCTACATCGTCATTTTTTGTTTTTGACTATAAAATGAGGGCCTCATCGTCACTTTAGGGGTCGTAAACAAAACGTTTTATACGGGCCCCAGGGCCAGTCATTTGATGCAGGAAATGTTGACCCCCATTAGTATATATATATATATATAGTCATAGTTTACAGGAGAATCAGCAGGAAACCATGGCTTTCTTGTAGATTTTCCCTTAAAAGGCCATCCTGGGAGTGGCTTCAAACGCAGCGGATCTCTGGACATGTCTGGACGGGTTTATCTTCCTGCTGGCATGGCACAAACTGGCTCAAGGCATCGGTCTCCATGGCGGAAGAGGAACGCAGAGGTCTTCGGAGCTTCGGACCGGACGGAAGTGGCTCGGAGTGACCTGAACAAGTTGGAGCTCCGGATATAGCTTCATGAGAATCTGGACATTGGATGTGATCGTTCGAGCGTGCTGCGGACAATGATCGTCTTGTGCTTCTTTGTTGCAACTGACACATCAGGACACACACACACAATGTGACCAAGGTTGCTTTCATGGAGACGGCCTTCGGCTTTGCTTTGCATGTTTGGCTTGACTGGCTCGCTGTTCTCAAGATGATATGAAGCCAAGCAGCCACGGCACAAGCGAGGCAACAGCTGTTGAGAGAGAAGTGATAACACTCACCACTTCAAATGACCACCTTGGGTGGCCATTTCCTCCAATAGACCGTACTGCACATACCAAGACCAATGAAGCCTGTAGTTGGAGGTTGGCCAATTGATGGATCATCGCTGAAAGCGTCGAAACGGCTGCTGTGTTTTCTTCTAAGATGCTAGCAGCCTCTAGCAAGTGTCAACACTGACATTCAACACTCACAGGTACAATGGCGGCAGCCTGCATTTGCGCAACACACTAAATATGTGTGCTTAAACTTTAGGGAAAACACATGATGTCTTCAACCCTAGATGATCAACGGAAGACCCGTTTTTGGACACCCCCGGATGGAATCCCGTAGCCGATCCGTAGAAAATATGATAAACGCGTACCATACAATACAATGTTGCCTCAACTGTTACCTTTCGCTTTCCAGCGCAGCGACAAGGGCTGTCAAGGTGCTCAGCAAAACGACCGAAAGAAGGACCACTTGCAGTATTCTTTGGGAAATGAGCAATTCAATACACCTTTGGCTTTTAGCCTAGTTCACTTTGTCTTTCAGAGTCCTGTGGAAATGCAAATGTTGTTCTTGGGTACTTCCATGTTCACTTTGCTTCAGAATGATACTGATACAGACTAGTATGCAAGCCTTGCCATGGAGAGAAACGATTTCCGACAGCTCAGTGAAAGGAGCTTGAGTTCTACAACCTAATTACTGTTGCAAAATGATCTTCCCCATCTCAGGTGGCTTCCTGGACTTGTAGCAACAAGCCTACGGTTCCCTGGTAGAGCAGCGACCCACCCACCCCCCGAGGCGACCGGTTCACTACGCGGTTCACCCCGCGGGGGTTCACTCCGCCACCCACAGAGCTCTTCTCCCACCCCGCGAACCGCAAAGTGGGAGCCGTTCCCCGACACGTGGCCGCTCTATTTGGCACTGACGGGGATGAGCGATGCACTGATGGCGAGGACGTGTGGTTTGTGGTGAACTGGACCGGCGTGGCGGCCCGCGAGTCATACGTGGTTCCTTCGTGGGATCCTCTTCTTATCAAGAGAACGTTAGACCGTGGTAATTACAAAATGGATTCAACACCGGTCAAAAAACATATGGTAGTACAGTATTTCTATGTATTTCTCAATCTGTTTCTTGCACCTTCCAAAAAAAACCATGCAGTCATCTCACCCCTGTCACACGTGCCGTGACAAAGCACGTCAATTCACTCGCGCCGCGCAGGTTGCGAACGGTTATTAACCGAGCCGCAAGTGAAGGTTGCTTTTTTCGGACAACAATTTGCCCAAAAGTAGAAAAACATGGAGAGTCAGGGCCTCTCTACCCCTATGGTGACCCGGCCCTAGAACCATCTTTAGGGTCCCATTCCGACGTCCTTTTAAGTCGATTTGTCTTCGGCGCCGAGCTTTGGAGGTTCACATCGGTGCAATGGGTGTCGTGGCTGAAGATCCCGGATAGTAGTGGAGGGTAGTCCAGCCAGGACACCCAAACAGGATGGTCCAGGTACACTCTGGAAGTGGAACAGTGACTCTGGCAAGAGGAGTTTCCTCTGCAAACAGGTGGTGAACTCCACTTCCTTTTTTTCGTCGGAGTGTAGCTTTGTTCGAGTACTGAAAATGGGCACGGTTCCAACAGCTCCCAAGAAGAATGATTTTAAATCGATTGTCTCCAATACCTTAACATCAAGCAATAGCCCTTGTACCTTCAATGGATGAGGTCCGTAAATGTGTAGAGCCCTTGCCCCTGACTGTGTGGGATTCTCCATGTCCTTCCATCAACTTGAACAACCTGCACGAGGCAAGATGTCTGCTCTTCCTGGGGACGAAGACCACTTTTGGATTCTCCGCCCTAAAAAAAAAGTGGATCCCATCACGGTTTGATTCCACATGAATTGATGGTTACACACACGTTGACACATGTCTGACACACAGTGCAAGAAAAAGTGGATTCTTTCTCCAAACGTTGCAACCTGGTTGCACCATCTTTCTACGTCTATGACATGAAATCTAAAACTGGGATGAAGACCTATATAACTATATTGACTCAACACACAAAACAGATACAAACAGTATATTCTTACACCGATATCCCTGATGACAACTATAGTGAACGCTATGGGAGTGAACAACGCAAGAATCAACGAGCGCAATGAGCGCAACGAGGCGTCGTAGCCACGCGGTCAGATCGACACGGGCGTGTGTTTTCGACGCGGTCAGATCGACATGTCGAGACACGATTTATCCATGAGTCATGAGGAGACGTGATTCTCTACCGATCTCCACCGATCTCGTGATCTTATTGAAGAACCGGGTTGCCACCCAAATTTCATGCCTTTTTCATCCCTGTTCATGCCTTTTTCTAGCCTCAAGATAAGGGTCATGTCGTGTTATCCCCACAAGAGACCCCAAACAGTGTGTCTAGAGGTGTACGGTCCTAACACTTACCACAATAACCTCTAGTGTGGCCGCCATTGTTTCGGGGAAAACTCTCGGATTGGTCGAGTCCACTCACGTTCATCAATCCCCCTGATGATACCGTAAGATGCCAGCACAACTGGCATTTGTTTGGGGCAGGCCAGAGCTAAACTCTGGCGTTTTTGTGGCGGCATTGTTGTGTTTGCATGTCTTTGCCTGTTTCCCCTCAGCCCACAGCGGGTGCTTTGTCATGATACCTTCCACAAAAGAAAGCGGCTCAAAGAGACACACCGTGGGGACTGCCGGACTGCTGGTGCATCCTATCGTCTATCACCGACATTGAACTACCTCGAACATCTGGCGCCACGGCGCCACAGGGATCCCAACGTGATGCGCGTGAACCACACGGATCTGCACGGTAAACCCGCGCGTCTGGACAAAAAAATCGAGCGTCAGCGGCATCAACAGGGGATCCTGGAACTGCGCTGTCACTGGAGTTCCAAGGCCGGTGGAGTGGAGAAAAGGCCGGTTGGATGGTCGGCCACCCAACTCGTGTTGGCTCAAGTTGAGAGAGAGCAAAACAGCTTGGTGCTGGTTAGCGCTGGGCACCAACACACCATATATTGTGGGGGACGATGCCCTTTAAACCAATGCGAGTTGTCAATTGCACGTTTGCTGACACCAACCAATCAACATTATATAAATGCCAAGCACAGCAAGTTAGTCTTTGCTGGAACCCTTGCCCACCCCACGAATGATCGAATACCTTCGAATGTTTGGGAACCACAATGATTTTTTTTTCAGGTAAAACCTAGCTTGTGGAAACGTGGAATCAACATGAATCAACCATTCAAAAACCTCTTAGTTTCGGATGAAGGCTTCCAGGAAAGCCAGTCACAGAGTGGGTCCCTGGTGGAACAGCTCGAAGCAAAAACCAGTCCCTGGATGGTGCGATGGTGCCCCGGTCCATCGATATCGACATTTCAGTTGCAGGATTCTGTCCAGTTAACAATACCACAGTCATTTTGAAAGCATCATTTCGAACGCATCATACTCTGAGTATATCATCCCATAATCAACCTATTATGTCAATGTAGCACGTCTTCCTCTCTTTTCTGTTCACCACCTACTATATAAAAAGGTTTCTCGGGGAAGGAACATGGACGCACATCATCGCTCCACAACTCCACGGTTGCCATCACCGAGCAACGCCCGGCCCGGCCCCACGTCCTTGGCCATGCATTCGCCTGGCCGAAGGCGAGAGTGCACCGAACATGCTTGGAAAAGAGATACGTACAGCTGGCCAGGGGTATGGTATCACTGGCGAGAGTAGATGGCCCCGGGCAAAAGTAGGTGATGCAGTGGATCAAAGCACCACCCCAAAAAATAATCACTACCCAAAGGCTCATTGGACCCTCATAGCTAGGGTTTGACCCTCACAGCCAGGGTTTTGGACCTCAAACATGTAGCAGTTGGAGGGTCCATGAGCCTCTGGGTAAGCACCACTAAATATGCGACTATATCATATGGTCACTGAATGTCCCAATTACATTTACAGGGTACTTCTGGACTCTAGAGTCTCAAATTGGAGGTGTGATGAGCTTTGTGTGTGTTTGTCTCAAAGCGATTAAAACGCTTCGACCCTTTTGGAGTGGAAAATACCACTCACATCACGCAGGGCCGATTCGGCAGGCCCATAAGGGTCACCGGGGTCTGCCCATAAAGACATGCGCGACACGGCAGGTTCCTCATTGAGTCTTCTTGGAAAAGAGAGGTTATATATTGGGTCTATCACTGGATCCATCCTATTACCACTAACAGTGGAAGATGAGGGTAAGTAAAGGCCTTGTTCAAAAGACCGCGATCAATGTTTACTGACTGTTACAGGTAAGTGAACAGACCCAAGCTATATAAAGCTTATGAACAAAGCTATTCACCTGTTGGATTTGAGTGGGGAAACCAATCCGCCAAAAAGCTTAAAGGTTATCCACATTTCCTGGCTAGGTTGGAGCACGTGGAGAACCTGTTGGCGACAATTGAATCCCACAGCAGGTGGATATGTAATGAGTAAATGGCCTTTTCACGGAAGTGTGCGTGGTACACAAACATCCAGAAGGCGCATGTTCAACACCACCGTCAAATCGAAATCATCACCGGGATCCTTCATTGATTTCACACTTGGACCACTTGGATAGGCAAGAACTTGAACTGGACTGTCTCCTTCAAAATGCCTTGGAAAACGAAGAGTTGAACACAACAAAGACAAAAACAAGAAACACAGCCCTATCAATGTATACTTCACCGCTTCAC